TGATTCCTTACTAATTTGTGTGCATTCCTTTATTATTTAATGAATCTTGGTCGTAGAATTTATTTAACCATTATTTCCACATAACCAAACTGTATATAATTAATGAAAAATAAAAAAAAAATATTCAAACCTCGTCTCCAAAAACTCATCAACTAATATTATGTTCGATTCCGATATAAAAAATATATGTTCAGTACAACATGTGATCTTTATCACAATAATAGCCTTCTAAGTAAATTATTACCCAATTCGACTGACGACAATAAAAAAAACTAAAAACTACACATACATTTTTAAAATTAAGTCTATTATCGATAATTAAAATATAAAGCTCTATTATCGAGAGGCAAAAAAAATATAAAAATTTTTCGTAATGAAAATTTATTAGTGAACTGTCTTAGATCGCGTTAAACGGGTCCATTAAATCAATGATGAAAATCTTATAAATGAATGACGACACTTAGAACTCAATCAAGTGTCAGGCTCGGTGGAAGTCTCTGAGGCTTGTAATTCTGCATAATTCTTATAAGTCAGAAATAGAGTTGTTCATCAAGAAAACCTGAGTAAGGTACTTCATAGCCCAGCCTCGACTTCTCTAAACAGGCAGACGAAGTTTATTATAGTTATTATGGTCTGATTCAGTGCGAGACTGACGGATGTATAAGAGTTAGAGATAAGCAAGCTTCAAGTTTTTCATTTCTTTTAATCTCATAAGCTTACCAGACTTGAATTATTATAAAAATCGTTCTTTTTCTAAGTATTTTAAATATATGAAGAATCATTTTCTGTTACATACAATTTTTAATAGAAACAAAGCCGAAATCATAGTGGAAAGTTAATTTTTTTATTATTATTATTTAGTATTTCTGTTTCTCTCATACACAAGTTGCTACATCACCCGTGAGAAAAATAACTTGTCGTATTTTATTTTCACAGTTTTCTTGGCAGTTTTGATGTCGAATTATGCTAAAAAAAATTTGACAATACTCTACCACAAATCTGATATGAACAAATTCATTTATTTCCTGTTTTTTAAAGATACGAACGGAAATGTGAAGAACGTATTTTCCGATACCAGTTTTTATACAGACAATTAATAATAATGAAAAAATCAAATCAATTAATTACGTATTAGAGCGAGAGTTGGACATATAACAAGATAGAAATGTTGTAGTGTATTTTAATGAAGAATTGAATTTTAATTTACGGGACAAATGTTTTTTTAGGTTTGGATTATAAATTTTAGGTTCAAAGTTTAAAAGAATAAATAAGCCTTTGTAATCACAAATTATAAACTACGGATATTTTTTTTACGATAATACTAAAGTTATATAAAACATATTATTCATTTCAATGTGTACAAAATAAATGTATCGGAAAATAAAAGATTTACATTTCTAAGATATTTTTTTCTAATTTTCCTTTCAAAGTTCAAGTAACTTAATTGACCTGACCTAATAATGGCCGGGCGTCATAGCAATATCTGGTAAAACCCTTACTTAGCTAAATCGTTATAAAAGCAACTAAACAGGTAAATTTTCCAAAAAAAAAGATAAATAAAAATAATAAAAATAACATTATTTTAATCTCTTTCGTGAGTTTTAAGCACATTTGCCGCTCACTGGTAGCTTTTATTCGTCAAACCACAGTATTTCAATATTTTATAGATTTAGTCGGGAAATTCAATTAAAAAGTGAAATATTAGAAAATGGTTTTTCTATCAACCGGTATCAGATAGAGAAACAAATTTTAATTCAGTGAATATGGGGATATGCGAATTTTCAGACAAAACCAGCCAGACGTAAATCCGATCAAAATTTTTATCAAATACATATCCAATGTCCGAATACTCTGTCTAGAATAAAGGAGTACAGATTAAAATCTGTTCGGATACAAAAAAATATGGAAAAATGAACTGACCTACTTATGTACTCTACATCTTTTGTGTGAAAAACCAGCTATTTTAATCATTAAAATTAATTAAACTTTATTAACAGATTGAGATATAGCTAAAGGATTATAAATTTTAAATATGCTATCGAAGTTCGCGAAACTGTTTTGTAATAGTAAAGTTGTTTATTTAAGGTTTGGAAGTTTTCACACAGATTGAGTAACCAATTATGGACAGATTAGTTGAAGCAATTATTTCTGGTGAAGGTGAAAATATTCATCCATACTGGAGAATATTTTAATATTTAATAAGACCTACAAATCTTTTAGATCTTGGGTGAATGGCAAGACGCCTGGTACCATGGTTAACTCTCGTGATTCGTGACGCTATTACGTTGGATTTTAAAATCACAATTCCAAATCTAAACGTCGAGTTTACGCGACGAAATAGCGTTTGCACTTTAGAGGAAAGCTGCTTACAGTAGAGGGCTCTTCTATTGGTTGTAAATAACAATTATAATGCGGGCAATTTAAAAAGAGTGTTAGTAGAAAAAAAAATTAATCGTATTTTACTGTTTAATATTGTTTTAGATATCATTTCACATAAAAAATATTAGTATATAATTTATATAAATAATATTATGTTTATTATATGGGATTTTTCAATGTATGATGCATTTATCAAAGCAGTCAAGTAAGTGCTTTATAAATTGTCCCCATTTCAGATATTAAATTAACTGAAGATAAGTAATCATAAATTTAATGTGTCCAATTGACAATGTTGCATCACCAATCAAACATACATTCAATTATTGTAGCTGACACACTTTCAAGTCATGCATAGTCTAATGTACTGATAAATAACAATTCAAGAAATGACAGAAATAATTAATTAAACCCACAGAAATTTTATAAAATACCTTTGATATAAAAAATAACTTTAATATAAAATGTTTTCCTAAAAAATTTATAACTGCACCATTATCTTAAATATAAAAAAAAACAAAAAGTAAAATAATTAATAAGAAAAATTATATGGTTTTCATCAAATTAATTTTGCAACTGTTTCTTTAGGGTATGTAAAACTTACTTTTTAATAAGTATTAAATATTTCCGTTACAAATACACATGTTTTACACTCATAAATTATTTCTAATTTTTTTGCTTGTTTACCGATTGTCACAAGTTAATCCTGATCATGATAATGTAATATATTTTATATTGATTTTTAAACCCATATATTCTAGGGCTTGTTTTAAATGTTATTTATAATACTTTATATAAATAATGTTTCCTTTTATATATGTTAATCTGAGCTTCTGACGTTCCTGGCTAATGAGTCACTACTTCCTCTCATATTAATACAAACATCTGAAACAAGCTCTTAAATAATGTAATTTATTTAACATTAATGTTTCGATATGGATCTTTAAATATTTATAATAACAAGCTTTCAATAAACAACTTGCAAGTCCAGTTTATTCGGTTTAGGAATACCTTTTAGTTAACATTAGAATAATTTTATTTATTTTTATTTTGAACTAATATGTTCATATTATAATGTTTAAAATAATAATGAATTATTAGAAATAATGGGCAAGGTAAAATTAACTTGAAATTGTGTTAACACCTTTATATTGTATAGAAAGTACAATATAAACAAACCTTATTTATTTTAAATTGAGTGATACATATGTCGGATGCAATTTAAATCCTTTTCAATTAGTGTACTAAATTTTAAAAATATGCTCTAGACTATATTAAGACAACTTGGCATTATTATTATAAAATTGTTTACACTTTCGTAACTAACAAGATACTGCAACTTCCATAAAAAAAGCTAAAAAGTAAATAAACGTATATCCGTCAACGGACGAAGTATACATAAGAAACAAGAGGGGCCTGTCCAAGCCCTTACTGTAATTTATTTATGTTTGAGCAAGTGTAGGCTCAACAAAGAAAAACAACATCGCTCTAGTCACATCCAGAGCTAAATATTTTTAAATACCTTTTATGTATAATAGTTTGTATTTGTATACAACTCACCTTTCTACGGCAGGTATATAGGTGAAACCCGGTAACATGGGGAGAGAATTAGCATAACTCTGTCCTCGCATTTCCAAAACCACCAGCCATAACTTTATTTTATTATCACTTAGCGACCTATTTCATTTAATACCGTCAAAATTTCACCATTTTATATTAATGTTCTGTTATAACAACGCTAAAAATGCGTGCACTTAAGTATAAAAATAAAATTATAACACCTCTATTCAATCGACCATGTTACAAAGCTCCGTCACGTACCAATATTCGACCTGAAGTAGGGCAATAACTTTGAATGTTCTATAGAATAAAGCCCAGTGAGTAAAGTAAAAAAGTTACAATATATCGTATTATAGTCTATGGTACACAAGAGGAATGAATGAACAGTTTACACAGGTTAAATATTGTGTCAAGTTGTATTATAAATCATAACTCTAACTACTAACTAAACAATTTTAAAGTTTTATTAGGGGAAATAAACGTTTTCATTTTATGTTTTGACATGAATAACTAAAATTTGTGAAAAAAATATGAATAAATGAAAATATGAATAGATATATGTGAATGTTCCATAAAAACGCTAAACGATAATTTTATCCTTAGGTCTTAGTAAGTTTAGCCAGTGAAAAATATATTTAAATTTCTATAATAAATATAGAACCATTATAATACATAGTTCCTAAAAAAAATTTAGTTATTAAAATTTAAGCCACAGTGTATTTAAAGTGGAAACCTTAGTAAGAAAATGTTAAATTCAATTAACAGTACTGATTTATATTTTGATGACAGGAAATCATTCCTGTAACAATTAATCATAATTGTTACTGTTAAATGTTTACAAATTTTAAATTTCAAAGCTTATGAATGAAAAATCGAATCGATATTATAGACAACACTATTACTTTTTACATTCGTTCTATCGTTTCGTTTTTGATCGTTCATTCAGTATACCAAGTCCAACGCTAGGCTTAAGATTCTAATTTCTACCTGCCAAATTTAATTCAGCAATTTGCATCGTGTTTCTATTATTCTTTTAAGTAACATATACTTAATAATTTATCCAAATGGCGAATATTGCTGCCAAACGTATAAAAAGAGAATTCAAGGAAGTCATGAAGAGTGAGGAGGTAAGATTAAATGTTTATCTAACTTTGAACATTCTGCAACTTCATTTATGGTTGATCCAGCGAGCACTGTGTGGCTGTCATAGTTTAATTACGAGTGTGTTGCTAAATGCGAATTTTCATTATTAAGTATAACAGAATGGTTAACATGAAATAACAAAGACACGCGTTTGGTGCATGATTCAGCATGTTCCGTATTTTGCGATAGTCATATTTGTTTTTTATTTAGCTTGAAAGCAAATAAGACAAAAGATAATTTTTTTATATCATGCGACAGTGGGTATTATTTGAATATGGTTTTTCGGCCATCAATATTAAAATACTATCATGGATTTCATTAAATTTGTTTTGCATTTATTACGCATATGCATCCAGTTAATAAAATCTAGCATGTGTTCTACTTCTTTAGTGTCATATATTCAGGTTTTGTACTCAACTTACCATTAATAAACTTAATTAAAAATTGCTGCTCTGCTGCCATTCATCTTGCAAGTAATCATAACTAAACTAACCAAGCAATATTTCCTATAGAAACATCTTATTAGAATATTCACATAACATTTAGTTGTGCTCGTCTCATAAAGGTATATGGGTTGGCTTAGAAGAAATGAAAACATTTAAGAACTTGTGTGATAACAATATTAACATGGTTATAGATTTTTTGAACCAAAGAATGTGTGGCCTCAAAATATTTGTGTACCCAAATATTTTAGACTTGCAGTATAGGGCAACATTAGTTATTACAATAAATTTATGTATGTATCAGTATTTGAAATGATTTAATAAATATATATGCATTTGATACTAATTATGTTGAGAGTTTATTAAAATTATTTAACCATAATATGTCCATTAAAATAAATGATTGAAATACAAAATTTTATACACGTAATAGAGAAATCCCAACAGGATTATAGAAATACAGACGCCATCATTAAACTAAAGATTTTAATTTTGAATAGACAGTTTTTTGTTCAGAAAATTATTTTGTGTTTTTACCATAGTGTTTTGAAGTACAGTAAAAGCTCCTTATTCGCGGGGTATATGTTCCGTAAATATACCGCGAATACAGAAACCGTGAATACGGAATGGTTATTTATATGGGATTATAGGGGATACGTTCCTAGGTGACAAAAAAAAAGCAACAAATTTATATAAAAAAATATTTAATTGAAGTATTTGATCATTATAATTAATTATCTTAAGGCTTAGGCAATGGTTTGAAGAATTTTGTAATTTTTTCTTTCTTGGCAGTTTTTAAAAGCTCCTTCAATTCAGACTGATACACAGCAGTCGCATTAGCAATTTGCCTCTTAAAAATAAGACTTCGTTCCATAAACGGATCAATGTTCATAAAGAAATCGCAAAGTAATTAGGTAAAGTTGTAATAAGATCTATATTACTTTTTAATTAGTCCATTTGACAAGGATATTGTGTTGGATACCTATTTGGAATAATTTTATTATTATGTATGTACTTATTAGATCCGCGAATAAAGAAATTTTTAGTCGCGAATATAGGAATTGGTAGCATTTTTTTAATCCGCGAATAGTGAAAACGCGAATAAAGGAAGCGCGAATAAGGAGCTTTTACTGTATATCACAATAAATTTTATCTTTTATTGAATAAAAATAAATTACAAACAAGTATTCTAAAATATTGACAATCTAAACTCAATTTTAGACACAAGATTAGAATTAGTATTCCAAAATTATAAAGAATGTGTAACATTGAACTTGTTGCCTCGGCTACAAGTCTGCTTACAGTAAAAGACCAGTGTTTTTCCATCATTTTGATATCGGGACTCCTTTATGGGTTGAAAAAATTTTGCAAACCCCTTCTGTCATAAACAGGCAAGGAAATTGTTAAATTAAAATGCTAAGTTAAAGACATCATTCTCTGCAATAATAAACCAAAAAACAGACATGAAAAAGTTAATTTGATGGTTAATATTTCAAAAATGGCACCACGACTTGACATGCTTTTGAAGAATAAACAAACCCATCCTTCTCATTAAAATTGGGTTTTTTGTTGTTTAGAACTTTACCTTTTAAGTCAGTCTTTGCAACCCACCTAGGGGTTGCTACCCACAGATTGAAAAACACAATGTTAGACACAACTTTACAACAAATTACTGTCTACTATAAGAAATGCAAGCTCAATTAACAAATTTAAATCTCAACTTTCACAACATATTTTAGAAAATAATTGATATACCAACGATGTAACACACTTGTAATAATATCTTACTATCTTTAATTGAGTTCCAAATAATCTGGCGACTACTTTTGTATTTTCACTTTTGTATGTATGTTCTCATGTAAGTGAATATGTCTTTTTGAGAATAAATTCTTTAAACCTAGACGATCAAATTTCAAAGCAGATTTCCTTATCTTATAACACACCATGAAACTGAAAAGAAGTGTCATTGGTAGATGGTCGTCTTATAATAAATAATTAGCAATATTGTACTCATAACATAGAAAACAAGAAAAACATATAAATTTAATAATTATTATGGACTATAGTAACAATAATTTTAAAATTTTAATTGAAGATTTGTGATACAATATATCTATATTTTGAAATTGAAAGTAGATAGTCATTGTATATATGGGACAACATAATGAGATCGAACTTTTGCAAGTTTTCTTCATTTAAATATATGGTACAACTTTAATATATTATAAAAAATGCCTTGATTTTCTGAATGTATTATAATACTCTATAAAAGTTCATTTTAAATAAAACCATTGCGAGGAAACCTCTTTGTAACAAATAAATTAAAGTGTAAATACCTGTTACTATAAAGCAATGTGATTTTAGCAAATCCTAATCTTTACATTATGTTCTCACCAATATACTGTGACTTAATTCTTATCTGTGATTTATGCTAGGAAGGTCTCAAAACCTGTTTTGCTGAGAATATCTTCTAAATTAACTTTTAATTACCTACCTAACATCCACATGTATATTAAAAATTTGCTTATTCACCCATTTTTTTAAATAATACATAATATAATTATTAAATAAATTTTTTTTTTATCATTTATCATTAGATGTCAGTTGCTAACTTCAGATTTCTGATGTCGAGGTTGCTCTGTGTATTAATTGTGTTCAATTGGCTTGTGCAGTCTGCAATGATGGCTTTAACAGCACTGGATAGTCAAAGATCAATAAGTATTAAGTGATGCTTTGATTCTCAATATCATACAGTCCCATTAAACTTATTTATTTTCCATATCATTTTTGTATATATTTTGGTAGCGAGTGAAAATTATTAAAATTCACAGTCCTATTAACATTTATGGAAAAAGGTTAACGTCTATATTTACGAATTAATACGTTTTCGAGCAAAATTTATTTATATTTTTTATAAACATGTCTTATTTTAAAACACGATGCCAAAACTTCATGTCAATAAAATACTTTTTTAAAGTTCATTTTGTATTTTTGAATCATTGACGTCATACCCTTACCAATGACCGAGTGCATACTGCCAAAGTCTTTGTTTTTAGAATAAAGAACATTGTTTTTATATGCAATGTTTTTATTTAAGTCGACTAATATAGTAAACTTTTTGTAGATATTTACGTAATTAGATATAGCTATAAATGATGTATTCAAACGACATTGTCCCCTCGTGTCTCCGAGTAGCGAGGAAGCAATTCAAATCTTGAGCAGCAATAATTCAATTGATCCCCCACCGATATTAATTATTTCCTTAAATTTTTAGGTAGCAGGTGGTGCAATTAAACTGGAACTGATTAACGACAGTTGGACAGAGCTTCAAGGCGAGATCGCAGGTCCATCTGACACTCCTTACGAGGGAGGGACCTTCATCCTAGAGATCAAAGTACCGGAGACGTATCCATTCAATCCGCCCAAGGTGAGTGTGTGTATATAAGAAAAAAATATTGAAAGCAAACCTGAAATGAAATGTTAAAGCAAATTTATTTCCAGATCCGTTTCGTCACGAAGATCTGGCATCCGAATGTGTCATCGGTGACCGGCGCTATATGCTTGGATATCTTGAAGGATCAGTGGGCGGCGGCGCTGACGCTGCGGACGGTACTGTTGTCTCTGCAGGCTCTGCTCTCGGCAGCGGAACCAAACGACCCACAAGACGCGGTAGTGGCCAAGCAATACAAAGAGAACCCCCAGTTGTTCCACATGACCGCGAGACATTGGACGAACGTGTACGCCGGCGGACCAGCCAGTATTGTGGAGTTCAACCAGAAGGTCCAGCGCTTGTTGGACATGGGAGTAGACGAACACGACGCCCGCGTCGCTCTCTCCACATACGACTGGGAGCTGGAGCGCGCCACCGAGCAACTCTTCAGCTAGTTTAATCTTATTGTATTTAAAACTACCCTCTTAAGATGTAGTTTCTACCCGCAAATATCTACCCAATAGTTATATATTAGCTGTCTCGAAACCTTGTTTTGTCTGTTTTTTTTTGACTTTAAGTAGGTGACTTATTAATATCTCTAATGATGAAAATAAGTTTATCGAATATAAGTTTCTGCCAGCCATAATAATAACAATCTCTCTTCGATTTTAATCCTAAAGATCGAGTACGTATAGATACATTTGTAAACAGGAAATGGTTCTTGCGAACTGCCACGTGGTGATTGAAAAGTTGATTCATAGTATGCGGTGGAGACGTTAACATTAAAAATATTTTTTATGATATGCAATTATTGTTAAAACAGGGGACATTTATTTCATAAAATGTTATTGAGTAGGACGATCGACTGTTGGACAACATTAACTGTGTTATAAATAATAAAGTTCCATTGATTCCGTCAGTCTTATGTTATGCATAAACAATGCGTAGTTTAGGTTAAGTTATCCTAACCTTATTTATGGATGCTAAATATAAATTGCCCTAAAAGTGAGAATAATTTAAAGATTTAGTTCTTCGTCGGCGTAAAATTGTAAGTTTATGTTTTAGTGTAAGGATTATGGGATGAAGTTTGGTATATAAAGAATGTTCTACAAAAGTGCCTGATCCCAGTCACCTGACCTCAAGACCGTCTGTAATATTCAAAGTGCTTCTCATTGAGATCGCTCTTCATGAATTCTATTGTGATATCGCGCACGTCACCCGCCCTGTGTCATAAACATTTCATTGTCGAGCTGACTTTGTCAACGAAAAAGCTTTAACAGAACGCATTAACAGAATTCCATACAATTATATACATAGTATATATCGCAACGATCATCGTATGTAACGTACTGGCATAACGTCCCAGCTGTTGACTGCAGTAATCTTTAACACTCAGTGTGATAAATTAGAATTAATCAGGTGCTTTTGATGTAAGTGGTAGGCGATGATAGAATATTTTAATTAAGTTGATTAAACAAACAAACACAACAGAAAAATATAATACAAAAGTTCAAGTTATAGGATAAATTGTCGTCCGTGTAACGTATGTGACATATCGTTTGGGTGTACTAAAATGTACTTAAATTAGAAAACTAGAAATTCAATGACGTATTTACAGCACCTTATAGAACCGTCAGTAATTTTAGGACAGTACCCTATATGTAAGAACGAATTATTCGTAAAAATGTGGTATAATAATTGACATTTTTTTTTCCTAATTATTGTTGTGGAGTGCTTATAAAGTATTTGTGCGGGCGTTTTGGACAACAAATGAAACATTTCCAGTATATCTATAATAACGACGTTAGTAACTGTTTGATGTTTCCAACAAATGATATGATTGAGAGATTGAATATTTCCAAAAAAAGGTGCATATTTTTTTTTTTTGGTAATTTGGTAGAAGGTCAAATTTTAATACTTTTTTTTTTGATTTCTAGAACAGTAATTTATTACTTGATATAACTTTAGTTTTTGATTTGCTGTAAAGAATTCTTGTACGATTATAAATATTAATAAATATTTATGAAACACTTACCAATTATTTTACTGATTCAAAATACCAATTAAAATTATCATTAAACGTAAACTAGACGCACAATTACAATATTTTTATTTTTAATGAATCAAAAAACAAAATTTAAGGAGGTAACAAAATGAAAAGAGTTAAATGAGATTGTAAATAATAAGCAAATTATAAAGGTTCGTTGCAATAAAAAATAATCATATGTACTGTTACATAATGATCAACGATTATATATGTATGTATAGATTTTGATAACACAAAATAATTGTCAGAACAAGATGAAGAGCCACGAAATATTTTGTTGTATGACTTGTTTTCCGAAAAGATTAAAATTGTGCAAAGCGCCATCTACCGGCGGTGTGTTATATAAGTGTCCGCCAGAAAACCTGCGGCGTGCGCGCAGCGTATCATGCATCAGTAAACAGTAAGTTGATCAACACCGCCAGCGGGCGACGGTGGTTGTATCATTCATCAGTCGCAGTCGCCGCTAGCCCGTGAACGGTGCTCTCGCGCGCCTATCCTCTATGTATTACAACAAATCGGGGAAGGCAGAGTGTAAAATACATCATCAGAATGTAACTGAATTGAAGTGTGTCCTGTATAAAATAATCTGTCTTCGACTTCCCTTATAACTGAACGCCGAGAAACTCTTTATTACTTTCTAAAACGTATTTAATTTTCCGCGTGTGTCTCGTTTCAAGCTCGCGCCAACAAAACGTGTGTGTGTATAAATAAATATTAATTTTATAGTTGTTAAGCTACACCCGACATGACTATATCGTACGCCGGTGAAGTTCCAAATGGCAGCAGTTTTGGATGTTTCTGGCGGATCCTCTGCAAGTAAGTATCGTGTGGAGGCTGCGCCGCCGGTCCGGGCCCGCCTCACGAACAGCTGTTCCGCCGGAGTAGCGCACAACACACACGTACACCCAACACTCCCACACAACACCACACAATGACAATAGCACGTCCAGACGCTATTGTGACGTACTACTTCTGTTTATCGTATTAAGGTTTAATAAAGTTCCAGTGGTGTTGGTATCGCATTGTAATTGTATTATATTCTGTTATAAGTTGTGTAGGGAATGAGTGTTAGCGGCCTTGGCGTCGATGTCGAGGTGATGAACGTCATCTGCAACAACTTAACTTGGCCCTGACAACGAAATGTGGCGAAAGTTGACTGTGACGCATTTGTTGAATGATTAATACTTAGTTGAATCGAATAAAACGCAGCAGCTGGTAATTAGCAAAAAAATTAATCCTTCTTAATTACCATTTACATGCTTAAGTATTTTATCTAAATGCTTTCAAATTGATGTTTCATAAGTAATTGCTCGGTTATATGTGACGTCCGCATCCACTTTTAAGTAACAAGAAACAGCTCTGATACCTATTTGAACCCATGTAGGTACCGCTAGACCAGTTGTTGGTAACTAGGTAGGTATTTATTTGCTTATTTTGCTAACGAATAACCGAACGGTAAACGTAGCAAGTCAAGAATACATATATCATAACATACACCAGTCAGACAAAACCAGTCTGAATCGGCATCAGGCATTTATTACAAACATACTTCTCAAAAGTAAAACAACGCGCTTTATTAGTACAATAAGACAAATGAGTTTCTTATAACAAATAACAAAATAACTATCATTGATTTACACAATTGTCATGTGCATTCTTTCATAGAAATATTTAAAGAAAAAAATTGTGTTAATCATATGTAATTAATTAATAAAGCAAATTATTCCATGGAATTCCACTGTGTCACTTTTTTAATCCATTGATTTACACTATAACACTTTCTATAAAAAGTCAAACAAAAAACATTACCTATAAAAATGATAACTGTTGACATACTGGTCGACACTGGAATCAATAATTAGTAGGGCGTTCAGATGGCTGTCAAGTCTTGATTGGCGGTCTCTCAAGGCTAAGGTATTGACAAATTTTTACAACACCCGAATCTGTATTCAAGTTGTGGAGAAGCTGTTAAAAAATTCAGACTTGATCTCACAAGTTAGTGTAGCGGGGGTTTTATTCTGAATAAACTTTAAGAGAAATACCTAATGAAAAGATAATTATATTTTTTCGAAAAAAATCAACTGTAGATTTTTCATTTTTACTAGGTATAATCTACCGCCTTTATTAGATTAAATAATAAATAAATATCTACCAAAATTTATTTAACAAAGTTTTCAAAATAAAGAGTTGTCTAAAAATAATATATATTTTTTTCGATTTTAATCATTTATTTTGAGTTTCATGTGGATATTTTAAATCTTTGTAAGTTAATCAAGTTATATAGTTATATCTGTGCAGAATTATTTTATCTATTCATATTTATTATGAAGATATATAAATCCGTTTGAATTATTAGTGTTCAAATAAAATTCAAGGACATTGTGTTATTTTACATTCTCATAATAAGTCTGATATTTCAATAATGTCTTCCAAAATATATTTTTTGGATCATCAAAACGACCCGCTCCGACACAGTTAATCTAGTAAGATCGACAAACCAGTATTTTTTTTTGTCCGTCAATAAAACCGTCTCTAATTTAACGTTATAAACCAACATTATGAGACATTTGTACAATACTTGACTATTTAAATTTTAAAAACAATTCTCGGTATCCAGAATATCATGCATGAGTTGTGTAAATCCCCCAAAACTGGTTTCAAAGTTCGTATAAAACTGAAAATTGTATTAAGCCAAATGTATTGTATACATATTTTAATGTTAATATGAGTAACTGACACGGTGTTGACAGAATATTTTTACTTTGCTCTATAAATTTAAAAACTGTCGGTATGTAAGTAAACCTAGGGTAGGTTTACTTTTGTGGGGTATCAGAAATGAGAGGCAGCAAGTCCCTTATTTGTAGATGAAACTGTTCTTTGTTAACTATGGTTTGAAAACTATTTGAAAAAAAAACTCGTTCTTCTCCTTTTCATTGGAAACTTCTTGGAAGTCAATTAATTCTTTTGGTGTATTTGTCTTCACCTTTAGCACGTACTCTCGGGTCAATTAAATATGAATACGTCATTAAACTGTAGTAAACAACTTTAATGTACAAAATTTTGTTTGCTATTTAGATTTTAAACGCAATATAATAAAACGATTTAATTACTGTCGGTATATAAACACCCACTTTGCAACACTGCAGATGTTTGTACCAATATTTTAATTAACTTGTGAAATGTTTTTGTAACGTCTCTTATTGAACACCATTGTCTTCGAAGGACGGAAAATTAGTAAGATGCTTCTATTTTCAGCTCAAAAATGTGATACTCTCCAAAATTTTACGTATTTTAGAGTATACAAAGTAACATCTTAAACAAATAAATTTTATATGGTTCTTGTGACTAAAGTGTGAACACGCGGAATATGTAGTCTCGTTGAACTTATTTATATTTATTCTGGAGACATATATTCTTACTGTTTTTTTTTTGAAGTCAGAGTACTTCTCAACTTTTTATTTTCACGAACAGAAAACAGTTACATGAAGCTTTTTTAATTTTTTTATGAAATACCAAATAATTTTATTATTTTATTTTTTGAGTAAGTATAAATTAAACTTATCATTTAAACTCGTATACACGAAGATGATAAGAAAATTTGGATTTTTAAGCAATCATAACATATATATTTTAGTAATATCCAATCATTATTTTAAAAACTAATAATAAATACTTTAACAGATATATCGATGTTTCATTCAGCAAGTAGTTATATGCCTTATTATATTTCTTAATTATATTTAACATTGTGTTAATTTGACCAGTCATCTAAGTGTCTACATAAGGTCAGTAAAGTTGACATCACCATTTATATTTGTTTATTATATATTTATTTAGCACACTGTGTCGCTACATATTGACAATTAATATTTAATTTCAGTACATACATAATACAGTATATCTAATAAACAAGAATTCATCTGAGCTTTATTAAAATAAATCGAAATTAACACTCACTATAGATTTTATATTACAATAGCTTTTAAATGTACGTAAGATTTTTTTTATTGAAAAGCAATTAATGAATTGTTTATTTTTTTAATATGCAGTATCTAATATGTATTTTTTTTGAAAACTCCATTTAATTAATGAGAAAAAACAAATATGAATTATTAGTTTAATTTTTTTTTGTGAATTTAAGTCTTCCTCGTCTTTATTTGCCTGATAAATGATAATTGATTGTAGAGTTCTGTAACGTCAACACTTATGAAGAATGACATGTGTTTTGATACATTTTAAAACAATTTGTATTATTTTTTATATTTATATAAATTTCCAGGTTTAGTATAAACATTTTATAGATTTTTTTCTCAGCGAACTGAGCCAAACCTAGAACTATTTTTCTATTTCACGAAATCGTTAAAAACATAAAAGTTGGTATAAATTTAGATAATTTATTAAAAATAAAATATTTAAGATTATTAATCCTATATTATTTTATGAATGAAATGTCTTAATATAAAAATAACACCATTTGCTTGTATTCATACATTTTGTATTCTAATGGAATGTTTCAATAGACATTTTATTTATGAATCAGTATACGTAGGTACACAATATTGAGAATATCACTACTTTGCTATTATGAAATTTAATTAAGATAGACTTATGTATCTCTACAAAGGTATATTATTTCAGCTCATACGAGTTCAATGAATTGACTGACGTCTGTTTTGTAATTACTGTTAGGTTATAATCTTCAGGATATGTTACTCCGCTGTCGAAGCAATGCTATTAAATACATAAACTTTACAGAAGTGATATGTATTCATACAATATTCATCGTTACACAATCTTTTTTTTTCGGTGAATGTTCTATTATGCAATATTATTAAGCGTTTTGCATTTCTATAGCGATATAATTTAATTTTCTATCTCCACGTTTATATGAGCTCATAAATAATTTATTTATTCCGATTCGGAATTGCACATTTGAATGAAAATTAATAATTATATCACCATCAAGATTTTAACTTCCCGTGTATTTAATCCGAAAGACGGACATTAACAACATTATACTATTAACAAGCTAATTGTCAATGTTTATATAACAGTATTTGAGGCTATAAAATTTTCGTTATGTTTTCAAATGTTTTATTATGCTAATATGTAGTAAGTATATCCTTTTCAACGTAATTTAAATTTTTTAACAGTTATAAGATATTTCAATTATGAAGATTATAACATCCTTTTTGGAATCTTTTAAAATTATACAATGAAAGTGATGGCTTTCTAACCAGTTGTAGAATTTAAGACTACTTTAAGTTATATTTTATGTGTATAGAGCATGTTATAAGATCTTCTAATATCTTCTATCCGTGTAGATGGCGTGGCAGCGTTTACAAGTTGGTATGGCGGGAGCTGTTGGCGTACCTCACTCTCTACTATACCATCAACTTGCTGTATCGGTTCGCGCTCACCGAGCATCAACAAAGGTACGAATTTATATTTTTTAGAACGTATTTCTTTTTGATTTCCGCGGAGATTACTAGAATTAGAAAGTTATGACATGTTTTAAAATGATGTAGATTTAAGGATTTCGTAATATAATTTTCTCTGTCTTCCATCAAATCATATTGTATATTTTGTTAATATTTTATCATGTATTGTTAAATCACTGAATATCTTAATAATGCGCATCAATAACATAATCTAACCAGCCCAGTTATTCTATTTTATTTGATATTATTTTATGTACCTGTATTGTCATAGTTTTAAATAACTAAGGATATCGAATTGACTATAATTTTACGCTCCATATATTCTGAGTGAAGATAAACTAACTTACAACCACGGTGCATTGTAAGATAATGCAGCGGCTGAAACTATTAAGATGTCGGGAAAGTACCTCAAGACTTCGGTGACTTCGGGAAGTTGAGCGAAACTTATTAAAACTATAAGATATTCCTGTAGTCGCTAGACAATTAGCGAGTGTAAATTTTGTTCATAATAAGTTTACAAACTCGCTAGTCTTGTAAATAATATGAAACAAAATACATAATACATTTTTAAGGATCAAAGAAAAATAAAGAAGAATTTGTTTTTTGACTCTGGAAGTGCAACAATAAGAATGCCTATGTTTAAGCTCGACAAAAAAGGGGATATTATAAGTTTAACGTAAATATTTGTCTGAGTGTGTGTGTTTATATGTTTGTCTGCATATCGGTCTTGGTAACGAAGATCTCAAACGAATTATCGATTTTCAATGCATTTTGTTTTCATTCGAAAGTTCCTCGCAGTGATTCCGGAATTAATACTTGGGAAGATTTTTTAATTGTGATAACTTCGTTTGTATGTAAACGTATTTGCTTAATCTCATTTACAATATTTTTATTATTCCTGATATAATTTTTTTTTATTATTTTGGTCAATACAAATACGGGGCTCATTATTTTTGAAGCGTAAGTCGAATATAAATCTGATGAATATTAATTAAGAATTTTTTTTGATCCAACTCTCAATACTAGCTGCAATTAAAATTATAATTAAAATCTCGTGATCGAAACTTCAGTTCAATTGAAAAAGTCGATGTGACCCAAATTATTTTTAATCATTTATATGCTATGGCTTGATCACTGTCTGAGTCCTGGTTCCATTTTTAAAGATTCATCGATGTAGTTTTCAAAGAATACCTTCTTTTTAATGACTATATATTATTATAGTAAACAAATGTTGATTATTTTTTATTCAATAATAAAAATGTTATAAGTTATGCTATCATGACAGAAGCACTTTGTTTAAGCCTGTCTGTCTGTCACCGTCTCTGTACGTCCGATTTAGCCGCGAAGTTTGATGTAATTCTGATAACAAAGCCGTTGAGCTTAGATAATTTTGGACTATTGTTCGATACTTTCATTAAAATATTAATAGCAATACAATCAAACAAACAACACATAATCTTTTTTTATTGCAGTACGAATCATTTGTCCATTGTTTAAAAACAACATCAATGCTATTGCTGAATAAAATTAACAATTAAAATAATTGGCAAAGCAATTGTTGTTTAGAGATATAACAAAATGTACTCTTTTTATAAAAGCATATATAAAAATTATTTTAAAAGCTATTATAAAGCGTTTCTAAAATTGAGGAAAACCCATATAAATAATTAAAAACCAGTCATATTTTACATTCTGCGAAACATTCAAACGGATAAACTTCACCAACTATTGTGTGACGGAAATCGATCACAGCCAACAATGCTGCTTACGACAACAATGCTTTTCGTTTATGATTCGGCTCATATGACCCACTATATTCTTTACAATGTACTTGTTAAACATTTCTTAACGAAGTTGTTCTACATTTAGATATATTTATTAATCCCACACGAATATGCAAGTTGACTTAACATAGGTATTCAAATATTGTCTTTCTATTCCTCGTATGAATTCCCAGTTTCAGTAGTTTTTTTGTTAAAAGATATTAAACATGCAAATGCACGGAAGACCAATTAAGGGTGGTCCATCGGTGACAAGGGGTTCGGGATACGATTGCCTGTCAAATGCAACGTAGTTCAATTAATTTTCCTAGACAATGTTGTGTACTGTTACAATCTGGCGGCTTTAAGGGGCATTTTGAGGTATACACTACATCATGTAGTGAGTGAAAATGTAATCTTAATATAAAAATATTATCGTTTCTTTAAATATAGGGGATATAGTAGTCTTCTGCTAATAAATTCGTAAAATTTATAAACACTCGACTCAAGCGTGAGAAAAATAAACGGAAAAATAGCGCCATGTTTTGATGTATCACAGACATTGACTGTTCAAAGCAATTTTACGTGGGCAAACGAGCTTAGCTCGCTGTAACGTCTGAGATACAACTTAAAAATAACTTGATTCACAGCTATGGGAAACACAAATTACTAAATTATAATTTTGTGTTTTTACCAATACTAATACGAATAATACCAAATAGTTTTAATGAGGAAAAATGTTAGTTGAAAAAGATCTGAAATAAAAACCAAAGAGTTTTTATTACACATTTTATTGTTTACATGAATAATTAATATAAATATCATTTTACCTCGTATACAGGGAACAGTCATTATTTGCGTAAGTAATACAATGATCAACGGTTTGTGAGACGAGTCATATCACGTTTTCCCCAGTTTCAAGTGATAACGAGGAATACGAAAACCCGTATATCAATAACATGTGTGACTATATTGCAGGTTACTATGGTCAGTTAATTCAATATTTATAATCTTAAAAATTACATGTTTTATTTTTCTTCGTAAGTGTCTTAAATATTTGAACGTTTTAAACTTTATATGTCAGTGGTGGCTCAGTGGTTAAAGGGCCCGCCTCTTGTTGCCGAGGGCGCGGGTTCGATCCTGGCCCGGGCAAGTACCAATGTGATTTTTCCGAATCATATGTACTTTCTAAGAGTATTTAGACACCACTGACATACGGTGAAGGAAAACATCGTGAGGAAACCTGGACTTATAGTTTCACAATTATAAGTTTGAAATCACCAACCCGTCTTGAGCAAGCGTGGTGATTAATGCTCAAAACCTTCTCCACGTGAGAAGAGGCTATGCTCAGCAGTGGGCGTTAATAGGCTGATGACAAACTTTATATGTGTTTAAATGGTAAATATTCCAAAGATTGTTCTTGTCTTAAACTTTACTAATGTAACTGACATCTTAATAGGAAGCTGGGATACTTAATTAGATTTGTACGATAATTAAAAATTACCTAAAGTATGAAGTCTGAAGCGTGAATTCAGATCAATCAGTGATGATCTTTTAAAATAATATAATTATGCGTGTAAATATTTTCTTTAAAACATTTTTGACTAACTGAGAACAAAGACTTCCTTGTCGTATTATCTTTTTAATCGAACTCTAGGGACTGTGACGTGATGTTATATAGCCACTACTCTGTAAATAATCATCATGTTTTTTTTTTCTTACGAAAGACGTGGACTGATTATAGTGGCTGTTTCATAATTTCAAGCATTAAAACTACGAGTACGAAACAATGGTAATATTATATTATAGTTACTAATTTTCAATTTTTTATTAAAGCAGAAGTAATTTGAAAAATAATGAAATATGTTGTACTGATACAATTAATGTGTATTTAGGGGAAAACTAAATATTTGAACTGCAAAATATATGATGCTGTGTTTAATTAAGTAAATAACAAATAAACATTTAATTCACTCTATTTAATTTCGACGACGGAACAAGAATAGTCAGTTCTATTGTTAACATTGTATTTAATTAAAACAATAAAAATATCTCACAGCGCTGACTGTGAGCAGACGTTGGGAGCGACGCTGAAGACGTCTTTAATAAATATCACAAAAGAGACTTTTTTATACAAATACATTTATGTTTTTTGTTGAGTCATGAAAAAGAGGTACACAAAAAAGTGAAAAAAATACATCTGAGTACATTTATGTCTGAAATGTAGTTTTGATTGGTATCGTTGTTTAGTGCTGCATGTGACTGACCCCGTTTCGTTCGACTAGTAGTACTTACATTGATTATCCGTTATTTTATATACACGAGCCGTTTTTATATAACACAATCTGTGTTTGTTACTTCTTAGTCATCAGTTCATAATATTTATGTTAACATAAAAACGTGTTTATTTAAATATTTGCTATTAGGTTTACACATTTCACGATGACGCGAGCTGTATATTTCATTATGTTGAACGTAAATAATTGCAGTCTACAAAATAGTCAGTCAACCAGACATCCAATATAAATTAAGCCTTCATAAATATAGCACCTCCGAGTCGGATTTACATTCTCGTTTCATATTTTAATATATCTTTTGAGTCGACCTTGATGCGATGGCCGTTTTAAAATGTTATTAGTCTTAAGTACGATTGTACATACATAACATTCAAGTTTATTATTTTTTATCTATTAATTCGTTCATCGCAATCACTATTACTCCCGTATAGTTGTTTTGTAATACGTATCTAGGGACCACTGTACATTTTTTGGATAGGAGTTGGATCATAATTTAACAGAGAGCATTATTTTATTATTAGATCTACTATAAGTTATAAGTCTTCCAATGTTTAAATCCTAATTTCTTATTACTCTGAACCATCATTTCATCACTACAATGATTAGTGTAAAGTGTAGGTACCGAAATATCTCATTACTAAAGAATATTTCCCCAAATTACCATTTTTCAGAATATTCGAGAAGGTTCGACAGTACTTCGGCGCTCAGAGCGAGTCTATCCCGATGTCCTTCGTCCTTGGTTTCTACGTAAGCCTGGTAGTGAAGCGTTGGTGGGAGCAGTACAAGTTGCTGCCTTGGCCGGACACACTCGCTCTGTTCATCTCCGCGGGCATCCCCGGAGCGGTCAGTAAAGTAAACGAGACTTTGTTTTCGGTAGACCTTATCTTCTTTCTTCAACCTGGATCTTTATTTTATTATATCTTATTTTCAGCTGGTAACATCTATCACTTTAATATCGCCTATTTCTTCTATTTATACATATTTTCCGTCTTTTCTTTAAATAAATACAAATAGTGTATTTAAGTTTCACAAGTGTAGGAGTAAGCAATCAAATCTCGTGTCGGTTATGGACTAGTGATGTCATGCGAGTGAAAAACAATCATAACTTTATAGCCTTTGATGCGAAACTTTGTATATTTTTAACAGAGCTCTTGCGACCTTTACACACTAATAATTTTTTAAATCTTTTTCAAATATCCTCATACACATTTTGTCTGCAGTTACTAGAAATTTCTATTTAAATGAAAAGTCCCAGTTGTGTTTTTCCACGTTCGATGAATTCCATCTATAACATTTATCCTTATTTTGTTAGTGTATACATTTATTCTTATTAAAAAAAATAATTGTAAACTGCTATTCAGATAAACACGACCCGCATCGTATGTGTTTGTGTGCAACTTTTACCATTAGTCTGACTCTATTATATGTATAAAAAAAGTTATAAGAAACCAAGGGGCCTCATTTCATATAAATAGTTCTTACTATGTGACTAGCATCGTTTTAAAAATTTGAAATCTGAACACTAATGATCAGAGTTTAACATCCCTAATAAAAATATATGAAATCGTAAAGTAAAACGATTTAGAATATCAAAGATATATATTTTATGATTAAATGACTATTTAGTGAAAATATTTCGATTGAAGTTATTTCACTGATTAGTGCGACTCACCGCGGGACCAGAATGGTAACGTAATTATATCGGTGGATATTCAACCAGCTAAAATATTCCACTTTCGTGTTATGTATTGAAATATTCGGCAAATTTGAGTTTGGAAAGCGTTTAGGAAGCCCTGTTCGAGGAATGCTGCCTATGTGCTGCATCAATTTGCGGTCGGATACACGGGTACTTCATTATTCACATAAATGTTCGTGGTAATTCTACCAATATCACAATGCGACTATATTTTATCAAATTTATCTTTTAATTTATCTCTCAAAAGGTTTTTATTCGGACGTCTTGTTTAACATTTTTTCAAAGGAATCAGTAGCCCATTGTAACGCCGCTTTGTTCAATACGGATACGTAATATATTGTTATTGCTAAAGCGTTGCGAATGTTGAAGGTGGCTGAAGTTATTTTTCAATAAAAATATTATAGGTGGTGTGTAGGTAGCGGTGGCTATCCGGTAGCCAGCGATGCGTGTTCAGGAAATACTAACAAGGTAAGGCATAATGAAGGCATTCATTATAACAATTATTTTTGTGTCTTAATTGTGAGATTTTTTTCTGTTTCGCCGGCGATGATCCTTCTTATTTTGTGCTAGTTGTATTACGTAAAGTTTCAAAAGGAATGTTTGCGATTTGCATTTTTTCGTATTAATACAACATTATTATTATTCATAACACACCCATTATTAGTTATGTTTTCGAGACATAATATTATTGTTATTACTGATAATATAACGTACACAAGTAAACATTTTATGTATCTGGTTAGTCATAAAAATGTATTGTCTATTTTAAAACTAACTTGTAAAACATATACGAAAGAAAAGATTTTATCTATTATGTACCTGCACAGATCATGTAATTATTATTTTCCATGATGTGTTTACGTGAACTGCAATGTTTTAACTCTAAAATAATAATATAAAAATATTTTTTTTTATTTTATATAGAACTTAATCAATATTTTTGTAGGCCTGATGAGTATTTTATCTAGTAGCAAAAGAATATGTTGCCAGTAACATTATTATTTTATTTCTATTTCTTTAAGTCACAATTGACTAAAGTTGGGAACTATGAAGAGGTAGGAAGTTCTCCTGTGCTTTCGATGATAGTAATGTGAACTTTACCTAAGATAAAACTAAAATTTAGAAGGGCAAAAAATAGATATACTTCTAAAGGTAAACTTTGATAAGGAAATAATTGTGGTCGGTTTAAGAAATCGCATGCTAGATACTTACTAGCACGGACTAGTAATACTTTAGTATAATAAAATGAAGTAATTAAAAACGAACACCTACTCATTTTATAGTTTCGGTAATGAGAACTACTTGTAGTAAGTGATAACGACTACAAAGGTAATGGAATAGCAAATATGTACGGAATCTTTTTGATATTTTAAAACATGTTAAAAAAAATTACGACTACGATCGACCGTTTCAAAATTCTAATGAAACATTAGAATTTGGCCTGACTGTATTTCAGTTTTGTATACTCGTCAAGTAATTAATAACTGAATTAAGCTGGTCAATGTTATTCATGATTGAATTCATGTACCTATCTAAGGACCGCGTTTTGAATCTATATGTGTAGGGCCTGTCATATTCGTGTTGAGCTTAATGAATTTCGAACGCGACATCTCGTAGTTAGTTGCATAAACAAAAAAAATGTAGCAACATAATAGTCATATTAATTATTTATTTATGGTGCGTCAGTTGGGTTTATATTTTTTAATTACTTTACTTCTCTTTTTCGGGACTATCCGATTTTTCTAAATAGTTGTAGGGACTTAAAAGATTTTGACGGTTACTGTTCATTAGGTTAAAGATCGATGATAGAATTTAGTTATAGTTTAAGTTTCATTAAGACTTCAAATGTGATTTGTAATATAGAATTTGAAATAACGTTTGTCTACGTGTACTAAAAGAAAGAAAATTTGCATGTTGCCGTCCTGTGCTTATTAGGTGCTTAGTAGGTATATTAGTCTGTTCCAAAGCTAACAAAATAAATCGACGCTGTGCAGAAAACTCACCAATTCTTGATTGTCATAATTGTTTGTTATAAATATTTCAAACATTAGATTCAACGATTACTATGTTTTCAACCATTAAACATTTTCCGATACATACCATTCCATTAAATTCTTAACAAAATTAATTGATAAATAATGTGTTAGATTTTATTCATATTACATTAATAGAAGTATTAGGAGTGGTGCTGCCGTGAATGACAAAGGAGACATTATCTCTTATGCTAGTATCGATGCATCAAGATGTCATCTCCTACTAATTTTCATACTTAATGAGAAAATATCAACACAAATTTTTCCAATACCTATGAAACAAGTGTACCTATAGGTTGTTGAATTATATAGAATTATTCTCGTATTTCAATCAGCCGTAATCATTTGATGAATAACATCAACCGTAACTTTAAACGCTCATGCTAGGTTTAGAGAAAATATTATAAAAACTTTTAATTTACATCATTGACGCCGTCACGACACTTACTTATTAGGTTTGATCAACCTTGACCGTAATGCAAAAACTTTACTACAGCTAATATGTTATTAAAAATATTTACAATTACGTGATCTGCATCATTTCCTAGTTGTGTGAATATTGTTGTGTTAAGCTAAAATAATTAAATTAATTATATTATCATATTTATTTGTTTCTGAGATATTTTTTTCTTGAATATGTCTATAATGTTTAGTGTAGTAGACAATGTTGTATTTAGGTTCGAATTTAATGTTCAAGTAGGAGTTAAATTTGATACTTGCAAATCATGTTAAAATAATTTGCAACTTAGTATTAATAATAGTACTTATAAGTCATAAATCAGTAACTGTTTAATTTAGGATAGTGATTAAAATGAATTTTAATTAAATAATTTGGTATATTGATATCCTTCACCCATCTAACAATATACGTTTTTAAGTTGACATTTTACTAATTATTTCCTATAATTTTGTCTTTGAAATGATATTTATCAATATCTATGAAACATTAAATGTTTACTTAATATTTTTATCACAAATTTTACATATTAGTTCCTTGCATTAAACATGAAATAGTAAATAATATTGGAATTACAATTATTATGACTCGTATAAAATAATATATTTATAAAGCTTAAATATTATGATAAAATGAAATTTTCGTGATCATTAAGAATAACCATGAGAAACTATTTATATTCTTTATTCATAAGCGCTTTACGTTTAACCAAGAAGATTTTTTAAGTCATTATGAAAACTATTAAATCGACCTTGTGTTCATTAAAACAATATCATTTCTGTTTATTGTAAGGTTAAAAATCTATCTACAACTGTATAATACGCAAACCTTTTTGAATATTTTTAATTCACAAATCTACACAGACGAAATCACATATGTATTATGAATTGGAAATTTGGAAGTGATAGTTTTTATTTAATAATTCAAACTATCACTTTTTGATTCCACTGAACAATATTATAAACAAAGAAAATATGTACTTTTGATTGTGGTTTCGTGGTTTTATTAACTTTCTTAAGTTATTCTTATATCTAAAACGAGTTTTGTACTTCTATACAAAGCGCCGTTCATTTAACGTGGAACAGATATAGTATTGAATTTGAAAAAAGATCTAAAGAAGTTACATTAAGTACATAATAAATTCAAAAATATATGAAAAAGAGAAGTTTGAAGTATACTGAGAAATAGCTTATATATTTTTAATAATGTTCTGTAATTTGACAGACAGTTTATCCAAAGTTATGTTATGTTCAGGAAATAAATACGCTTTGATTATTGCTTTGAGACTTAAGAAGTAAGTGATATTGTGTAATAAAATCACATCATATGCTCGGCTTTATTAAACAAAAATCATTTTGAAATAATAATTAATTGATAAATTAAACATAGGTAGTTTAAAAATGATGGAAGGTATAAATTAATTTTCCACTACAAACAACATCTTCGAACAATAAGTTGAATCTAATTAACTTTTATCGAAACTCAAAACAAGTAAATGTTTTAATTGATTTTATACGATAATATGAATAAACATTTATAACGGCTGCCTTGCATCATTTTCCTGCTAACAATGATGTCTTGTTATTAAATCCTCGCTGTAATCATACGATTTATTTTAAGATTAACATAAAACTTCCAAGGGTAATAAATACAATTCTCATTTTATCGGTAACTGGTAAAATAATAAAAATTCCGCTATTTATAAACAGTTATAAATTTCTTAGGTCTAAAGTTAGGTATATTAACACATAACATATACAGTATAGAACATTTGTATCAGAATCAATCAATTCAAGTAACAATAAAATAAATTATTGAAATATAGACATGTTAAATTTGCAATACCTTTAAAGTTTTTCGTAAAATCATTAACATTTGAGGCATCCAGCAATTAGTTTCAATGTATTGTTGTTTCGCCCTTGACAGGTTACGAGGGTCAGGCGCCAAACCAGTCAAATATTGTCGGCTCGTTTTGTTACTTTCGATTAAAAACTATTGAAAGTTTAACTTTATTATCAAAGCCCATCAATTTGGATCAAAGGTGTTTATTAAAATAAATATAATATAATTCTACATTTTCTGTATTTCATCTGAATAAAAGTTTAGGTATTGGTTGTTTTATGAGATGTTTGAAATATAGCTAACATCTGAAATTACTCTCTGATCTGAATTTGATCAATTCAATCTCTCATATAAGGGTCTTATAAAGATTTTATTGGAGTGCGACGAAGCGCTGTTTGCACAATTTGTCTGTTTGAGCTACGTAAACCAGACCTAGAATGTGGAGCGACAGAGGCAAGCATTGTTCGAAACAAAACTATTCTCGTAATCCTGCGGTTGGAAATATTTAATTAATGATACCTAATGAGCTCTCCGCCCTTGAAGAGGTCACATCGCCTTTCAGAACAAATAATTCAACAAATATAGGCTACAATAATAAGTTTACCCTTGAACAATTGCGGAGGCGAGAGGACAATCACTCAGTGCAAAAGTCGTAAACTAGTAATTGATGAAGCTAGATAACTTCGTTGACATGAATTTTGTTTGGACAGCTTTGCGTATGTCTTACCTATATCTTACAGAATCACGTAACGTTTGTCGCTCTACATTATCAACTTTAAATAATTTTAATTACTATAGAAGCTTCAAGAGACTTTTATGCAAAAAAAAATGTCCTTATGTTTTTATACAGCCACATTATTTTTGGCTTCTTCCAAGTAACGACCAAAAATAGCAATCATAATCTTTGGGCACAAATATAGCCGACATTTTCCGGTGAATATATAGTATATTAATATAAAGATAATTTAAACACAGCTCGTACAAGATTTTCAACGCTGATTACTTTTCAAGGTGACAATACAATACTGAGATGTATTATTTATTCTGATCCGACTATAGTTTTAATTTTTCAAGGAATTTGCGTCATAATTTAAAATCTCCCCTTTTATTATTATTTAACACTTTTTTTTTCGATAGCACAATGAATTACGAAACGTTCATGACCTCAACCAAATACTTTCTTGTTTACACCAATCTTTTATTTCGGAAGTGAAAGGAATCAGTGAAATTCTGTAGAAACTGTCTCTGATAAATCTTTATAAACCTTTTTTTACAGTATCCAGTAGATTATGTTTCATACACCTCCGACATACGAGAATACCTGTATCAAACACACTATAGAGAAAACAAGCTAACGAATTACAGTATTTAAAATTGTCATTACTCGTTCCCTTATTATATATCTACAAGATTGTCATTATTTTCTTGTTACCTGCAATAAGCAATGACAGCTATTATATGTCGCTTTGAAAAAACTAAAATACTCTATAACTTCATAACATTGATATAAATATTATAATAAAAATATGGTTAAAAATGTAATTCCTTTATACTGAGATCTGAGTCTTACTGATATTTTTATTTATCCTCCTTTTCCTTCTATGTACAATTGAATTTTATTAATATTCTCAGTATCAAGCGGTTATATAACGGATTATTGTAATAATTAATAACCTAACGTATATCTAACTGCATAATATTTTATTTTCTTTACCAATAAATGAGATATGCGAATATTGATCCAATGATGATGTAATTTAAGTATAAAATAATGTAACCTTATGGTTCGAAGAATTCAAATCTGGTAATACTTTAAGCAGTATCCGTTTACGAAAACATAATTCAGTTCATTTGTATCGAGCCGAAGCGAAAGGACCACTACGTCACACGATAAGGTGGCATAGAAAGGATTCGCCACGCTGTGACTGTAATGTTACCCAACCTCGCTCTTACCCCACGTGTAATAAAGGACACAATGCAATACAAATAAGCAGCTAGAAATATTGAAGTTATTGATTATTCATACTTACGCTTTGTTCTTTCGTGTTTAAAACATTTTTTGTTAGAAAACGTACTACGTGCCGTTATTGATTGTGGAGTTGATGACTCCTATCACGACAATCGCTTGTAAAACATTCTATCTATTCTTTAAATATACACTTAATAAAAAAACAAAATCATTCTTATTAAACAACATCAAGGTTTTGTTAGTCTTAAACCGGTCGGCAACAATTATTTTTAAACAATTTTTAATAAAACGAACTTCGGTTAGGATATATAAATTCGCGAGATTAATTATTAAGGTAAAATACGTACCTATACTGTCAATCACATGTTAACGTATGCCAATTTTACATTGAGTTTTAGTATTGAAATTTTAGGATATAATATTTTAACTGAATCCAAAACTGTATATCAGCTATGGTCAAATCAACTTTAAATATCAACAGATTTTTAAATACTAAATAATCCCATATTCTTAAATCTCTTGAGTGGTGAAAGGGATAATGATTTTTACATATTAAAAAGCAATGCAATTCCTATATAGTTATTTAACAAGGTGTTAAACGTATAAGAAATATTCAGCAGTTACTTTTAGCATTTTCTACTTTTATTAATTATGAATTTTAATATAGAAAATTTACTTTAATGTGTATGAGACACCAACCACAATGAGGGTGAGTTTAATGCTTGTGTGTTATTCACCAAACTGATTTTAAAGGTTTTTCCTCTGCCTGTTGTTCGGTAAAAGCGGCATATTTACACTTTGTTATATAACGAGGCATTGTTCAAAGCGTGTTTTAACCGCCTGAATTTCTATTCTACTTCACATTGTTTCGTGCTGCACATATTTCAGCCTGTTAGGTAATCTCACTAACAATATGTGTGAACATCAACATAAACTGAGCTATCTTATATTATAAGGGATGGGCTATTTTTTATAATTAATTATTATTACACGTGCTATGTTTTTGTCTCATTTATTCATTATGTTTTTATATGGGTTTTGATTGGATGGATCTTTCGTTCCATGATTTTTTCACAACAACCCATTACCTATATGCCTCAATAATTATACATATTGTCTCATAAAAGAATGGTTTGAAATATACCCTGCAGAAGTATAAGACCATACAAGAATCAGAACTTATTAGGATAGTAAAGTTATATCTATACCCATACCTACACACCAAAAGTGGAAATCCATAAATATTTTCTCGTCTATATTAGTATGAATTCTTTTATGTCTATTAATCATAATTGTACAATTTATTATATATAATATATATCATTTATAACTGAATTTATTAAACTAGCGGAAATTACTCGGTAACTAGTAACAATAACTTGAGTAAGCCTACACCAGCCGTCAATGTTAGATAGGACAAGGAGTCAGCAGCAAAATATATGTATATAATATTGAACTTGAAGATTTGTTTTAGGAAAAAGAAATACCAATTCAATGACAGCATAATAATATTTTTAAAATTATTTTATTGAACGTCATGTCGTAGTCCAAATTGATAAATCGGATTTTATCTATTTAGTCCCTATCGGTCCCTTCACAGGATTATAAAACAAATAGATTTTATCAAGATCGAGTAATGCTATTCATTTAAGATATTTTAAAACGTCGAATAAATAAGTCGTCGAGTTGAAAGACATTCTCAGAAAAAAAATATTATAAAGTCATGATATTAATAGCATCAACAAAATAAAACACTTGATCTTAACTTTTAAAGTCGTTGGGTTTTCCTACGTTATATGTTAATAAATATAGTATATAGTTTTGATTATATTGCTTCTATCAAATATTATGTACCTATAGCTTCCAACTATATCAACACTTTCCTTGTATATGGTCACAGTCGTTACTATTGTATCAGGTGCGCCGCTTCTGTCCCACAAAACAAGGCTACGTTACTATGTATTGATTAACAATTAATTTAAAATTTGAGTATTGAATAGAGTATACTTTTAATAACAAGTAATGTACACGAACTACATTAATATTGTAAAAGTAGCCAAAAATATTTTATTAGATTTTATTGCCTGGATTTTCTATTTGTTTTTTCTCGTGAAGTCTAATATTTTGGTTAAATAAAAGTAAGTAAAGGTATAAACCATATAACAATACTTATATTTATAAAAATATAAGTATTGTTCTTATATGTAAAAGTAACTTTTGTTTCTTGTAGTTTGCGTCTTTTGGGCTTTGACAATGTAATTCTCTTTATGAACAATCAATTAATTGCACTTTAATTAAATTAATATTGCGACGTTTAAAACATTTGTTGAGTGTTATTTTGCTTTATATAGCTTAAGCATGGCTAGCTAGCTTCTTACTGTGTTTCTTTTTTTTTAACTGTTTTTACTACATATTTTGTAAACGCAAGTATACAAAGCGACTATTTGATCTGCGACATGCGACATGTTTTCTTAATTCCAATTATAATCTTGTTTAAGATAGTGTTTATCAAATTAAATATGTAAATAAATATGCTTACTTGAAAATGTTAATAAAAAATCAAGTATTTAAAGTACGCTTCAAGAAGTTTTTTTATTGTAACTCTATATATAAAAACGATTGTAATTATTATTATAGATTTCCATCTAAATTGCATAACATGTTACATCGCAATATCAAAAAACATTAACCATAAAAGCATACACATTACACATAAATAATAGATAGAAATAAATCAATCAACATATTAAATGGAACTTAAAATTGCTATCGTTATGTAATATAAATTTACGTATACGGCTTTACGAGTATGTTTCCTTGTTTGCAGGACGAAACCGGGCGGCTGATGAGGCGGAATATAGTCAGATACGCCATTTTGGCATACGTGATCACCTTGCAGCGAGTCTCACTCAGGGTCAAGAGACGGTTCCCCACGTGGCAGCACGTTGTGGACTCCGGTGAGTGTGGCCAACCTGGCCCAGCTGGCCAATCTGGCCAAGGTTAATAAGTGGCGAACGCCTTTAACATATTATACCACTACCGGCTATACTCTGATAGGTCTTATGTTACTTCAAAAGTTCAACACAAGATCGTTGCTCCATTTACATAGAGTAAATAAATAGTATTCAAGGTTTGTTATTAATTAAATATGTTGTTAATGATAATGTCATAGACCAATACGCTTCTGATACGTTTTCTGTAGTGGGAAGTACAAAGATATATGTAGTCTATTTAAAATATACATATATTATTATTTTAAATTCTTAAGATATATATATTTTTTATTTGATAGACGAAAAATATATTAATGTTCAAAACAAATATTTCAGGTCTGATGTTGGAGAGTGAGAGGAAGGTATTCGAGAAGATGGACGGTAAGAGCCCAATGTCCAAATACTGGATGCCCCTTGTGTGGGCAACGAATATCATCAACAGGGCGCGGAAGGAAGGCTTGATCACCAGCGACCACATCGTGCAAACTCTCTTGGTCGAGCTATCTGACATCAGACGACGGTTGGGAGCGCTTATCGGGTACGACACTGTGTGCGTGCCTCTCGTCTATACACAGGCTAGTAGATTGCCATATGTGAATTATCGGAACAGTTTCATCTGTTTTCAACGCTAACAAGATGAGCTCATTATAAAGTTAGAAAGCTCATTATGATGTTAAAGCGCTTAAACATTACTATATTTAAACTATTTGAAAACGTTTGGAATATGGAACGCTTCGCCTCATTATTATCTTTTAGTGGTAACCAAACTGTAAGCCGATATGTGAATGTTAACAGAAATGATGACTACAACTCGGAACATTCTGTGCATTCATAAACCCATAATTAGCAGGAAAAGGAAATCGTAATATTTAATATCAGATCTTAGGGAGCCTGCAGATTGATAGAATTTTAAAGACGGTAGCATTTTTAACACCTTAAGTTACCTAATTATCAGTAGATTGAAACAATTGAAAACTCAATTTCTACACACCGTATTTTTTACCAAAACAGTGAGTGTTACAAAAATATTTTTTTTACATAAAGTAACCTACATAATGAAATATAGGTTTTTGTCCGCGTCATCTTGCATCAGCTACGTGGTTGGGGTGATAAGAATTAAACAATAACAAATGAATTATTAATATTTTCCAAGTCATTATAGTTATTATTAGCTTTTTTCTATACTGTCTTTAATATTTACAGATTCAAGGTATATTGTGTATACAGTATATTATATTGAATAGGACAATGAATGAGAGTAACGGTTCACCAACACCCACAGTATTGATGGTTTATATTTATTGGATTAATCCTCTTTATATTATAAATCATGCAACTATCCAGATCTGTTTTAATAGTGATAAAATCAAGTGATTATTCTAGTGACAAACGTCATATTTAATGGATAAATCCTATCTTTTTTGTAATTCAAATGATCAAGATATAATATAAGACACACATACATTAAATATAAGCGAGGTAATATTGAAGTGACGTCATCCGTGTGGACTGTGACTGTAGAAAATAATAAAGTAACGACTAGCGAGTATTACATGTTACGATTATCGTTTGCGGAAACATGCGCTTTGAATGAGCGTGAGCCGATCAACACTCACATATTGGATACCGATTCAAATAATTGTCCCTTTGTTGAAATACAAACAATATCTATTATCTATACACACGTAGTTATGTTAAACAAACATTCTTCAAAAACATTTTAAAATAATCAATATTACTTATTTAATAATTTCACTTGAAAAAACTTTTGGAAGTTATTTTTCAATATAACGTAATTTTTGTCATGAATATGTATATGTAGGCAAGCGAGACACGTTGGCGTATCCAAACTTGTGACACGTGTCTGTTACATTGTGGGAAAATAATCTATAGATGAAAAGGGCTTTTATAGTTGAAAAATAAACGAAGGAAAATTATGAAACAAGTGGTCTTAAACCGTTCAGAGACTAGTCATATTTAGTAAAGTTTTGTTTATTTTGGCTCCAGACTATTATCGTTATGAATTTAATTGCTTTTGAAATTTTTTTGAGAATAAAATCAAAATAACAATTAAAATTTATTAAAGAATCCAGGGCACTATTGAAATGGTAGAGAAAATAATATTGCTCTTTTAATCTTGCTTTCCAGGTTGTGACATTAGCCTTGTACACATACTTTGTGGCAGCACTGATGGGTCGGCAGTTGGTGCCACCTGCTCCTGGTAGTACCTCCAAATACGAACCAGATGTTTACTTCCCGTTATTCACAGCCTTACAAGTGAGTTGTATCTTATAAGGAAGTATCCTAATGATAATCAGATAGTAATTAGTCTTAGGTTTTAAACATAAAACATTGAACAGATATCATGTATGTCAATGTTGCTTTGAATAATGGTTTCTGCCTACAACGAAGTCTTCAAAAAAGTAATATAGCTTTACGTAATACTTAATCTTTGAACACAAAAATAATCGTGTAGGAGTATATTTATTGTAGGTATATATCAGTTGCTGTAGATGAATTACTATTCGATTGTTCTTAAATATTTTGTATTACGCTTCTATGATTTTCTTAAATACATACTCAATATTTAGGTTTTAATATAAATATTTCAAACTGTATAGTGTTTTTGCCTTTTTTTTTCAGTTTTGTTTCTACGTAGGCTGGCTAAAGGTTGCGGAGGTTCTTATTAACCCATTTGGTGAAGATGACGATGACATTGAGCTGAACTGGTTAATCGATAGACACATAAAGGTATTAAATATATAAAAATTTAATTTAATAAAGACTTAATCATATGTTTATCAAAAATACATCTAATTTGTCAGGCGGCATATATGATAGTGGATGAAATGCATGAGGAACATCCAGAACTTCTCAAAGACCAATACTGGGAAGAGGTAGTTCCAAAGGACCTGCCGTACACTGTTGCCTCAGAGCACTATCGCCGTCACGAGCCGCCCTGCTCCGCTGACCACTACAAAGTAAAAGCAGAAGACGCTGTATACGCCAATGTACAAGCACCTAGAAAAAGCCATGACGAAACTTATGCTGATTATGTAAGTCGACAGTTTGTTGCAGTTCATGTACCAAGAAGTGCTTATAATATAACGTTTACAAGCAATACATTGTTTAACTTCATTATTTTCTGTTATTAAATTTCCAAAATCCTTCTTTTATTCGTATCAATTTATATATAAGTAATAACGTTTAACCAATTAATACATATTATAATCTTTGCAATTCATTCATCGCTTGAAAGTTATTTGTTAATTCTCAAGCCTTTCTTTACATAATTTGAACACTGTTCACCTTGCTTCACCATGTAACTAACTAATAACAAGAAACTAACAACTTTTCTAATGCTTTCAGGAGAGTGTAGATACACCATTGGTAGAACGACGAAAAAACTGGTTTCAGAGACAGATATCAAGAATGGGTTCAGTACGATCGGCTTCCACTGATTATTCTTCTGGTGGGCTATTTGGAAGAAACCGACATAATTCTATGGTGTACTCCAGTCCAGAGACGGGCCAGCCCACTGCACCGCCGCAACAACACCATAAGATGTCATTGTACGAGAGACTCGTGGGCAGGAAGTCCGGGAGAGGACAACATCGACAGAATTCTAAGCATGGTGAGTTGAGGGACCATTTTGTCGAGTTTTCTTATAATTATTTATTTTGCTTCTTTTTTATACCATTTGCGTATTTTTTTCTAAACAAATCTTTTAATTTTGTTAAGAATAGAAAATAATATACAAGTCATTGGCTATATTTTTTGTTAAATAAATACAGAACTGTAGTAATAAACGACTTCTCCTAACTTTCTATACAGGCAGTCAAAAGAGTAATGGATCAGCAATACCGATAACATTACGCAATCGCCCACGTATTCCTACTCCGGACGTGACCAAAGAGGTTATGGACCGTGAGAACCGCATCACAATGGGGATGCAGAATATGGGTGTAATTATGGCTCACCAGGGCTACCAAAACGAGGTGCCTGTTTTAGGAGCTCTCGTACTCTCTCCAATCCAAGAGCTTGACAGTGGCTCCGTCAACAACACTTTGCATGCCGGACAGCCTGGGACTACAGCACTAGCACAAGCTGTGCTATCTCCTGGTTTGGCTTCAGGTATTATAAACCAGTTGATCTTGATACACACATATTATCTATTTTAGTTTTAACTCTCATAGGTGCTTCATATATTTCAGGTTTAACACCAATGCTGACAGCAGCGCCTGTGGTGTCGCCGGTGACATTGTCCCCCATGGGGGTGTCACAGCTTCTTGGTAGTTCGACACCATCAACACCTCGCGCAGACCGCACACCGCCTGCTCCACGTGCCACAGTCACTGAGCTACCGTCTGACAGCGAACACAGCGGGTCAGGGACGCCGCCAGAATTCAATAGAAAGCCAAACGGCTCTAAACGAGGAGAAGTCTATGTATAACATACTTGCTTAGACGTATTGCTCCATTGACAGAATTACTGCCTATGAAGGATCTGCGAAGTAGTCCAAGGTGGTTTGAATCTATTACGTTTCATCAAAAGTTTACATTTGCTTTTTCAGTAAATTTTATAGTAAGTCCGCACACAGACTTACAGTAAAATATGAGTGTGAGTGAGTGTTTATTGTTAATTGGGCAGTTAACGTGACGGTAACTGGTTATTAATTAAGTAGGAAGTGTGTATATAAATATAGAAGAATTATATATCGTTCGTGATCGAGCACTAGTTGTCCCTAAACTAATCCGTCCCAGTAGTGCTTGGTATGTGATCACATTTATATGTATGTACAATATTGACTGATATTGAAAGTTTTATTGAGTTACTTATATTGTGTGTTAATTTTATGATCTACCATCATATCTAAAAATATAATTTACGCACAAACAGGGATTGAGTTATATAGCTTTGTATAAATTCTTTTTCATTTATTTTATCTTTTTATTTCTTCTTTTCTAATTTACCCTAAATTTTCCTCATAATAAAAATCCTGAAACAAATATTAACAAATATAAAACGAAATCAAAAATCTAGTAACGACCTGCTTTAATCTTTCAAGGGATTAAACGAAATGAAGATCAAATATGAATAAAAAGACGAATTTGATAAAAATCGTATCTTGTTTCATAAATTTATTTTAAAAATAATTTTTAAATAATTTTCTTTATGAAATGAAGGGAAAAGAAAGAATACAATGAATTAACATATTGTAAGACGTTTTCTTATTCCCACGATTTTTATATATTTAAATTGTTATACAGGTAACGTTTTATCTATGTACGTCCAGGTAGACGATATTTGACGCGATATTATCAAAATTTCTCTTAATAAAATATGAGCTACTTTACACGGATTAGTAAAATGAAACTTTTACATACGATAAGGGTATCTGTTTTCAATTTCAAGACATACCTACATATACATAAATATACACGTCATGAATATGTAAAATAAAAACTTATAACTTTGTTATCAGAATTTTATATATCTCTGATCCTAAAAATAGAAAACTCTGATTTAGTACAATAATATTCTCTAAAGTCAAAATTATCTTCACAACAAAAGACTTTGTAAAATTTTTCCTAACCTTTTATATTCTCTATGAAAGAGAATAACTATTCAGCCGCGCTGTTATTTTTTTCTATACGTTTTGGCACCATACATGTTGTTCCATCTCCTTGTTGTGTTTTTAAAAATCATAGAGGATATATAAACAAAGTATTAAAAAGTTTGAATAATACGTGCGCCTGTTCTATATTGGCATGTTTAATTTTGATCGCTCAGTAAAATATAGAACATTTAAGAAAGTCATACCAAAATAACTCTTTTACGTGTTCGTCTTAAGGCGCTTCCATAAAATTTACATTAGATATAAATTCTCCTTATTATAAATATAACAATAGTCATGAATGAAGTTATGAAGTATTTATAAAGTTATTTATGTGAAATTTGAAATAATAGTCGATCTAAAATTTTACTGTTGATGTTTATTATAATGTATATTGTGTTAAAGTCTAATTAATTATAGTTTCAATGAAAATTCTGACTTTCGTCACCATATCGTAAATATATTTAAATAACTATTAACATATATAATATCAGGTTAATGTAGTCTCAGCCTGTGAGATCTGATGTTTTGTTAATTTGAGACAAAGATTAAATTACTATTCTCATTACCTGTTCTATACCTAATATTCAAAGAAAAATAATAAAATCGACATTAATGATGCAGTCTTGAAATAACTTTAAACAATATAAATTGTGTATTAATTATTTTTAATTTTGATAGACAGAGATTTTATTAATAAATGGATTTGCCGGTTGTCAAACATTTTTCTCGGCACACTAGATTACTATAGATACCTTCAATAGTTTCGCGATGAACCAACAACATTCAAATTCTGGTTCAGAGTTTACGCGAGGCGAAAAATGTATCTTCACTCACCTGGTGCTGACTTTCTGCCTCATATTTGTCTCAGTGATGATATATTTGATACATCTGTATCTGGTCAGTCACACCATCAATACAGTGTTTAATACTAGGAGACGAGCATCCGATATTCGTAAGACATATTTTCGTATCAACTAACTATTTTAGATCATAGTTAAGAAATCCTTTACAGATTTTGAGAATTTTCGTTTCGAAAATAATTTTTATTTGTAATATCTTGATACTTATTCCCTAAATCCTACGTTGAAACATACTGAAACTTAAAATATATTTGTATCAGAAATAATAATAAAATTATATAAAAAAAATTCGTAATACAACCACAAAGTGTTGTAACCAAGATTGGTTACAACCTAGAAGTTATCCTCTTTGTGTTTTCCGAGTTCGTTTAAGCGCCATCTCTAAGAATTTTCCAACACAATACAGTGGACGTAGGTATCTTTCGTCATAGTAATTTGAGAACTGGAAAACAGATGGGACTAGAGGAAAAGTCATGTTGCTTTTATTTCTATTGGTTATGTGTAAGGGTGTTTATGTGTATGATAAATACATAACACAACTGCCATTCACTAAGGGTTCAATAACACTGGGGCTGTTATTGAAATTCAGGAGACTAAATTAATGGAACGCGCTCTTAGAATGCGAAGGAAAATAATTGATAAAAAAACATGCATTCATTTTAAATATTCCTTGCTTTAATCTGTTTAAAAATGTTACCTTCTCTGTATTAATTTTTTTTTCAGCACAATTCGATGCTGTCCCCATCGGAGTAATATATCTAAAGAGTACTCCCGTCCGTCGAATTTGTAATACGCTGCTCCTGAAAAGCAATTGGTCTCTGGGACCTGGTCATTGTGTAGCTCTTATGTCACATCCAGATATGTCTCATCTGTTACTGGATTGGAGATTGAAGTATAGATATAATAACGGTACAATTTACTTTCTGAATTCTCTCCCTCTCTCTTTTGAAAATCCTAATTTTTGATATTTAAATATTAATTATAATATGTATTAGTATTTTATAATTACTTCTAGATAGATATTCTTTATTGTGACATGTTCTAGATTTGTATTCACGTTCACTTGTCATTAAGGACAACTCGCGAGTAAATCTCGAAAATATCTTAAAAAAACAAATTGTTATTAAAATATAGATAAAAGATATTTAACAGGTGTGAAAATTAAGAGAACCGTGGTTCACCCACACTTTGACACCGGCACGTACGAAAACAATATTGGAGTGATACATCATAAAGACTTAACCAGCTTGCAGACGTACATTCGTTAGTAATCAGTTTATCGATATTTAGATTAAATCTCAATTTAATTATCATTAATGTTTCTTTTACGACTGTTAAAGTAGATGTGGCTTACATCCTTAATTGTATTTTAGACTAGTTTAAGGTTTAGATCCGAAATAAAAGGTAAGGTAACGAGTAACATTTAGTGCTCGTAATGAATGGAAGTAGAAACATTTGTGACTGTGGTAGGGGGAGGTGGGGCACATTGATGCAAGGGGCTGCATATAGATATATACATAATATCTATTAATCCTTTGTACGATTGTTTCTGTTTGTTTTTCTAAGTTTTATTTGTTTAATAACAGGGCAGTCTTGGCAATCCTGTTCTGGATAATTGTGATACTCATAATGGTTAATTTGGCTAAGCTACAAGTATTTTGAAAGACTGATTACAATATTTTCGCAATAATAAAGTATCTAATATTTTAATGAAAGCATTATAATTTCAACCAATTTCATACAACCTCCACTTAGTATCAAAGTGTCCCATGTGATGTATCTAAGTGCCCCGTTGGTGGGGCACAATGATTCAAATTAAATTTTTTACAAAACCTATACTAATCCTTTTGTTTCACATCTTAAACGATTTTTATCATTGATATTATAATATTAAAACATATAGCTAAATGCTGACTTGAAAATTAATCAAAAATATGACTTTTATGCACATGTTAAGTATTTCATTTTCAATTTTTATGTATCAATTTACCCCACCTCCCCCTACTCTGTTTAATTTTACTTTCCTTTAATTAATATATTATACCTTTTAAAAATAAATATTATTGTGAAGTATTAAAAGGATTTATAACAAATAATATAAAAAATCCTTAAAAAAGATTTCCTCTTAGCACAAATGGCACGGATAGTTTACGGAGGTACTTTAAGAAGCAATCGAAATGTAGTGTAAACATGTATCCTCTTAGTTGATGCTGTTTGTTGTAACTAGCGACGCCATCCAAACAAATTAAGAAGCAAAAAACTACAAAGCGTTTTGTAACAAAGAAGCAAATTTTTCCCGTTTTCTTCTGGAAGACTAACTCTGTTCTCATTAGCAATCTGTTGGATTTGTTAATACCAAAAAAGACAACTATCATAGACAGAGAGAAAAGAAACTCTCAAAAATTCCTCGCAGAATACGAATATTACAATTTATAAACTAAATAAATCGAGAATGTTCTTCAAAAGAGTAGCTGAGCTGTTCTGAACATCTGACTGTGTCTGTGTCGCTTACAGAAAGCAAGCGTTCTGCCACTAACGATATTCATTTAAATTGTTTGGAAATTTGATGTGAAGTTTTATAACCAATTTTATCACTTTATAACACTTTGTAACAGCTTAGTTCCTGTTACAAAATGTGTTTGTACCTATCTATCTATATGTTTCTAGTCCAATTCAATAAAAATAAACTAGACATTCAGTCCTACCAATTGAAATATTAAAACGAAAGTGTTTTAAATGTATCGGCCCTTTGCAGTTTACGTTCACATAGGTATAGTTTTGATGTTCAAAAGAGAAATTCTTAGAAACACACTTTTGTCCTATAAAAAAGTAACAATGAAAAATAATACATTAATTAATACTCTCTTACATAAAGTAAATATTTTTATTGATAAATAACAATGATGTAGCTTTTTTTTTTTTTTTTTTACTTGGAGGAATCCTATTACGGACTTCCCGTGCCTGGGCAAATTTAGTGACACGGGGGTGTGTGGGGCTCGACCTAAAGGCGTTCAGCCACTACCCACTAAACCTCCAAGGCCCAACCTCTCTCCGCTGAGTGCCGAAGCCACGGGAACAGTCATACGACCGCGACTCCGGCGACGGGTGACCGCTGGCCAGCTGACCAGCCGTCTCCTCTTCGTTCTCTCGTTCTCCGCTACTATTCCGCGGTGCGCAGAGGTGTACGCACCACGGACCGCTCGGGGACTCGTTGCAGTTGCAGTGAGGCGGCGGTGTGCCCACACCGTCACCTCGAGTACTCCAGGCTAAGGCGGAGGGATGTCACGACCAAGGGTGTTGGTGGCCGTACGTCGTCGCCTCCGTCTTCGTCTTGAGGTTTCGAGCGCCTCCCTCTCTCTGCCGCGCTCGTCTTCCTCCTTCGCAGTCATCACCTCCTCGGCGAAGGTGGCGACCGCAGTCCAGTCCGAGTCGCTGCGCAGCATGGCCTTGATGACCGCTGGCAGCGAGGTGTGCAATCCGATGGCGGCTCGTAGAGCCGCACGTTGTCGCGTCCAGTGGGGACAGGCTGAGATGGTATGTTCGGCGGTGTCCCTTTCGTCGCCGCACTGGTGGCATCGCGTAGTGTCTTCTTTTCCCACGACATCACACAGGTACCTGCCGAAACAGCCATGCCCCGTCAGGACCTGAGTGAGTCGGAAGGAGAGCGCGCCGTGTCTTCTGTGCACCCATTCCCGCAGGAGCGGGCGGATGGCCGTCACCAGTGCGACGCTGACTCGGGGCTGCCTGAGTTGGTCAGTCCACAAGTTGATCGCCCAATCCTTGGCCAGGTTTCTCAGCTGACGCACGGCGTCTGGTGGAGGGTGTCTGCCCTCTGCGCGCAGCCGGTCGCAGTGCCAGTACACATCAGCGAGGGACCTGGCGTCTATGTCCCAGGGGACGGTTCCCGCGAGCAGGAATGCCGCATCCGCAGATATTGTGCGGTAGCCGCGGACTGCTCGGGTGGCCATCACCCTCTGCAGCTTCCTTAGTTGTAGCCGGTTCTCTGGGGCCAGTTGTTGTCGGGCCCAGATCGGCGCTCCGTACATTGCCATGGAGCGCACAACAATGATGTAGCTATTTTAATTAATTTCAACTTAGTTTATATAGATAGAACCCAGCACTAAAAACTTACAAAAATGGGGATACATTTATGATAATCGTAAAATAGTGTAGAAATAAAACGTTATCACTTAATAATTATTTGATATCATTTATTTTGACGATTGTCATATCTTCGAAGAACTGTATCTAATTACTCCAATTAAAATTTTTGGTGTATTTATAAAAAGAGTTAGAAAAGGAAGTAATATATGTACTACTGTTTTTATAGAAAAACAAATGTCCATCCTAACTAGGTTTTGATAGGTATATTCATCCGATTCCTTTCGATGTTTTACATCTCGTGGTAAACATTGGAGAATAGTTATGTTATTAACAATAATACAAAACAAAATAATAACAAGATTTTCGGCTAGAAAATTATTATTTTTTTCAATTACTTGAAAATATTAGGTAATTATAACGTGGCATTACACACGACAGATGTAATAATTTTGTAGATTTTTTTTATAAGCATATCAAAAAATGTTACTCTAATATGCAAAGAACCCTAACACACAAATTAACAGGTAGGTATATGAAGCCTAACATTTTTCTATGCAAGCCACTTATTATTTTATTGTCTAACAGTGCTATTTTTATCTTTGCAGTACCTAACATGAATTACGAGAAATTATATGGTGATGTTAACAAAGACAATTTAATGATAGTTACCTGGCAACCTGGGGCCCCTCTATTTGAAGGTACCTTGTTCGTATGAAATACAAATAAAAATTGTTATTAAATTAATTATAAGTGACACAAATTAAGTTCTTCTTAAATTCAGACTGGAGTAATACTGTTGGCGCATTTCCGGTTAAAATATTATCTCAAAAAGATTGTAAAATTGAAATGGCTCCGATAGTGGATATAAGAAGTTATGAAACGTGTGCCGTATTCGAAAAAGCTATTTACACATCAGTTGGTAGGTTGATAGGAGGTTGGAGATGAAGCGTGTGTGGGTAATGGATAAAAAAATAATTAACTTAAACTTAAAAAAAAGATCCTCCTGGCATGAGGAGACTTTCATTTAATATAATATTTTATAAAAGCGAAAATAATGTTTCATGAAAATTTATAAACCAAACTTATTTGTTCTTTATTTTTAAAATCAAGTGAATATTTTTTTTTACTCGATTTTGTTCGAAGCATCAATTACGTAAAGTGAATTAAATACCATGTGGTTGTTTTTTCTGTCATATGTTTAAAACATATATAAAATACATGTTTTACGTACTCAATATATAGACAGAAATATTCTAGCATATAGTAAAGACTGTGCATATTAACTTGCAAACGACATATATGAGGTTTGTTATATTCATTTTTACATTTGGTTTTTCAGAACATGGTTCTTTGGCTCTACATATGGACAGCTTCGATGTATTTGGACTAGTCACCTGGGGAGAGAAATTATATAGAACATATCCTCTTGTTATTCTCAATGTAACTTATTTCAAAGAATGGTTGGATGTCGCCATGGCAACGTAAAAGGATTGAATATTGTACAATACGAGAAAAAAAACATATATATATATATATATATATATATAAATTGTGGTACATACATAATATATACATATTTTAAGAATATATATAAAAAAATTAAAATTCTCAGAAATTACACTATTACTTATATCATTTAGAAATAAATATATGAGTATATTTTTAATAATTAATATTGTTATACAAATTTCATTTCAAGAATGCTGGAACGTCCATTCTAATTATTTCCTGTTTAAAATGATACAATTCATATTATTCTTAAACAGATTTTAGAAAAACGATCTAAAATCAAACTTACACAGAGGTATTTGCAAAAAAGTCAAGTAAAATTGTATTGTTGTAACTTCATGTTTGAAAATCTTCCCGCGTGTTCTTCTTTTCTTTTTATCTTTTAGCAAATTAATATGTCAGCAGATTCACAAGAATGATTTACTTTTATACGAACATGTAGCGATCTATTAAATCCCTTAATAACTTTTATTCACGTACTCTGTACTCATTAACTTCTCATGTATAAAGTTATTGGGCAACAGGGCATCAAATCATGTTCAAATATGTGAAACAGCGAAATGAATCCATTATCTATGATGACCATCGTTGATCTACACTACAGACAGAGAGATGAATACAGTTCCAAATAGCTTTTCCTATAAACTGGTTAAAAGTCTGCTACGCCGAATTTCGATTTCCGTCAAATACGTATTTTAGAAAAGTTATACTAACATTTCGAATCGCTGATGAGATGTTTCAGGAAATGATTTCAAGTCCTGGATAGAACTTAGTTATCAAGGAAATAGTTTGTTCCTATCCTTTAGATAGAAACACGGACATATGCACGCGGATAAAAGTGATTAGCTACTTATATTAAATCTCTCCAGTTCTATAAATGTAAATGTTTGGGTCGGGATTATAAACCAGGGAGACGAAAAAATCTATAGAATTAGGTTTAAATTGTGAAATCGTTTTTCATTCCGTATTTGTGGTTTCGATTTTAATTGAAATGTTTGTTAATGGAATTCAATTTTGAAATTAACTTTGGAAATAATAACCAATACAGGATATTAACCGAAATATTGTTCATAATTCTTGTCGTTACCACATATATATTAAGCTCATACATAGTCCGTGTTGTTTTAACGCTGACGTAATATCAATAACGAGTGTCTGGCCGAGCAAAACTACGGAAATTAAATGTTTTGTCCGATTTTATATTTATTTATTTTAATGGAAACATCGTCAGCGTCATATTTAACTCAAAATTTTTTATTGATTGATTGATATTTACACCTTGATCAATTCTACTTGGAGTTTTAAGGTCAATCATTGTAAAATGTTTCCAAATAAAATTGTTAATGATATTAGTGGTCAAAAGAACTAGATAATTTTTGTTCTGATATAGACATTACTGTTGTACCTTATGAAATTGTATTTCGTTTCGTATTTTTTGACGTAAATAACTCGATTAAAGCAAAACTAATATACGTAATAAATAAAAAGAAACAGCCTCCTACTTTTATCTTAATAAATCACTACACGTATATCTTACTTAAGTATAGGTTTGGCAAATTTCAAACTTATAATTTAAATTTTATATATGTGGATTGAGTCATTGATTGATTGATTGATTTTAGTTAAATTTTGAATAGCTACATCCTTGTAACTGTCAACCTTTAATTTAATAAATTTCTAAATTTTATTGTGACTATAGAAAGGCATGTAAATAGTGAGCTGAAAACAGGGGGACTTGGTAAATAAAAGAATATTATATTACTAGTCAAGGTTTTTTTAATAAGTACTTAATGAGTTTTCTTTCATATTAATTACAAAATATACCTATAATTTCAGTTCTATGAAATAGCGTGCTCAACACTGCAACGAATATAATAATGAGAAATTTAAATAAAAATAATATTTTATTTTTAATAAAATTTCTCCTTATTATATTAAATAATCCATGAAAAATAATTGCACATGTAACATTCATTACTGCTACAAGAGAAACTGTGTTTAATTTAAATCTTGATACTTTTTCCAGAAACTAAAATAAACATGATTCCGAAAGGTTACGTATATGAATAAAAACAAAATTATAATAATAAGTAAAGTTTTCGTACCTATTTATTTAAACAAATGTTGGGAAAACAAAAAGATATGATATATAAGAATATTTTTTACTATTACACATAAATGAATCATTTTATAGAACTCTTATCATATTGAAAAAAATAAATATATTAAATTTTTATATGTTTACTACTGTGCAATCGCATCTTCTTTAAAAGTGGATTTATGTATCTAATCGATAAATTTTACATGATACGCAATCGATTTCAGAATTACCTATAAATGGAGATCAGTCTTTAGTTTGAATGCTCAACAATCAGAATCTTTTAAAAAATCGAAACACAACTCAACTGTTGTGAATGATCAAAGCAAAAATAAAAAAAAATACAATACTAAAATCCTCGCAAAATAACACCGCATTGTAAACTTCTAAATCAAGAATGTCACATAAATGACTTCTAAGCCAACATTGCCATATATAAAAACGAACACTTAAATGTCTTCAATATTACTTTAAGAATTCTTAATCCTCAGAAAATCTTAAATATTAAATATCAATATGTGATATTTTTAAAGAAAATCAAAGCTTCGACTTAACATTATATTTAGTATTTATTGTATAAAATGTCCCTTCGTATCTATCCTCTGTGTAATAATAGCCACTATGAAAATTATGAAAGGCTCAAATAAAGAAAAAACAAATGAACTTATGATTGATTTTCGCCTTTAGACAAAAAACAAGCACAAAATTTTAAAAATTATTTATACTAATAAACTTGCGCGATTGAGTAAATTTTGTAATTATTCAAGTAATATATAAAAGTATTCGTAACTAAATTTAAATAACTTGTATGGCATGATCAAAGGCGCGATTATGTTGACATTCAATATGGCGGTATGTCGTCAGTGCTGTGCTGTGTCGTGGTGAGATTTGTTAATTTAACGGATTGTGTTAATATACTTTCTTAATAATTTGATTCACTTCAGTTCAATTTTCATACCAGTAATAAGTTTTATATGTGATATCCATTTTGTGTTATGTTTAATGAAGTCGAGCGGTAGCGAACGACGTTATAACTTCAATAGTCCGTCGGTCTGGTCGGGCCGCCGATACCTACCTAGATAGCAATAATAAAATGTAGAACGATATTCAGATGCGACGCTTCATTGTATATTACTCATTTTAAAAAGGTTTAACAGTTTTTTAAATAATATTATTGGGAATATCATTAAATATTCAACTAGTTGTCAGCTCTGCATTTTCTAGCGCTCATATTTTATTTCGTTTATCAGTGAGTATTTTCAATCGACTCCGAGTGCTCGTGCGAGACGGACCTCTGTCGAAGCTGTTCGTAAAGTTTATAGGCTTTACTGTGATTTTTACCATCTCGAATGATATCAATTTATTATATATGGTGAATGATTAAAAACTTTATTCTCCGGCGCGTTAGCATTATTTGATTTAACTTTAATTCTATTAAAACTTTTCTTTTTCCGGTTAGAGAATTGACATGTACATTTCGAGACTTTTAGTTTGTGAATATTTTTTTAAATATTTATTTGGTTACTAAATTATTGTTAAAAAGTTAATATATTTTAGTTGATGTTGATAGTGTTATTAATGATAAAATCATTACAGTAGGTAGTTGTGGATAACCAAACCATCATAACATAGAAACAAGCCAATGCACAGCCGAGCTCCGATTCAGCAAGCATTGAAGACATCTGAGGATCTAGTGTAGTTTTTATCAATACCATTTTTGCAAACTTAGTGTTTTGTTTATTAAATTTTTCACATCAGTGTAAAGACTTATTGTGTTGCTAAGACACGAAGAGAAACATGTGATTTGGTTTATAAATTTGTAACTTTTTTAAAAACTTTAAAACACCACTCCTTTTTCTGTGATATATTGGTACACCATTCTGAGATTTTTGACTTATATACAATATTGATACTGTCAAAAAAATGTCAAGCAATCCTCAGTGGAAAATGTTCCAGCCGCCAGATTCACACAACTCCCCTTTACAGGATATTTTAGATCTTCAGCAATCAAACATGCAGGCCAAACAGGTTTATCGTAATGGTGAGTAAGAATTTGCTCAAATCATATCATAATATTAGCCCCAAGTAGCTTATTCCCAGTTTATTTATGCTAAAATTTCTATCTAAAATAATATTAAATAAAGTATCTTAAAGAATCTTATTGTCTGTTTATTTTTATAATATATGATTATCAAAATAAATAAATATAAACCATCTATAATGATGTTCCAATTATTTGAAGGTACCTACAGCGGTGAGTACCCAAGTTCCCCTCGAGATAATTTTAATAATATGGGCAAGTCAAGTGGTGGAAATAGATTTTCTGTTGGTAATTATAATTTGGATGGATGTCCTATGGGAGATTCTGTGGGAGTTTATTCTTCCAGTTCAACCAATAACCAATCTCAGTACGACTCCACGAATCACCCACCTATAAGAGAAACAGGGATTATTGAAAAATTACTTGTAAGTTTTTTTTTAACATTATTCCTATTGGCTTTTTTTATTTTCATATTTTATTCACTAATTGTAACATTCTTAAAAACAAAGTATGTTAAATTACATAATGATCTTCAATATAAAATGTTTAATAGTAGCCACCACTACTACTTATAAATTTATAGTAGAGTAAAACCTGTCATGTGCATGTAACTATAATTATGGATATTGTACAAGGAATAAAAAAAATTGGAGTAAAATATGTATTTTACTCACATACACACATACTATATCTTACAGTAGAATGTGTTCCCAAAATTATTAATATCATGTTAGATTAGTTGTGTAAAGGTATATATTTTGTGTATGTACTAAAAACGCCCTAAACTCGATTAGCTAGAATTTTCAATTATGTTAACACTGGGTAACAGTTTCTGCATTGTTGGGTCGCTAACGGTGTTTTTTTATTTTAGCATTCCTATGGCTTTATACAATGCTGCGAGAGGCAAGCTCGTCTATTCTTCCACTTTAGCCAGTTTGGTGGTAATATAGACCACTTGAAAATAGGTGACCCAGTAGAATTCGAGATGACTTACGACCGTCGTACTGGCAAACCGATTGCGTCTACAGTAACTAAAATAGCCCCCGAGGTTGTATTGAGTGAGGCCCGAGTTACCGGAGTAGTGACCACGGAGGTGAAGGGAGAGGGTTCAGGGGATAACACCGGTCGCATATCGTATGAGAACCGCGGCGAGTGCTTTTTCTTGCCGTATACTAAAGATGATGTCGAAGGAAATGTAACCCTACGTACAGGAGACGCAGTCAGCTTCCAAATCGCAACCAACCAAAGGTGAGAAAAAAATTATATCTTACTGTTTCTAGACATGCTAAGTAAGGGAAGTGACATTGTTTTCTTTTCTGCAGAGGTACTCTTGGAGCGTGTCACGTCCGTTTCGAGAACCCCGCACATCCAGTCAAGTATCACGGCGTAGTGTGCTCTAAGAAGGAGAATTTTGGTTTTATCGAACGGGCTGATGTAGTTAAGGAGATATTCTTCCATTACTCCGAAGCCAAGGTCAAAGAGGAGCTGTCCCTTGGAGATGACGTGGAGTTTATAATACAGACTAGGAATGTAAGTATAAATAGATATGTCAAAGGATAGCAGGAAATCGATGAACTGAAAAAAGTAGGTTCTCGTCAAACACGGACAGACGGATATAAAGGGGTTCGGTTAGTGCCTGTAGCGTTGTAGATTTGTATTTGAATTGATTAAACTGGATGCGGTGAAACGAAACAGCTCGTTCCGAAGGGAACCTTGTTCTTATAATTTGCAGCAATAATAATTTTTGTACCTCAATTTGTATTTATATCAAAGGAATCATCTATTTCTATGAAAATGATTATAATAATATATATGTGTTGGTATTAATAAGATGTAAAAGAAGCATTATTGGGTCACATATTTCAATATATCAATATATGACTGAGGGAAAAAATATATATAATTAATATTTTAACACTAATATTCTTCCGACTGCATTAAAGCGTGCGATTTACACGTGAAACTTCTTACGTACAGGGATAATGTTGAGTAATAAATAATGATGGCATATATGAAATATTTTTATGATTTAATAATATTAAATTTAGTGTTGTTATATGTTTGTATAGGGTAAGGAGGTTGCGTGTAACATCAGTAAGCTGCCGAGTGGGTCGGTAGTGTTCGAAGATGTCAGCCCGGAACAGCTTCGGGGGCAGGTGTTGAAGCCGCTGGAGCGTGGGGCGCGACTCCAGAGCGACCCTCTGCCAGGCAGGATCAGATATAGGGCACCGGACCATTCGGAGGTTGAGGTCAGTATCATCTATAATACATGATTCATGAATAACATGCCGCTGTATACATTCGATATTCAAATGTATGTGTATGTGTGAGTGTGTGTGGAATTTCATTGAGCTCATATTGTGTTGCGATGTATATAAATTTTAAAAATTTTATGATAAAATAACCGTCTTTAAATTCATTATCTCGCTTTTAACCCTTGGTATGTCGTTCGAAAAGATAAAATGTATTTTTTTTTTATAAAAAATAGTCTAAAAATTTAAGTTTAAAACGACGAGACGAGAAAAAAAAAACAAAAATTATGTTTAATTAAAGTTTATAAGGAGAAAATAGAAATTGGATGAGGCATGAGTGTGACCGCAAAGTTAGCGATTGGTAAAAATTTAGAGCCGCGCTTGAGTTGCATATGATGAAAGATGATGTGATGAGAGTGATGATGGTAATGAATGAGAGTAACATTAATAAGTTTAATGAGTATTTATCAAAAAAGTAGCACAACACCATTTTTATTACATAGAAGTATATATTTTTAAATACTTAATTGCGCTAACAGCATTTAAAACCGATATTAAATAATTGATGACTATTAAAAATTAAACTCCAATACCGAAATCCCGACAAAAGGGCTTTTGTTTAAAGACAAAAAGTATTCGACGGCCAGTGTTGCCATTTTGAGGTTTCGGTGTACCTTTATTGTGATGAAATTTTAATAATAAAAACTATTCCATGCTACTTGGAAATGGAGTTGAATATTATTTCGTTTAATTAAATCGTTGTCATTCCTAGAACACAGTTTGCAAGCAGCTTAAAGGATTATATAAACTGTAAATATTATTCAATATCGGATTTAATAGCGTTTATTTTATGTTTAATGGAAATCTCCACTAGTATACATAAGCCGATCGCTTTGTGGGATATCGAACTTGAAAGGGAACTAGTGAGATGTAATTTGTATATACGAATGGAACCTTCAGAAAACCAATTCAATTTAGGATTTGTCAAATTGTGACAGTTACTGGGTCACCTTTGTGCATCCATTTCACATTGACACAAGTGTGCACAGTCTTTTATGATACGTGTATAGACATTGAGATGAAAAACATACGTTTGATAAATACGAGAATATTAATTGTTTTTTTCTTTTGCTTATTTTTGTATCATTTGTATTTAAGTTAATAGGAGTTTTTAAAATCATATTGACGTTGTAAAGTCAAAATATGTCCGTCATTGAGTGATTATATGAGATATCAGATGTATGAATCTCAGTTTAAAATGTATTAAAAGTATTTTATATCCATTTGAGAGAACTTTTAAAGGGAATGAAATAGAGAATAAGCAATTATTCCAATTTACTTGAGCGTAACATTCTTTTTAATAAACATGGGGAAATGTTATCTACAAAATAATAAATTGCTTTCGTATTTTCCTAGAAAGCTCTGGGGCGATTGGATTTCATTGAATAATATTTTAGAAATTAATTTTGCTATTCCGTTTTATACTATTTAGTTATTTAACGAGTGATCCTTATTTAGTTTATTAATTATAAATAAATTGACAGGAATATACAAAAAACTATCTTAGTCGCTCAAAGGAATAGGACGGTGTAAATTTATTAATAAAGTACCGATTCTTTGACGATAATAACACGTATTGAATGTATAATTATGTTGGTAATATAACATGAAACTAAGGTAGTTAATATTAATATATTATCTTGTAATGTTAATAAGCTTCTGATATTCATTGAAAAAGAAAATGTGTGAGAGCAAAGTTCTGTAAAGAAAGCAGCTTTAAAATTGTACAACTAGTACGCCATTTTTACAACATTTACAAAGGATTCCATTGTAAAAGTAACATTAACTTTTTTAAAGTCTAGCTAAGAAAAATTAAATTGAATGGTAGGGGTTATTGTCGTACGGGAAACCCTCTGTACTTGCGATTTTTAGGAGACTAATAGGAATCCTTATAAATTCTTCGCACTCCGCGTAGGTTGAATCAATGGAAAAGCTTATATAAATTTTTCTCTTTGGTAAATATTTCGTGTTTATTTATTCAGGTTTCCGAGACGAATATGCGTTTAAAATTTTTAATAGTGTCGCACGTTCAGTATATAATTTAGGGTTGTGGGGTGGCTAGGTAGTTGGTCCTTCGCTTTGCTTTGATGTCACGTGCCGAGTAACGTTCGCTTCATTGGTCCACAGTCCGCACAGCAAGGGAAATGTTTCGTCTCGTAACCGAGCATATCAATATCACTGCCCTATATTTCGATATTTTGTAATACTATTTTTTATATATCCAATATTTGGACGAAAAATCTTTCGTCTATTTTATATTCAAGAGTGACGTCATCAAAATATAAAATGACCTCATTGTGTGAACGCTCGATCTAATTACAGTAGTAAGTGGACCAACAATATATAGTACAAATATATACATAAATGTAAATTATATTCTAGATATGCATTTAATGATTGACAATTTCGCCGCTGCTTACCAAATCCATTGGGGGCTGTAATTGCTTTAACTGTTTACAAATATTTACAATTTCGTGGTTCATTTAAAAAGACATACTTTGCATCTACGTTGCGTTGTAATTATCAGATGGTGATTTAATTTGTTCTGAGCAAATATAATGAATTTAACAGTTAAATTAGTTTTAATCTGTTATTAATGTATACGGTATATTCCATTGAAACTTGTTAAATTTTATATATTTGTGACGAATTTAATTAAATTTTACTTTATTGTGGCTATAAAAACATGATAATATATAATATAGAGTCAAAAGAAAAATGATATTCCGTCCCAAAATAATGGTTACTTTGTGTCATCAATCCGCCACTTTAATAATAATAATTGCGTATGCTGTTGTTTTAACTGAAATAAAATATAACATTAATTTATGTACATATAAATCTTTCAATTTCAAATATAGCTGATAGTAATTTGAGGTTTGGAGTTGGGTTAGCCCTTTGTGAGCTGATGCATTGGCTAATTATTGTGACAATTGCTTTTTGTTCGTAACTAGCTATTGCCCGCGGTTTAGACTACGTAGATGTTGATTGTGTCTCTTGTGAAGTTAATAAAAACAAAAGCCAATTGTTTCACCAAAGTATTGAGTTTCATTACAACCGTTTATATGTATACAGATTTATTGTGTCAGAAATCCCCGCGGGCATCAACAGAATGTTTATCAAAGGTTTATTACAATTCGATAAATGATTTCAGAGTGCATAGTGAACTAACATACATGTATACAAACAGACGTGGGTGTTTATATAGAATATGTATTTAATATAGAATGTTAAGGTAAAGTTTGTTTCTAAGACATCAAAGGACTTTAATTTTCAAAGTGTGGCACTCTAGGATTCTGTTTTATATTTTCACCTTTTGATAAATAGAAGTGCATTTTTCAGAGAACGCGAACTTTTATTTTACAAATATTTTAATGCTATTTTATTTACACTTGTTTTATTAATTAATTAATTACTTTGTATTAATTACATACACACTGAATCTCAGTTATATGTATAGTATAAAAAAAATAGTTTATCACTGGATGTGATTATCGACCCTAAATGAGACGGTTAATCAGTTTTATGTGTCGTTTACATATACCTTGTATATGTAAAAAGCTTCGTTCAAACTGAGTACCAGTTGGATGTGAAACTCCTTTATCGATTGGGTGCTAACGGCGCGATATTCACAGGTGCCTTTCGGCGACAAAGACCAGTGTGGGGAGTTCACCCTGCGGCACGGGGATTGGGTCCAGTTCCAAGTGGCAACGGACAGACGGGATCAACTCAAACGAGCCACCAATATATCGCTTCTAGATGAGTCATTCAACGTATCGGGCGAAAGGTGAGCTGCTCATACATTATTGTCACTTTTTGTTTTTTTATATCTCCGTTCTTTGTTATCTAGTAGGTATGTTTGTGGCTGAATGGCTAATATTCGACGCCATGTGTAGTGAAGCGTCTCGCTGGAGTGTCATATAGACGACAATGTTAGTTCGCACACAATTTAACACGTACTTAGTTGTACAATGCTTTACTAGTGTTAGTAGGTAGATTTAGAGAATGTTTTTCTCACTTCTGGATTAGAAATATTTATTAACCCTTAATTAGAGGACATATTATAATATTGAAATGCTTATTAAGGCCGCCGTCCTCTTAATCGTGTATCGGTAACCTGTCGTCGGGTCAGATCAATCAAACCTGGGTCAATAAAAGACAATTAACGGGACACTGCTATTCACTGATATTGCAATTTCATCTTATCCTTAAGATACTTCATTAACTATATATATTGAATATCAATGAAAGACAAATTCCAGAATGTAGGTAAATTTTTATATAAGAAAACATTTAATATTCTATTATTCAGAACCGCCGGGCGCTTTTAAATAATAAGATGGTTAATAGTCTCAGCGTTCTCCTTTGACTTAAATAATGCACTTTTGCAAAGCGGAGATTAAATGTATATATCCATACTTTATACTCGAAACCTAATTTATTTTAAGTTAGAAGATGTTGAAGTATATATTTATTAAAATAATTCTATAGCTATCAAACAATTTAATGTATTATAGTTTATAACAAAATGTTTGGACGGTATAAAAAATAAAAATAATTTTCCATTATATTAAGAGGTAAAGTAAACACGATATTTATTTACTCGTTAAAATACATTCTGCGCATCCTAGTTAATGCGATAAAGTTCTGAAAGGGAAATTCCATTAAAAATTACTGTATCGAGTATGGAATAAATGTTTCTCTTGAAAATGGGACTGCTTTACTAACGTGATGCTTTTTCTTTTACACGATACGTGGACTGTTCATGATAAATAAATGACCATCAAATATGATTTCGATTTAATTTTTAAAAGGAAATTTTAATTTTATGTGAAATGATTTCTGAATTACATTCTCAATAAAATCTTTCAATATGAATTTAATATAACATATCAAAGTTTTTAAAAAAACTGAGACTGATAGAGATATATAGAGTTTATTATCGACGATTAGTCTTAAATCTCTTTATATTAGAAAGAAAAGTATTTTGTTTTTTATACAACCATTATAGTGAAGGGATAAACAACACCTGTTCTGATATATTTCTGTTATGTTGGGATTATTAATTATTTATGTAAAATGATGTGTTGTCCATAGTTAAGCCTCTCCCAGACGGTGGTCAATGCAAAATACATTTACATTGAACCGTCCGCAAAACTAAGCGCATTAATATCGCACGTTGGTTATAGGTAAAATTTAATTAATAGAATCCATTCAATATTAAATGATTGCTAACATCACTGAAACTGTAACTGAATATAATTTAACGAAATTTATATCAAATTACATATTCTATTTATATGACAGAACTAATCATGTTTCACCACAATTTAATAAAAAACTATGTATGCGATCGTTTCGTATAGTATGTATTCATTTTGAATATCGAATTCATATACCCAAAAAGTAATTTTGTGGTTACAGTCAAATATTCATTTGATGTATAAAAAAAATTCAATTAATAAAGATTTTTTTCAAAATAAAAAAGATTTTACCATTATTCATACTGTCGGCTCTAAACTTTGATATCAATGCTACGTATATTTGCCTCCTATATGTATTAATTTCTGTAGCCAGTTTGTATTTTACAACTACTCTATATTCGCTAATGGACTGACTTGTTTTCAAAACAATTTACAGTATTAATATGAGAACTAAATGTGATTTGAAAGGGGACTTGCATCTTACATGAATAACTCTTCAAAGTTGTCTCGTAAGTTATTGAAAGCCGATTGCAAATTAATAGTCTTATTCGATGGAGCTTCGTGAAATAGTATTATAATGTTTTGGTTCAACGGCCTAGTTGTTACAATTGGACTAATTGGCATGGAATATTGTTTTGATAACATTTTCATGGTATAATTAATATACGATATTGAGAGCAATAAACTTAGAATAGATGAGGATATTATTATGTATATATATTTTTTTCATTATTGGAATAAGATTTGTCGGTCGATATATCTAATAAGAGATGATTCCAGATTTTAATATAATTGGCAATTTCAATAAATAATTTATAATTTTTAAATAAAGTTACACCACATAATAGTAGGTTTAGATTAATTAACAGTATAAATCTAGATTCTCACATGGAAGTGAGAAATAACATTATCTGATTTATTTATTTAAGCTTTGTAATTAAAATACATTTTTCCAAGAATATAATCGTAAATAAAATTCTAAAGTCTCATCCCCCAATCGTTCAACCCTAACAGGTGAACTTATTTCTTTCGCGTTTCCCGTCAGGAAAGTACGATAATTACCGGACGTTAATACAGATCGAGTGTTTCAGCTAATTTACTAGTATTGTCTTACTTTGTGCAACTGAAATCAAGGTATTATATGAAACTCGGGCTTATACAGAAAAAAAAAGAATTCTTTATATAAAGGACATCTTAAATATTATGTCCTTTATATTTTTATATGTATGGTAGAAAAGAATATTGATTTTGTTAAACGTCTTATTAATAGATTTGCGCCTCGAGCTCCAAGTGTCTTATACGGACCGACAGTACAGATTTATATTTAGAAGTCTTTTGACAGTTCAAAAGTTCTTGTAAAAAAATTATATACTAATACAATACTCATATAATAACTCTATGGACTTAGAAATAGAAATGTAGTTTAGTTGTAAATGTACCCCAGGCAGTGTGAGTGCTTTCGTACTTTGGACGCACTTTACTTGTTCACGTAAATATTGATGACTTTATGTTCAATTAAGATTGACATATTTGAATAATTGGTATAAATTTCAATTAAACTACTATTAAATCGCGTTAAGAGGATTATTTGTACTAGTGATCACCGAGTGGTCGAATACGAGCTTAATTATTTTCGAAACCTTGTTTTGGGAGCTGAATGGAAATGTCATTGAACTCTACAACAGAACAGAACAGATTTCTTATATATTTTTTAATTTCCACTGGAAATTTATGAACTATAATTTCCTCAATGGTAGGTGGAAATAAGGCGTATATATACATATCATCATCCATTGGTTTTATTTATTAATACAAAATGTACCACTTTTAAAACGTATAACTGTATGTTTACCATGCATATACATCATTATTTATTCTTAAAAATTAAGGCTCAAATGTAAAAGGCGAAATATATGAAAAAGCAAAATATCCATACCGAATCGTTTCATATTTGCGTAAATAACATAAATATTAAATAGTCCTTTTGAGCAACAGAAAGATTTTAAGTGAGTTTTTGTCAAAGGTAAAATGTGAATTTTTTAAAATGCATACCAAAAGTTTTAACGTCCATATTAAAATTTTCCACTGTCCGTTAAATTTTTCTTCGTTTTCTAAAACGTTAAAAGGAAAACAAATAACTTCATGTGCAGAATTTGTATCAACAAACGGAACAAATATTACAGGGACGTTTTTGTCAATACACGTACGACTCGCTAGTTCACTGTAGCTAAATTCGAACTTTGAAAGCTGGTCAACAAAAAGTTTTTTAATAAAAAATTACAAGTCACATAAAAACTGAGAGTTTAGTGAATGTTTCCGGAATGTCGTAATGTGCTCAGCATTATTAAATGCAGCAAAAGGATCATAATTTCTAAAACATTTTAGAACAAATATGTATGGAATTTTATTTGTACCCGCGTAAAGGACTTTTACAGGTAATAAAGTGAAGTGAAATATACATACAAACTTGTTAACATTTCACAAATGAAGTCGTACTTTTTCTTTTTCATAAAACTTTGAGTCACCCGTTCTTGTGATGTTTTTTTCTTTTTATTTACATGCATCACGAACAAAAATGTTCATCCTTAAAATCCGAATCTAAAATTGTATGAATTGAAGTTATAACTTGTTTTAACTAGGAGTCTTACATAAGTTAACATTCTCTATTCAATGGAACACCTCAGTTTTATAATAACCCATTGTAAACAAGTCCCTAACAAGGAAAGTATTGAATTAAATTACTAGTACCACTATTCAATTCTTTTCACTCTGTTATAACACTTTAATTAGTTTAACTTTCAATTTATTCTTTTGAATAAGAACGTCTTGAAATACGGTTTTTCCTCTTTACTACTATAGAATTTTTACTTAATGTTTAAAATGTATTTTTATATATAAATAATGAATATTATAAATTTCATTTTGTTCTTGTTTTTCCTTTAAAATATCATCGTAATAATGTGACACGTATGATGCTATCAGTTCCTGTACTGGTTCAATACACTAAACTGTTTTTGAGTACATATTGAAGTTTAGTATTTTAAGAATTCTATAAAAAAAGTTGATTATATCAATTGTCATTAAATTCTCTATATATGATGACCAAGCTAATATTTATATATTTGTTGCTACCAGACGTGAACAGGGCATTGTTTGTTCCTTGAGGGACGGCTTCGGTTTCATCCGATGCGTGGAGCGTGAGCAGACAATGTTCTTTCACTTTGCCGAGGTGTTGCGTCTCGGTCAGGAGCTGAGTGTTGGTGACGAGGTTGGTAACATACACCGAATTGATATTTTGACAAAATGTCATACAAGAAATGTTGGTCCCATTACGTGTGACTTGAGAGTGTAGTAAAGCGGTTATTGTTTGGCAGGTTGAGTTCACGGTGGATCCATTATCATCCTTCTCCAACATGAACAGCCGTCAATCTGCTATACGTATCCAGCACTTGTCTGCTGGTTCCGTACAGTTTGAGTCCCTAGTAGAGCGAGGAGTCCGCGGTGTCGTAACCAAGGAGGCGCATTACACCAATGAGAGCCCCAACAGAAACTCACCGAATGTAAGTACCACTGCATCCATACAAATTTTATAAGTAATCTACAATACGGGCTCATTCATAAACACTTAATCGAATCGATCCTAAAAATAATTCTCGTAGTAAACCTATTTTAAAATTCTAGTTGGAATTTTTAAATTGAGATTTTTTTTTTAAACCTTTACACCATACTGGTCATATTTTTTTTGTGTTAACAACGCGATATGTATCTGAATTCGATATTGAATTGTACAAAATTAGTGTTACTGTATGCATACTTGCATCTAGTATATATGTATGTATTGTAGGTGCCTACAGTCGCCGCTTGATTGGCGTCTTCCTCGTTGGTGATGATAATATAAAGATTGATGCCACCACCAGAATTATGAGTTCATTCTATATAACGGCGGATTATGCAAATTTATTCAATAATACCGAAATACTATCTATGAAATAAACGCTCGAAATCATGTCATATAAATTATTAGTATTCGAAGTCATATGATACTCAAATGTATAATGTCTATCTCAATAAAAAGCTTTTTTCAGCCTTAAATCGTGATACGTTTGATACATTTGATATTTTAAGTGAGTTCATTTTAACGAAAATTGTATGTTTAACAAAGAAATTATTTCGTTCTTAATGTTTTTCTTTTTGAGTGAGCAAGTTTTTAATATATGTAGGATAGGTATTAAAATTTATTGAGTATTTTTATGTATCGATGTCATATTAATAAATAACATAGTCTCAAACTACATCGCTTACATAAACAGAAACCTTAGCTTATTGAATGCAATAAAGAAACAGTTCGAATTATTGTCAAAGATTTATGAAAATTGCTCACGGGTATAACGGATATCTCTTTTATTAAAATTTTTAAAACGACTACGGGAAATATCAAAATACCTTTAATGTAGAATTTAGAATTTAAATTCTAAGCTATCTAGCTCGTGGAGAATACTGGGGCGTTAAGTAATAAGGTTAGGCATTAAAAGCTTTACACCTTTAACGTAATTTACGAATTTCGCTTAGATAATGTTAAAGTGGAAAATACAAATTGGTATTATCACTATAGTAATAATATTAAACATAATAAACTATTTTATATATCTTAAAGTCAAATGAAAGCGTCGCTTTATAACTGGACTATGATAAGAGCTCCCTTATAATTAAATTCTCTGCTGCCTTATTAAACTGTTATAATAAATACCTTCGGGAAAAATGGGGATCAGACATGACAAGCCGCTGCAGCCGAGACTTGGCTGCAATTTCATTAGTCTCTTAAAAATATACTCATATAATGAAATTAAGATTCCATATTTAAAGTGGATTTGATGTTACAATTATTCTACACGTTATATTATTAAAATATCTATAAAGTTTTTACTGTTAATAGTAAATATATACAGGGTGACTGGTGAATTACTATCAATATTTAAGGAGCATACTCGGTACATGATTCTCATTCGAATTATGTAAAAAAATTAGGTACTTAATTTTTGACCAAATTTCCGTATAAATAAATAAAGTGTGTACACGTTCCAAGTGTTCCGAGTGTGGGCGCGTGCGGCGGCGTGCTGATACAACACTACGCCGCCGCCGCGTCTGTGTGAGTGTGTGTGTATACCTAATCTGTAGGGTGTTCATACGATGCGTAATTAATTACATAACTTTTGGTTAACTTTACTTAGAAGTTTATTAATATTTATGTTATATTAATTTTTATTTTGTCATATATGATCGTCAAATATCACGTCCTCAAATATCGATAGTAATTCACCAGTCACCCTGTATAATGATTCCATTATAATTGTGTGAGTGAATTAAGGGTTACAAGATGTATGATGTATGAAGCTCTATTGGGATATTCACATTGAGATAATGGAACACTAGTAGTTTTTAAATGATATTAAAATGTATTAGAAGTGACCCAGCAACAATCTTGTATGAGAACATTTCAATATTAAAGATGATATAAAGCAAAATGAGATGAGAAATAACACCAGATATTTTTAAACTAAATATATGTTTCTCGTAATCTCTGAAATATCGAAGTAGGGAATAATAGTTAATTAGCCCTCACGATTTCAGACTAAATATAAATTTTTATACACACTACGACGTTATAATATTTCTATAAGAAAAAAATCTTCAAATAGAACCTTAATTGTCTTACTTTTCTGTATCCAAGGATACTAGAATGAATTCTCCCCGAGAGTATTAAAAGACAGAGATTACACGGGAGTTTCTTGTCTAAAAGTATTATACTCGTACTTTATTAAATTGTTCAATACATTTGTTCTCTAATATACTTTTATTTGGACATTTTTCTTATTGTACTCAGTGAGCATTGATTTGTTTACAATGTACATTTTTATACCTTTCTAATTACTTTTATTTGACAGAAAAGTTAGTCTTTTCTCTATGTTACCAATAACAATAAAACGAAATTTAATATACATAGCTGAAAGTTTATATAGAATTTCCGGACTGTCTGATTGACGTTGAGGGCAATATTATCAGCCGTTCTACCATCGAGTTAATTAGTTTAAACGACAAAGTGTAATGGTCGACTGGATCAAAGCTTTAGGCAAAACACATTTACGTCATACATCGTAAATATGCTTCAATACTACAGAGCCCGCATGTACACTTGGCTATTGATGATACCGTACAAAGTACATATGTTGTGATATACAGAGGCTCGTATAATTAATCAAATTATATTTTTCTGAAAATGTTATTGTTAAGTACAAGTTCCAAGATTTTTGACTCATTGTCTATCGCATAATCTTAACAATACAAACATTCTCATTGTTCATTAAACATTCAGAACAACTGATAGACATTCTCACCTCGTCTGTCTTTGATCACGGTTGCTGCAAAGTAACCGAAACGTCGGTAGTATGTAGATAAAATAATAAAAAACGCGTAGCAAATACGAAAATGTAACTTTCATTCTAACATTGTCTTTACTATAGATAGTGTTTCAAACAGTTTTGAATGTTACAATAAACATCCTCAAAATATAAAATGTAACTTTAGAATGAGATAGTTAGGTAACATAAATCCGGATATAACAAACTGTGCTTTCATTTAACAAGCATGTTTTACAAACGTCCATGTCCAAACCGACCCACTTGTCTGCTTTAATAATTAAATCGAATGAGAACGAAACAACAAAAACAATCTGAATATGTTTCAGGTAAATCATTTCCATTTTCAGGATAATATTAGTTTTGAAAAGCTAATTTTGAAGTGACGCGAGGAATGCGGAATATTAAAGCTGTTATTCGCTAACGTGTCCGATTTCATTTTGATATCGGATGGTTTTGACGTGGGGTGGGTGAAAGGGAAGGGTTGAACGGCTGCATCAATGTAATCCTTTGAAATTTGGAGAGCGGAGATTTTAGTTGGGAGCTCCCAAAACACAGAACATACATTCCGAAATGCATGAGTACTTAGGACGTTTAGGAACTATATACAAAACTGAGTGCATCTGCCGAGTTAGCCAATGTGATCTCTATTGATAGTAGGATTTAGAGAGGTTATTGTCGTGTCATTCAATAAGCGTCCCCTCGACCCTCGCTAAACTCGTTAATAACAGGTAGCGAATTTGTAACCTACGACGGAAACACAATTGTATGCCACTTGATTTTTTATTGGGGTTTTGGTCCGACAGTTTAGGCCTAATCAATATCCACTGTAGTCTAGCTGCAGAGGGCTTCTACATCTTAATTTAATTACTTCTACTCTAAATAGCGTTGAAGTTTTCATGCGGCAGAACAAATTTGTATACCAAGTCTTTGTATGACCGTTAAAACTTTATTGTGAGGGTGTTTATTACTTAGGACTTGAATGAAAGGAACAAATCAAGTCGTCAGTGAATTTAATGTTATAGAAAGAGACGAGACGAAACCTCTTAGCATTCGATGGATTCACCGTGCGGGTGCCGGGTCCATCGCGTTGCAGGGAGAGGAGCTTCAACAGTGCCTGGGACTTGCGACCCAGGTGTAGGTTTAAGGGGCCCCTTAACTAACGCGCGTTATACGCTCACCTCCACTGTCCAAGTTCCTCTCCCTACCTAACCAAATTTGAAAAGAACCTACTAGGGCTGCCTTCGACGTACGTTCTAAGAATGAATTAATGTTAGTTCTGGACAGGCCCAAGTCTTTTAGTAGGTTATAGAGAGATTTAGCTGTTATACCTCTCGCTCCCACCTCTACCGCGTACAAATCAACGACGAACCTATTTCGAGTTAGTTCGTTAGTGAGCTCGTAATACTTATTGACCTTGATGGCATGGTCTTTGGGGATGTTGGTTTCCCAAGGCACCGTAAGCTCTATCATCACAACGCGCTTTAAAATACGCGAATATAGAAATATGTCTGGTCTGGAGGCCGACGCACAAATATCCTCGGGGATTTTGTATTGTTTCTCATACGTATCCATCATGATAGTCCAATCGGAAGCCGCTTTAAGGATAGAGTAAGGCTTGACGTTTGATTTTATAGCCCTGGTGCCCTCTCTCACAAAACCTATTGATCGCTCGTTTGTGGTTATTTCCCTTTGCGCTCTGGCTACCGAAAGACTAACCGCTTCACGTATGATCTCTAAAACCCTATCGTGGCGACGCGAGTATTGACCGCTGTCCAGGAGAACCTTACATCCCACCAGCAAATGCTTGGCAGTTCCAACTGCCTTTCCGCAGATATAGCAAGTTTTTTCGGTACCTTTACCCCATCTTACTAAATTACTCTGATCTGGGAGAGTCATCTGGAACGCATTGAGATAAAATTTTAGCAAGGCTGGCGACCAGTCATGAATTAGGGTGCGCCATTTTAGTGCTAGTGGAATGCAAAAATCTCCTATGTCTAACCACTCGTTCTGCATTTCTAAACTCATTGCATGGATCTTGTATTTATCGTTCTCGTCTTGCCGAATAAAAGACTTCAATATATCCGTATCTTGGACTTTCCTACTTGATCCTAACCCTACTCTGTTATTTTGCGCTCCGATCATAAATTGTTTATGGAATTGAAGTCGTGACTCTAGCTCTGGGGCATCATTGTCTTTTGGGAGTGATGTAACGACGTCATCATGGGATTTTCCCAGGATATGTCTCTTGGAAACTCTTAGGTGTTTGTAGAGCTCCGATGGTCTTTTTAGATTCATCCCAAAACTATTACGATCCCTGAATAAAGCCGATGAATCAGCCGTTAGCGCGAGCCCGAGCCACAACTTCAACATCTTTATGACGCCTGCATCTAATTTAGATAAAAGGGTTTTACTAAAATCATAGACGAGGAAAGGCCAATTCAAACGTGAAGTTAAGTAATTATCGTAGATCCATGCTTTTTTTACGTTACTGATCTGCTGGCTATCTACCTTGTTGAGATCATTTAAAAAGCTATCTACTATTCCTTCTAAAGATGGAGTACGACCTATATTATCAATCTTACGACCGAGAAACTTGAATGGTGCATTTTCCGTAACCGTAGAAACGCATTGACCGCCTATCGATAGTCCCGGATCGTATGAGGTGTATCTTGTATTCCGCCTACCAAGACACAGACAGTGACATTTACTTGGTTTTGTCCTCAATCCATCCGTCCACTCACAGAATTTATCCACTTCATCCAATAGTACTTGACAGTGTTTGGGGTGACGTGTCAGTATTGCGAGATCGTCAGCGAAGGCTAAAATGGATTCCGTGTATTTGTTATTGAACTTAAACCGATACCCCCATTTTTTCTCATTGCTGATAAGTTTATCTACTAGGATATTGATTACAATATTAAATACTATTGGAGATAAACAGCACCCTTGGAATAGTCCTACATTGTAACTCAAACTTTTTGAAGGGCCTTCTTTAGTTATAATAGAAAACTTTAATTTTGAGTAATACGACGCAATCATATCGCTAACTAAGGGTGGAAAGTTATACCATCTAAGCGCGAATAGCATCAACTCGTGTTGTATCGACCCGAACGCGTTCTCCAAGTCTATCCAACAAACTGTAATTTGCCGCTCGCTTTTCCTAGCATCTTTCAAACTCTCCGACAGCAAGGTGTTGTGTTCTAGGCATCCAGAAATCCCGGGTAGAAACCCTTTCTGGTGATTTGGCCTAAAATACTTATTGCTGAGCATGAATCGCGTCATTCTCGTTTGTAGGACCGAGAAAAAGATTTTAGATATTGTATTTGTTAAGGCTATCGGTCTAGTATCTTTCGGATCGGTAACTCGATCTTTTTTGGGAATGAGGACAAACATTGCTTTCCCGAAACACTCCGGGATTTGCTTCCTTGACCAGATTTTGCCGTATATATTTATGAGGTGTTTACGAACCGATGGACATTTTTTAAAGACTATATATGGGATACCATCGGGGCCCGGTGCAGATTTAGATGATTTCCTCTTTATGTGACTACTTATTTCGTCTAACGTTGGTGGTATGCCGTGAAAATCGATATGAGGAATTTCCGGTTTTTGTTCGTTTGGATCCGTATAGAGCCTTACACTTTTAGGCACTTCGTATGTGCTCTTGAAATGGTCGTAAATTTGATCGTTGGTCAAGAGAAGCTGTCCGCGTTCTTTCTTAAAAATGGTTTTCGAATACTCAAAAGGGTTTTTATCAAAATCTACTTCCTGTTTGGCCCGGTCAAAATTACCGCGATATTCTGCAGTTTGTGCCGATATTCCTTGAATTAATTTAAGGATTGACCTTAACGCCCTAGCTAGCTGATGACTAAGGTGGTTGTCGCCTAGAGCTTTGGCTATACGTAGATTTTTTATTAACTCCCGTTTTTTTCTTCCTCATTTTTATCTTGAACGAATTTTCTTTATTTTTGCGAGCGTAATGATTACGTGGTGGATATTGCTCGTTGAAGTAGTCATAAACGGTATTCTGGAAAGTTTCTACCTGCGAGTTGAATTCCTGCTTCGAGCCCGGATGCTCTAACAGGACCGCTAGATTGTCGTCGTGAACTTTCCAAGTCGATTGTTTCATGTTAGGAATGCTAAGACGTGTCCGGATGTTAATGGACTCCTGGTGGTTTCCAGTTAATGGTTCACCATGGGATACGTGAGGGTCAACTCTATCCGAAGTGATAATTGAAGAACTTACCAACGATTGTCGTGCTTCAACACCATTATGTGTTTTTAGGTGTTTAATGTACCAGGCTCGTCTCTTGTAATTTTTCCCGCACGTAGGGCATTTCAAGTCCGTATTCGCGCCGTTTTCGCCGTTTAAATCGACCGGTGGACAGATCTTCCGCCCCCCCTCTCGGACTGTCCCAGGGGTATTTTTCTTTATAGGACTTTTAGCTTAATAAATCCCGGGCTGGGCTTGCTAGGCCGTTGCCCTCGGCTGTCTTTCCAGCAGTCATCCGTCTTTCCGGCAGTCATCCGTCTTTCCGGCAGTCATCTGTCTTTCCAGAGTCAGCCCGACTCTCCGGGCAGTCGTTTTATATGAGACGAAACCTCTTAGCATTCGATGGATTCACCGTGCGGGTGCCGGGTCCATCGCGTTGCAGGGAGAGGAGCTTCAACAGTGCCTGGGACTTGCGACCCAGGTGTAGGTTTAAGGGGCCCCTTAACTAACGCGCGTTATACGCTCACCTCCACTGTCCAAGTTCCTCTCCCTACCTAACCAAATTTGAAAAGAACCTACTAGGGCTGCCTTCGACGTACGTTCTAAGAATGAATTAATGTTAGTTCTGGACAGGCCCAAGTCTTTTAGTAGGTTATAGAGAGATTTAGCTGTTATACCTCTCGCTCCCACCTCTACCGCGTACAAATCAACGACGAACCTATTTCGAGTTAGTTCGTTAGTGAGCTCGTAATACTTATTGACCTTGATGGCATGGTCTTTGGGGATGTTGGTTTCCCAAGGCACCGTAAGCTCTATCATCACAACGCGCTTTAAAATACGCGAATATAGAAATATGTCTGGTCTGGAGGCCGACGCACAAATATCCTCGGGGATTTTGTATTGTTTCTCATACGTATCCATCATGATAGTCCAATCGGAAGCCGCTTTAAGGATAGAGTAAGGCTTGACGTTTGATTTTATAGCCCTGGTGCCCTCTCTCACAAAACCTATTGATCGCTCGTTTGTGGTTATTTCCCTTTGCGCTCTGGCTACCGAAAGACTAACCGCTTCACGTATGATCTCTAAAACCCTATCGTGGCGACGCGAGTATTGACCGCTGTCCAGGAGAACCTTACATCCCACCAGCAAATGCTTGGCAGTTCCAACTGCCTTTCCGCAGATATAGCAAGTTTTTTCGGTACCTTTACCCCATCTTACTAAATTACTCTGATCTGGGAGAGTCATCTGGAACGCATTGAGATAAAATTTATAAATATTAACAATATAAATATTGTTTGAATATATGTAATTATGGATGTATGTCTGACACTTTACTGTAATGTTGTGTGTGAACTGTTAACGCTGCGAAGGCGTCATGCCATGAAAGGGAGAACCCTCCGTGGGGCTCACCGTCGGACTGGCGGGTTGTGAGTATTGTAGGATACAATTTGTGTTCATTGTAACATGTCGACATCACAATACATCGCTATATACACACATACAGAGACACAGACTACAATGAGATGGCAATATATAATTGACATATTTGTGTTACCATATTGTAAAACACGTTGTACCTTTTAATTTTATTTATATTATACTGTTATTTTATTTTACCATACGATACTGTCATTATACTTTAATGAATGTGAAAATTGACCGTTTAATTTTGTTTCAGGAGTCCGGTATCATAACGTGTCAAATAAACAACATGAAGAAATCTATACCATACACGGTCAAGAAGTGTGAATCAAAGATGCTGCCTCGCGTGGGCGACAAAGTGACCTTCGATCTGTATCAGGTAAATATATCTTTAAGATTATATGCATATACTTATTCTTATAATGGACGTCACACGTTTTAAACAATTAATCTTGGTCCAATGTATGTATGCAACATCAATATTTATAAGATTCACCCCCCAGAGGTATAACAGTCTTATATTATACTAAGATATTTAGTGAGTTTGTTACTTGAAGTATCCGTGATTCCGTATTGAATTTTCTATAATCGTATTGTATTAAAAAAGGACTGAAATTTACATTAATTTATTATTCTCTATTTGTTGTTTTTTAACTTTTGAAGTTCTCGTCGATTGATGTTTAAATTTTGTTTTATTAATAAAAAGTATAGAATAACCCGTCCAATGTTATTGTCATTGGACTTATATAGTTGTGGAATGTTACTGACAAGTTACCAACAAGCTGGTAAATACAAATATAAATGAATTTGTTGTGCTAACGATAGCTTTTATTGAAGTGGAAATAACGTTTGTGCAGGTGAAGAGGACTAAGGAGCTGGTTGCTATGAGTGTCACGATGCAGCACAGCATGACGAACGGGCGGATTGGGGGGGCGGGGTGCGGCGGGGGGTCGGGGGCAGGCACCCAGCAGGGCTTCGTGGCCGCGCTCAAGGATGGCTTCGGCTTCATTGAGACAGCCGACCACACCAGGGAGGTGTTCTTTCATTTCAGGTATGACGTCACAGTGGTAAGTCACTGTCAATGACCAGTGTAGAGAATCCAGCTATATACACCCGAGCACAAAGAAACAATTACGTCCAATAAAAAAATATATGGTATGGATGGTATTCCATCAAAGCAGTGATCGAAAACGTATGAAAGCATTCCATAAAAACGTATACAAATTTTAACTTTTAATACTTTATTTTTTCGTAAATAACGGCTCGGTTAGGAAGGGAATTATTGAAAGCAAATAGCTCGAAATAAATCGCTTTTAGAATAAACAAATGGAAACTTAAAATACACAAAACTTCAGCTAAAACGATATCGCATTGAGTAACGTTTCCATATTGCACTTGTAGTGATTATGCTGTGAAAAAGTTTGCCGCAAAATAAAATTGTACGTTTAATTAAAAGCTGGAGATTAAAGGAGGATATTTCGTTACCTTCAACGACTACGGGGGATGGAACATTGATTTTTACCAATTTGCTTCATTTAGTTGAGTGTTGTGCAATTAAAAAATTCATTTATCTGTATAGGCATTTGAGAGATTTTTATTAACGGGTGTTATGCTTGTGACTCACTGCGAATTTTTTTAATTTTTTTATATTTACACTGAACGCTCTGCGACTGTTTCGTTTGTTTTCTATGCATGTGCCTTTATTATGTTTGTGTTTATTTTGCGTTTATTGTTTTATTTGTATATGTTTTTTTACATTTTATTCTGCTGTGCAATATAATAGCTGCGAATGATAAATTTGTGCGACTGTTTGACTCGGTTATATAATTTTGATCTAGATATTTTGCACGAATTCTAAATTTAAATTAATATTGGATAGTTACAGTTGTTCAGATCGAAGGTCGTACAGCTCAAGTTGAGTTTTTCTTGTCTCGCACATTTCGTAACCTTGGAACAGTCGCTTCTGTGAAGCGTAATTGCGACTTGATTGCTCGCGAGCTATTTGTGATTTAACTACCTTTGTTGAATATCATAACCCCTCTCTGGATGTTTGTCCGTATAATTATATATACTAATGACGAATTGAGCTATTTTTATATATTTTGGTCATTTGTGTTATTGATTTTGGACATCACGTTATCATCAATTCACGTTGCGATGTTATTTTGTATTCGCAATGATATTTGTGTTTTGTAATTTTATCTTATTGTACAGTGGTATGTACCACTTGTATACAAGAACATGAATAGGAAATGTTAAAGTTGCATCCTAAAAAGTACATTTACAAAGTCGTATTGAGTAGAAATTCTAGCTCAGTGATCTTTAAGTATAACACAAAATAGCCGGAAGACACATGTCATTCAATAATGAAGATGCAATCCCATTATCTGATATCGATGGTCCTCACATGTGTTATTAATGGCGTCTAATGAACTGTAACTTATTGAACCGTGTCTGAAATTGATAATTAATTAATGTATCACCTGTACCGTATGCTAGTGATTATTCATTACCGTGTGTGTAGTATGGCAATTTGAGGTGTGCGATGTAATAATATTGTTAATTAGTAATATTAAGGTACTATGTATATGTATTATGGGGTAAAGTGGAATTTGTTTTATATTGTCCAGATAGCTCTTTTTAAATACGTGCGTGTGTGAAGCAAAAATGTCCCGGATTCGACTGAAACCTATACTAGTTTGTTTAATATCAATATATTTCAAAGTCTTTCTTTCTTTACAGTAATCTTGAAGGCAGTCCGGATGTATTGGAGTTGGGTTCAGAAGTTGAGTACACTGTGGGTCGTCAGAGCAGCGCTAGCGGTGGTTGTGCCAGCGCCGAACATGTGCGACCCCTGCCTCGTGGGACTGTGCCCGTTGCACGACCCCTGGAACCTCCTCTCACCGGCACCGTGACACGTACCCTGAGAGCGCTCAACCCCGACCAGGCCAAGTACTCTGGTAAAATAAAACTACTTAATATTTAAATAATCCAATTTTTATCATATGACAATCCCAGTACTACGTTCAAGTGCTACTAAATATCAAGCTTCTTTAAATAGTCAAATTTTATATCACATGAAAACCGCAGCTAAATATTCTCGATATTCTATTCTATCCAAATATATACAGTTTAGTAATGCATCTTAATTATATATTATGTTTAGGTTTAATCCAAGTGGAGGGAGGAATGACCTACGAATTCGGCATCATGGGTCTAGCGAGCAAGCGAGAGATTCTTCAAGTTGGTGATCCGGTCACCTTTCAGTCGGACATGGAAGGTCGCGCTACCAACATAGTGCCTATAAGAAAGAAGAGACGGGCAACCGTAGACGCTATAAAAGGTATAACAATAAAAGCTAATGTTCATGTTACCAACTATATAAGAACAATAGCGTTATTACAATAAGTGCCATGGTCCATTCAATTACATCTCTACTAATTAAAACCACGCGTCTCCACAGTTCTTAGACATGTTATATTACACTTTAAAGATGCTTGAGTCAATTTGTATTGACTTTATATTTAATTATTTATATGAAAGTATTTTTCATAACTTCAAAAAAGGTCAGTTAGAAAGTAATTATGTGTAGTAAGGAGTCCTTTATTACAGTAGTATTAAGTCTGGTGAAGTTAAATTGAATTGCACTATATAATTTTGTCATACATGGACTATCGACAAACCAACAATGTATTTTATTTTGTAGTTTTAATAATTTCAATACATTCCTATTGTGAGCGAAACGGATGTTTTAATACAGAAGTATCTTTTAATATGAATGTATGAATAAATTATAAAATAACTTAACATATTACATCGTCATTTCATAATTGAATTGAGCACCATTAACGCATCCTCAATAATTCGATTGATTAAATCCTTCACTGTTATGCTATTTAAAGTGTTACTATTATTTTATTAATTACTTCGGACAATAAAATGATGCTTGTTATATTATATAATGGCAGTTTAAATATCAATATATTAATGTTCGTTTATTATATATTATAGTGAATTACTTTGAAATTATATTTCCGTGATGTATTAATGTTATTTACTGATCGTCATTGTTCCGGGTAACAAATTCAAACTAGTTTCGCAGCTGTCCTGTTTCCTATTCGGTATTTGAACCAGATTCATCGAACTTAAATTACTTGTCTGTGTTTATACCGCCCATTGATTAAACAAAATCTAACTTTAATATATAAAATAAGCTTGTCGTTTGAAAAGATAGTTATAGAAAAAGTATATAATATGGAATGACATGTTAATGTTTGAAATAAAACTAATATTTTTCGAATTAACTACGTATTTATAATTATTTTTAAATGTTAAATTTTTAAATATTTTCGGTTAATTTTGCATCAGCCGTAGCCACGGGCAGAGATGTCCAAGATCACGGTTGCTAATGAATACTTGCGAAAGTCTTAGATCTCATTATGTACATGTTTATATAATATTATGTATATGATTATTGTAACTGTTTTCATAAGGCGGCTTCGGTTTCCTGTCTCTCGAGGCCGAGGAGGGTCGTCGTCTCTTCTTCCACATGAGCGAGGTCCGCGGGAACCCTTCAGACCTGGCGCCCGGGGACGCCGTCGAGTTTGTGATGCTAACCAATCCAAGGAATGGGAAGTGCTCGGCATGCAACGTCGTCAAAGTCGGGTGAGTCTCCTACCTTTTGTTTGATAGTAATATAGTACCTAGTCTCATAGTTGTTGTTAATTAAATGTCAACGTTCAGAAAATATCTAATGACGTCATCATAATCAGAGAATATTCTTTTCTTTTTATACTAAATAATGTTCACAAAATGGACAGACACTGTATTTTTTTAACAATAACATGACACAGATAATTGAGATGTTCTTTTTGAATACTGCATGCAGTTCCATAACTCGTGAATACTTAGTTCCATTCGCAAATTCCCGCTTTGATATTCGTTCGTTCGAGAAATGTTAACGTGGAGAAAAATTAAAACGTTAAATTCCTTTTCCGAACGAAAGTTTTTTTTATTCTGCAATCCTTTCATTTGTGTTTATTAAAAGGAATGCTTGAAATGCATAATTAATTTAATTGAAATCGGTTTATTGAAAGATCGCGACGGGGAAAGTGATATCGTTTTGAGATTGGAAAAGAAAAAAAAAACATTCTACGTAGAATTTATAACAACTCGTTATTCAACCTTTGTCTTTTATTTTTTGTTGATCAGGAGTTAACGATGAGCATTTTAAAAGGGATATTTCGTTATAAATATTATGATATATGTAGAGTATTTTCAATATTCTATAAATAATATATTTTTTTTAATTAAATTTATACAAATGCCTTTTCAATTTATCTTGATGTTTTATTTAAAGTGAAAATGAACGCACAGCTTTTAATTATTATGGTCGCTATGAAGTGGTCTTGTGTATAAACTCCTGAAAATAAAATATTATTACGAGCTATTCATTCATTCATAACGAAATTGTAAGAGGGACTGCGTTTTTTTTATTTTACCTATGTCCAACGATGATTAAAAATTTTAATATTGTGCTTTTTATGGTAAAATGTAATAATTATTTTTTCCGGTTATAAAAAGCACATATTTTTTGTTGAAAATGTAAAAATACATTTTTCATTTACATCACCCGTCCATTTCATAACTTTTTCTTAATATTTCCGAATTGTATTATGAACTATATTTGGAATGTTGGATGCCTTTCATCACACTAAAAGCACTCTGTTAACGAGATTTGTTTATTTGTTTTACATGTCTGTGGAGCGTCACTGTCCCCTTTGAAATAAAATATTACATTGATTTAATAACCTCCGGAGGATATATGGTTACAAATGGAACGAATAAAAATATTAATCCAATATAAACTTACATATGTATTAGGCATGAAGGTGCATGTAAATTACTATATACTTACATGCAAATACCCTAAGAGATATAAAGAAAAGTTTGTCCCTTTAGTATTTCAACAGTCGACAGGTGTAATGAATGCTTTAAATATCTTCAACGAATCTTTCAGGAGCAACAGCAGCAATATCAAGATATCAAAGCGCGATCGCGAGAGGGAGCGTGAGAGAGAGCGTCCGGAGAGGCCGGAGCGTCTGTTGGCGAGGCTGAGGACGGTGTCACTGGAGGAGCCCGGGCCGCGCGTGCTGGTGCTCCGGCCGCCGCGAGGACCGGACGGCAGCCGCGGCTTCCGTCCGAGGAGACCGCTCGCCGACCAGCTGGCCGACTGAGAGCAGGAGACGCGGACGGCCCGACACCACGCCACCGACACCAGCCGCGCCACCACCCGCCGCAGAGTCTACAGGTTCGGTAAGCAGGCCGCCCGTGACACCGTGACACCGTGACGCGACACACGCACGGTCTCCACATCACATTCGTATAGTTTACTCAATCACGTATTCACCAGAGACTGACTACCACATTTCTTTAGCAGCGTATGTATGAATAATTTTAGGTGACATAAATTTTTTTTTTGTTGTTGTCATCGATCGGTTTAGTTGTATGAGCGATTGACATATCAATTGATGATTCGTTTTGCTTGACGTGTGTTTTTTTTATGAGGTTCTTTTTCGCATAGATACGTTGTTCAAAATTCCATTACTTATTGTCTATCCGAGTCGACACGAAGACGGCCAGTTATATAGGTATTATTTATGCTTCTGTTAATATGAACCGTGTGCGTGCTCAGGATACATAGTGCCTTTACTTTCAAGAACTAATAAATATGTAAGAAATGTCTAAAACTAAAGTGTCTGGTGCCTTATTGTGTTATGAATGAACCGTCAGCTGATAGACATTGTATGGGAGTATGAAACTCTGTATATAATAAACACTTTGTTAAAAGTAATAAAAAAAAAGTTTGTTTGGTGACGACTATACTTATACTGTGCCTCGATGTTACAATAAAACATATAGAAAGTATATTAAAAATGAAATAAATATAATTACAAAAAAATATATATATAGGAGGAAAATTGAAAAGATTCATGCAGTAACTGTATTATTTGTCAGTTCTTCCACTATAACATTGTGGCCACATAAGTGTTTTCGTTGAGTTATATACGTATTGTAAATTTAGTATATATGTATATATATATGGTTTTGTGAAATTTTATACGTTTGTTTTTTACTTTTTTTGCAAAATAATGTACAATTGAATTAATTATAGAACAAATAGAAATAAAAAAAGTATACTTATAAATGATTTGTGTATACAAGTGTCGAACGGTGTATTATAATGTGTTTTATTCTGTTATATAATTCATTGATTTTTTTGAAAAGAGATCTGTTTGTTTTACATAAAATTTAATTTCAGTAATGATTCAAAAATTATCGTATTGGAGAGGTGTCCGTTGTCTTACAAATAAATAAATAAATATAAAATGTTGTATTTACGAAGATTTTTATATATTTAAAAAGTATCTCTTTCATTTTTAATTTTGTACAAAGTCAACATGAGAAATAAATGGAAGCGGATTTATAAATAAAGGAGGCTTCTCCAGTACAGAAAATTGTATATTGAATCCTGTGATCCTGTGATTTGGTAATCGTATGTGCAATAATTGTAACTACAAGTTATCACATAGAGGCCTCGTCAAGTGTCCGACTCGGTTGACGTTAACGAACAAAATGTTATATTAAGCTTATTAAAAATAATCGGAATAGAGCATTCATGCTATGTACTGGAATGGAGCCAAAGACTGAGAAAAAAAAAATATTTATTGCAATAATAATATTGGTATTAGATTATTTTAATTAGCGATATGTTGTAGTCATGCGGTCGGGAGGAGCAGATCACGACCCCGACGCCAACAATATCTGATCTGTACAAAATCGGTGCAAATATAAATTATTGTAACAAGATAGATGTGTTGAATTAGATTTTATCTAAATTTGATTTTACTTTTAGTATTCAGACTGAATGTGGAGCAATACGACATGTGTTCATATCCGGTCGGTGGACTGAGGGGCCTCGTTCGTTCGGAGATTGTGGTCCGTTGTTAACATTAAAGTTTTTTGGTGATATTAAAACGAATTTTTTGTATTACTACGTTTGTTAATGCTGTAGTTATAAGTGTATGAGAGTGTCGGCTGACGACGACGACTAGTCGGACTGTTTATAAACATATTATTTATAGATAGTTTATGAAATTTAATAATGTATTTTCAAATCGTATTCGCGTCTCATATGTACGCGTATGTAGTTATTATATAACGTGAAGCGAGTTAATCTCTTGCTTCTATATCAGACAATCTCAAACGGTTTCCGTGACGACACGCTCCGAAACGGACGAGCTGAGACTCGATGTAATTTATGATTAATTCCAAAGATGGGAATTTTGAACAAACGTTATTATGCTGTACGCTTACAATTATCGTTAGCCTGTAAAAGCCCGTGTAACCATGTGTAGTGATAGTGGCAAAGCGATATATTAATCTGGATTGGTGTTGTAGTGTTGCCCCGGACGAAACGGGGATAGTTATATGTAAAGGTCTCATCTGTAAGGCGACCGTCTCGTTAACCGACCGTCTTAAACGTGTACACGTGCTCTCCTAACGTACGATCGGTGAAGCGAGCGTCGCACATAATAAATGCAGTGCCTAAAAGAACCTCGAGAGGGATACCAAATGTTAACCTTTCAGAATTACAAAACTTTGGAATTATCATAAGAGTTTATTTTATTTTAGTTGTACTCGTATTCATAAGATGTATCTACGCCAATTGTTTACGATCCTTGTACGTGATGCAGTGTGCGCCATCTATCGGCGTACTTCGATAAACTAAGCCCTAAGGTGAGATGAGGCAGTCACGTAATCAGTCGCCTGTATCAATGGTTTGTGTAATGCAGTTGCCGCCGGCGAAAAGACAGCTGCCTACTATATTTATAGCTATATGATACTTGAAATAAAGGTCATTAAACAAATACTAAATATCAAATTCATTATTGTCATTTTAAAACAACCTGCATGCTTTCACCTGGTGGAGATGTGCTTGAACATTACTGGATGCTAAAATAAAGGGGACACATGTTAAAATATTATTATTTTCGTTTATTTTTCACATTTGATCATTATTTCTAATAGTAAAAAAAGTAAACATAGCTCTTTTATTGACTCTCGTACCAGTAATAAAATTGATTTTTTTTTGTGACACATGCATAATTTATTTTATATTTTTTTTAACATGTATTCATAACAATATTTCACGACTCGATATTTTAGAAGAATTGATTGTGATTTTATTACATGTATGAGAAAATGAATTTGTCTACGTAGTTGAAAGAAAATATACAAAACAATGCTTACGGCATAATAATATATTTGAATATAATTAATGTATCTCCTCAAGTAAGGAACAAGGACAGGACCATTGTTGATCTTAGCTTCGTTAAACGAGTAGACTTAATTATATTCAAACATATTCTAACATCACGCTTAGTTTCATTATCAGGTAAAGCTTTAATAACAAGGAAAGGCCATAAAAACATTCAAAAATAAAGAAGTAGCTGATGCGAATGTAAACTATCATTTTCCTTTACTCTTCTATTCCTTCTAGCCTATTCTAATTTCAGTACTAAAGGACTCGATAGTGTTAAATCCAGAGATCACTTTGATAGTGTAAATCTTGCTTGCAGAGATTTGGGTGTTATACAAAAATAGTGTGGTACAATAATAATTTGGAAAAAGCCACTAAAACGTGAACATTTTTATTTAAAATTGTAATCTAGTATTCCTCCTGTGATGAATTCGTTTTTGTAACATTGAAGTCTTTATTTATCACTTACGATCTTTTGTAAAAAAAAATTGTCATGGCACGCATAAACACAAATAATAAAATGAGTGGTTTTTACGTATAAATAGGAAAACTGATCGATTTTTGGCAACCTTTGGTGGTTAAACACGTATGTACTCTATTGATATGATTACTTTTCATCTTTGGGAACTTCGCGTAAAGGTACGTCCTTGAACTTTTCACGTATCTGGTCGCATGTGAGTCCGTTGAACCTGTTTTGATGGTCGTAGTTGGGCCACTGACGGATTGCGTTATAGAGGTTGGAGCCAGGGCTAGCCGAGTCAGTAATATCTCTGGCTCCTACTACTACGAAATCTTTCCGCAAGTGACCGAGCCTCACCCCCTCTGCCAGTATTAATTGAGTTCGGTTCTCTTGTTCGGGAGTTACAACCGCGTGATTTTCCATCTCTCCTCTGTAGTCGCCTGAAAATTATCATTAGATACTATCGTCATTCATTATTAGTCATGACACGAATTACTCTAAATAGATTATAAACAAATTCATGCCACTAATAAATATGTACATCGTTGTCGATTTAAAATTAGAATTATCAGCTAAATAGCTTTTTTTGTTAAATACACTTATAGTAGCAAAATAGAAACTAGTATGTCAATAAATATCGACAGTTCGTCAAAACTTTATTTTAAAAACTTTCTAATGATTTCAAACTTGAAACACGCACACAATAATTTGAAAACGTATATCGATTTTAAGACATTTTACATTTACATTAATTAATTCGTGTTAATTATCAAATCACAATATGGAACATATACTTTTTAAAAAATAAGTGGATATTCTAGCAGGATTCTGAACCTGGTCACGAGAAACGAACTACCCAAGCCAGAATTTAAACAAACTTTTTAAGGACTTCATAAAAGCAAAAGACTGGGCTTTATCTAGCTCTACTCTTTAGTCTTAAAATTATTTTTAGTTTTATAGTAAATGGCCTCCTCTAAATTTGTCTTGTGTCTTATGTCTTAAAAAATGTTTTAAACAAGCGGTGGTAAAATTTCTCTTGGAGACATTTCGTAAATCCACAGGAATGTGGCCAACTAGATTAAAGGTCTGTATGAAAGCCTAAGGTGGCCATTTATTAAGAATATTTTTTATTTGTGGTCGAGACCTTAATAAATATGTAGGCACTGGGTGATGCTCTTTATGCACCTTGTTTTCTTTTTTGTTCGAAAAGAAAAGCTTTCAGTGCAAGTTGAATAACTCAGCGCCTTTTTTATATAAAAACCACCCCAAATGACTAAGCTATCAAACAAAGAAAAACACGATTCGATCGAAAGTTCGGTTGCCGGGATCGTACATGTGGATAAATAAGTCCCCGGTATAGCGTTTTGGTCGTTCACTTAATAAAAAATAAAAAAATGTATTTTCATTTGTAACACAACTTGTAGGACTACATAAATAGTGTAAAAATGTAACATTTATATTTTTTTGTAAATTCTCATTTAATAAACTCCAAATTTCATTTATATAGACACGATGTGTTTAGTCCAACTGTTAAGCTGATGGTAATGCGTATCTTATAAGTTATCAATGTTCATGAAATGGAATAAGTATTTGTCCGTAAAGTGTTAGATTATATAGAGAATTAGGTTATAAAAAATAACGAATTACCAAGGAACCCGATGCCTACAGAGCATCTATTATAGCCACGTGTATGTGCGCCTTCAACTCCCCAGCCACGAAGTTCATACACACGCCCATCGTTGCCAACCGCAAAACTGTAACTGAAAATAAAAATTGTTTCTAATATTAAAATATGACAATAGGTAATAAATGTGAAAAATACACGCTAAATAAAGATGAAGCTAAACTGAAAATAATATCATTCGAAAGTTCCATGTATTAAATATTTACGAAGTGTGCATCACACAAAGAAAAAATTCTTAAAAATATTCTATTACATATTGCCTTATGTTTACGTATTTTAGATCTAGTTCAGGATATTTTTTAACACATAACGGATTGTCTTCCGCTACCTTTAAACATATTTAATAAAAATATGATTGTCATAAAAATGTTTTTACCTTTTTATTTAGTTTTATAATATTGTTCTACTTACGTGTTTAATTTACTTTTTGTATTACAAAATCTAAAAAAGTCAACTGCACTGTGCACAAAGTATAAACAACTTACGGGATGTCATAGCCCATGTCCTTGATGAACCAGCCTTGCAAGTTTCGGAGTTCGGCTGCACAGGCTTGGAAGCGATGACACTGTGGGCCGACTGTGTTTTGTATTACGACCAACAACAGCGGTTCATAATCGTATGTAAAATACGTGTAGTTATACGGCTGTGCGAGCCACATTTCACGAGTGATTCTCCATTCGTGTGGTGCTGTAACCAAATTCAAATGATATATTTATTTAACATGTAAGGTATCAATACACTATTTATAATGTGACTAAAAGCCATATCGGCTTTGACAGCCCACAGGGGATTGGTATTTTAGGTGACAAACCTACAACTATAAATAATACCAATGCACTCGCCCACTGGAAAGGTGATAACCGATTTAGATAAAATATTCGCTAATAGTTGGGAGATTCCATATCTAAAAATTTTTGTATTTTTATTCTTTTTATTTTAATTTATGTTTACTGACGCTTAAAGAAAAGTGTTATTATTCCTAAGTATACTGAAGGATAACAAGTTTAAGAAAACGAACAAAGGGCTTTTTACGACTTAACCATACCGATTGTGTTTTATTTAATCTGGGAGGATTATAACTGAAGTAATTAAAATATGCAAGAATAACTTTGGTCTAATGTTAAAAAGTCATTTCTGATATCTCGTGTCGCAGGAATATAATAATTATTTCATTTTAATGATAGAATAATATAATATTTGTTTTGAGCAATATGAAGAATAAAAAATTATGCCTGATGATTTTTCAAATTGCATTATAGATATATTTTATGATAAATTTGGACAAAATGTGAATCCATTCATTAATGTTTGCTTTAGCTGCTAACAATATTGATGGCGATAAAATATTAATGACTAATCCTTGATAAGTGACTAGGTATTTCATTTGTTAATCAATTCCTCGAAATATATTTACATCATTAATATCTCCGGTCAATTTAATTATTGTCTGATGCGACTGTTTCCAGTATGATCAACCCAGTGAAATAAATATTTACTGCATATATGTATGTAAGTTCAAAATAAATACGACGAATAAAAGACTATTTTCATTATTATCTAAGTAAACAAAATATTAACTTTTTTGTCGTGGGCACATTCGATAAATCTATGGTGAGTATTTAAGTAGAACTGGTAGACAAGAGTAAAAAACGAGAATAAGACTGTATAATATAATTCAAATAATTTTTGACCATTTCAATAATATATTATGACGATATTTGTTCAGTAGTCTTGACATGATAATGAGATGTGGTGACGTTTTTTAAAATATGAATTAGATACTGGGTGTATTACTAGAAAATGTAAGTGGAATAAGCAGGGAATAAATTGAAATATTCAAATTGCTTCACCTCTGTCCTCTTCCCTAGACTTGCTCGTCATAACTGAGAAGTAGGCAATGAGGGCGACGCAGACAATCAACACGATGAGCGCTGCAGCACACGACAGCCGCTCCGTACGCGAACTGTTCTTTATAACCTGCCATATGTACTTCGGTAAGGGCAGCTCTAGAAATATAAAATATTATTTTATTATAACAGCGTTAATTATCACACTTGACAACATTATGTTTATAATAAAAGCAATTGCCACTCTAGTTCATTAATAGTAACTACGCAGTACTCTCTACAGTAAATTAATAAAGTTATTTCATATTCAATCATAGAAGTTTTTTACATTTTTTATATATTTTTTTACCCTCAGCATAAAACAGGATCTTTTTATGACTCCCCTGCCTATCCTCCAATAAACAACCGTTATTATTACACAATTGAACTTTTAAGGAATGATTTTTACAATATTTGTACCAACCAAATAAATTTTTAATTGGGTTCATATACAAAAAACCTTGAAGGTTTTTTTCGTCATTTTAGATAATCGCAGGGAACCCTACTTATCGAGTCACTCTGGTATTTGGCCGGTTTCAAGCTAAGGAGAGTTGTGATTCAATAGAAAAGTTGATATGAAATGTCTGCAGTTTACATCACACCTCAATAGGAGAGTAAGAAATACATTTACAAAAATTGCACTATGTTCAAAAACCTTACATCTTAGATTTTATTTAGGCAGATAATTTAGAAATCATATCGAAAATTTCTTACAAATAATGGTATGTAGTTACATATATTTTATTATTTTTTTGCTTACCAGACAAATGATTCATAGTCTTATCAAAAACCAGATAAATGTGTTTCTTTTCAAATAATTATAGATTGCATTAAAATTTAAACTGTTTGAAAATGTTATCCTTATTTAACTTTTCATTTAGTTATTCTGGCAATTAAAACTTTCCTCGTATCTTCTGTTTAGAAACTAGAAGATTTATAAATATTGATATGCGAAAAACAATTCAATTTCAAAATGAATTTATCATTGTTCTCTATCAGCGTTGTTATCTTGTTAATTTGAAATCGCTAGAGATAAGTCGAAATGCTATATGAAAACAAAATAACAATAGGTAAATCGATTAACAAGGTAAAAATTATGTTTTAACAAAAAAATGTGCTCACAAATTAAGAATAACATTTGTTTGCTAAGAATTCCTTGAATACTATTTATTTTTTATTTTAAGATGTATTGAAGAATCTGGAACCTTACATTATGTTTCAATAATATCAATTCATTTTTAGGTGGTACTACATGTAACTTTATTAAAACACTAACAACTTCGTTGGAAGTATCGTAATTCATTATTTAATTAGATATATTTTGTCTAAAAAAAGGCTTTTTTGAGATCTAGCTTATTTCCCTTGTGTAGAAGACAAGCTGTATACATGTATATACTATGTATACTATGTACTACTGTTGGCTCAATTAAAATTTATTTGAATATTCAGATAACATCTCTTGCAAGTGGTACTGTAGTTGAAGTGGGAATACAGTGGGAAAAAAAATAACATAATTTTTTGGCAATGTGGTTGGAGTAATTGTAAAAAAAGTTGAAAAGAAACATGGCATTTATTGTTCACAATAAAAGATAACTTATGAGTATGCATAAAAATATCCACAATGGAATTAAGAACATCAATTTTTAAAGCATCTACTATACATTTTTCTTTAGTTATATGTATTATATAGAAGAACTCTTTTGGGGTATATTTGAAGTCGCGTTATTGTACCTACCACTTATTAAATAGAAGTCACTTCAGCCGCGAAATCACGTGTGTATATAAAAATACTGAAACACTTACAGATGAAAACACTTATTACATATATTTTTAAATGATTGTTAAACAAATTATTGCAAATTTTATTCAAATGAAACTAATATATCTAATTATTAGTTTTATATATCGTTCCGTATTTATAAAGCTTTGATAAAATATTGCAAGATTATGATGACCTTATTAGAAAACGTTGACACCTACGAGTCACCGATGAAGTTTGTATCATATATTGTTTATCAATAATAAATCTTCTTTATTATAAATTAAATATAAAACATTTTATATTTATTCATTTATCTGGACCCATTTTATAAATTGATAATACATATATTCTATTATCGTATTATGTTCTTTATTTTTGCTATGCATTAGAGCGTAGACTCAAAATGGCAGTCGTGGGATTTATGTGACTTTGAGTGTTAAAAAAGTTTAGGCCGAATTTAACTGAAACAAACCAATATCCGTTACGATACGTTACGATAGTCTTTGTGTACATCTTTATTTAACACAAATAAAAATGAAGTAGATTATAATTGATAAAAATGGCCCTATTGGAGAATATTTTAAGAAGAAAAATATATTTTTTACATTTCAATACAGAATACATGCTATATTTATAATTAATGTGTCAATGGTTTTTCCACTCGTCATTCATTTCCTACAAGGTGACATCGCATGTAGTTAAGTTCAGTATGGTTGGGTTCGACGTATGAAATATTGTAATATTTTAATAAGTATATAGTTCTGAAAGCGTCATTATTTAGAACAAAACAATAAAATTATTTAACAAAGTGAGAAATTTAATGTATTGAAGACTCTATAGTGTTTAAAACGTTAGAATTATTTTTAAATATTCGTTTTTGATACGCAGATGCTGTTTAAACTAAACGCATAATGTTTTTAATGAGTTCAACTGATACAGATAATTAATTGGTATTTGTAATCATTATTATGAAATAAATACTTCAATACTATGTTATTGGAAATTAAAACAAGAATTAAACTAATAAAAAAGCGTCTCGTGATTTATAGTTTATTCGTATAAGTAATAAAAAATGTTTTTACATGTACTCCTTATCAGAAATTTATTTTTACATAGCCTATTAAAAAAAACGACCTATAAATATAATTTCATCAACAATACAACTGTATCTACATTTTTTTATCATTACACTAAAATATCGTCGAGACTTCTTTGAGTTTAATTTTTTTCTTTTATTCTGTTCACTATATCATATTTTTGTTAATTTAAGTGCCTCTTTTTAAATTTCATAATTTCTGATCATTCTTATTCATCTTAATATATCTATAAAATATAATACTATTCTTCATATTAAACGAAAAGTATCACAGTCAATACACTAATCACTAACACAATAATATAATTCTAACCTCTACATTATTTCGTAAAAGAGAGAAATAAAATTTATTTTATTTCAGATTAACAGTCTGTAAACTGTAAAAACTGCCCCTCATAGCAATTACACTATCAGAAAATTAATATAAATACATGATATCAAACCAAAATATCAATCATTTTCAAACATTCGTTGTCTTGGCAGGCAACGACTGGCATTAGCTCGATTCCAATGTAAGAAATGACCTAACTGGGTCATTATATGAGGACCAGGACTGATCGTATCGAAATTAACCTGACAATGGCCAACCAAAGTATAATCTTGTCGCAGAACTCCCTCTCTGACCAGAACGTCCAGAAGAACGTTTAGATGTTCAAATTGCTTCGAGTCTGGTTGGTCGTGGATGTAATTTCCCATGAACATGATCGATATAGCTTTAGAATTTAAAGAGCCGACCATAGCTCCATGGACGTTAGCACCTCTACCCTCAAAAATAAACCCGTTGCCACCGACGAGGAAATTTGGGCCGATGTCAGCAAGCTCTCGTCTTAAATGGTCTTGTTGGATGATGAGCATCTGTTCTATGCATCTGTACCTTTGGTTACAATAATTTGCCGCCGAATGACCAATGATGACTTTAGGGACAGGCAGATGCAAGAAATTTATGGCATAAGGAGCCATCGCTTGCCAGTCACCCCGACGTAAGTACCACGTTTCATTTAGACCTTGGGGAACAAATAATACACTGTAAATATTTTAGTGTTTCTAAATTTTATGTTATTAGAAGAAATGTGTTTTTTTCTCGAGATGTGTGGGACATTAGACTTGAAAATAATTAGAAGAGGTAGGAAAAATGAAAAATCATTTAAGAAGCTCGAATACAATATAAAACATTTGGTTTTTGAATAAGGAAAATTCAATTGGAATAAAGTAAATGCAGAATTGTAAAAATTATTAAAGTTTAAAAAGGGGAGAAAGAATGAAGAGAAACAGTTTGTTTGAAAGTGCTTATCAATATCAATCTGAAGGGGTTATGGTTCTGGGGATCTGGTTACCTATATCAAGACGAAATTGTTGATTCGGCAACGCCACATAGACGAGATAGATGACAAGCGCGGAGGCTACTACTAGCGCCCAACATACAAATACTGCGACGCTGCAACGCAACCTCCGCGCCTGCTTGGTTGATACCAATTCGAGGCCCAGAAAACGGCCTGAAACAAGGAAATACTTAGGTAGAGAAAATCTACTACATACTCAGATATTTTGATTTTGTCTAAATATAAGTCTGCTTCTTATTCTGTTACTTTCGAAATATATGCAATTTATTTTTGTTACCATATTATTAAGAATAGGAACTTTGTATTTGATACATGGGGAAAATAAACAAATTATTTCATATAGCTTCCTATTTGTCAAGGCTTGCGATACTGTTTTAGTTACTATAGTGAGTAGGGAACAAATCTATCGTTTAGTTCTTAGAAATATATGTTTTATGTTATAAATGTGTTATATAATTACCTTGCTTTATGCAATTGTTAAATTTAAAAACTGGATAATGACGAAGATTTATCATAATTAATAATCAAAAATAAATACATTTTGTTTAAGTGGAGTAGAACTAAAAATAATTTTTAAACACATTTACTTCAGTGTTGATAAAAATAAAGTGTTTTACACAGACAATTTAACATAAATTTTTAAAATTATCACTAAATTCCTAGCTATCACATTAGTATTCTTACAACGTAAGATGACACCTATTTTTGGAAAAACCTGTTTGCAGACGGCTATATTTTTAAAGTATGACTTTTCCTGGTTACTTGCAAAGTTTTTTTATGATTAAGGTAACAAATAATTTAATAATAATTCACGAAACAGCTAGCAATAACAGTTTTTTTACGATATTTAATAATGTCAGTTTTTTAAGTCTTCTATAACCGCGAACTGACAAGAAGCGAGAGTTAGTATCTATACAAGAAAATTCCTATACATTTTTGTTTTAGCATATCATTGTTATTTCTATTAAATGATAAGTTTTAAGGTAATGACCATAAAATATTACAATGTCAGAACTCAGAGTAGTCAGTAATTTATGTAAGGTGACAAAATATACGTAAATATACATCATACTTAATAAACTGTTTGTAAGATAAATAAATACTTGTACCTACATCTGGATATATTGAAACGTAATCTTGGATATTTACGTTTTAAGAAGGTATTAGACATAAAATGAAATATCATTGACGTTAGTTAGGATGATTGTTTGTCATTAATTTATGTGTAGTTAGTTGGCTCGTAAAAAGAGTTTCCCTGGGACATCAAAATAAAATAAAATGTGTAGTTAGTTAACCTTCGGAAAAGCGATGTTAAGTTAATGAAGAATTTATAACTTCAAAATGACTTTTGATACTAGGCATATATAATTACTAGTATTTTGTAGCCTGTACTATCGTCTATTGAATGAGTTGTTCAGCATTCGATCGGGAAAACCCAACTGTGTTGTATAAACATCGTTTCTTGTGACAATATACGGAAACATACATAAAATATTTTCTGGCTAGTAAGGTCCAATTTGATACCAATCTTTGTTAAAATGTGATGATTGATAGGAAATGATCACTTTAATAGATGAATTGGGAAAAAAATATGCCCAAAAATGTAACATAGAATGTTGACGTTTTATTTCCGATATTCCGATTGGGAAGTTCATTGAAATTAATTTCATAAAGTTTTATAAAATCATATTTGAAGTATTTTTTTTTAATTGTAGACGGCGATCAAAGAATAAACCTAATAGAATAGGTATAACAGACAAGGAACAGTATACGTATGTATAATGATCATAAGCCATACTTACTCTAAAAATGCAATATTACGCAAATGCTAACAACATGTTAATATTTCAAATAAACACACATGGCACAACACACTTTATTTCGATGTTCTGCAGATATAACTTTATTCTTTATATCTATAACTTTATTCTCAATTTTTCAAGAACTCTCCTAATTACTTTGTAGTTTTTGTCTCTACTTTCAATAAATATAGTCCAAAGAAACACATTTTTCTCAACAGGAATGAAGGCTGATCAATAGTTCAAATGATACCCAAAATGTACGAGACCAAAACTTTTTAATGTATCTTTATACTTTTTAATTGATTTAAGTGATAAGAATAAACATTGAATACTGGGTTAATATTTCATTCATCTGGGTTAATATATCATTATATATGTATGTATATTTATATCTAAAATGTTGTCGCTTTAAGATAACGTATATAGCCATGAACGCTGGTTTACGAATCACAGTATTTAATTATTTTATTTCAAGTAACAACACGTCTTTGGTTACTCGCGACTTCGACTACGGTCACAATGCATTTTACAATTTCATTTTCCTCAATCTCGACTCTAAAGGTATAATCTTTATGATGTCATTTATGAAGAACATGTTATCTTCTGTGATATATTTTTGTTTGTGTACTTATGCATGTTTTTTAATTAGTTACTTTAATCAATTTATTTCATTTGAAACTCGTTAAGAGAATAATATTCATATTAAATTCCCTTAGTTACGAACCTACAGCGTTTAGGAACTATGTACACCGTTATCACTCGTATACAAGTCCGTAAATATTTATAGTTATAATATCTATAAGAGAATTCGCTGTAAGCGTGCCTTAAATTGATAAAGATTTCATATTCTTATTAAAGCGTCGCATTGTGCAGTCGCTAGGCGGTCCTTAAAGTGACGAACATAAAACAACAATGGCGCGCAAACAAAGGATCGCGTTAATTTTACCTTTAAGAGTTTCAGCATTTTGTACATTTTGAGTGACGGAGACGAACTTGGGACCGATGTGGACCTTGGAAGATTTGGTGATATTGAGATTGGCGACGGCGGGTGAGGGGATGGCCGAGGCGATTGCACTTTCGTCCATCACGGACAATTCCGCCGGGACCCTGCCCTGTGCAACCGCCTGTCCCGTATCCTCCCTGCTTCTCCACATCACAAACACAATACGATACAACCGCGAAAACAACAACTCACGACGTCGTCTGACGGCTGACTGAACTCGTTTATTAGTTATTACTGGCCACAGCGAACGAACTGATATGGCTAATCGGAATTTGCGTTCTCCCAATGCAATTTTTTGAGTAATGTCGTGATAATTGCCTATTTGTTGATAAAACTTATATTTATGTTTATCTTATAGACAGTATTTTTAAATATATCGCTAGCATATATATACATCTATAAGATAACAGATAAATGTTGTATATTTTTAAACATAATATGTAAAATATTATCTCACTTAAATTTTTTGCGCCTACAGCTAACAGCTCTAGTTAAACATATTTACTGCGAATCGGTGGGGAAAGTGATTAAGATAACACGATAAGTTTTGAGGTTTAAAGATATGTTAGATACATCATAAAATTGTTTTTGGTATAGTAAAAGATCGTGTTCACTGCAAACTTTTAAAATACTCAAAGTTTTACTTTTAGAAAACGCTATTACTTTAGGTATTTAACTGTGAAACGAAAACACATTCTTGACATTATCTTCGCTTTATATATTAAGTACAAATGTACATATCTTTATTTCATGACGTTATATGAATATGCTTATATTTCACTTGTTCACATATAAAAACAAAAGTATAACTTTGTTTTATCTTCTATTTTCTATTAAGAAAAAACAATTTTTAAGTATAAGCAGTTTTACTAAACACCTATTATTGAGTTTCTAGTCTCGTGTGAAATTACATTTACTGGTGATTGTCAAGTATAATATTTAACACTTAATTAAATCTATAGATTACAAATTACTTTGCTGCAATAACGCACTTTTAAAATCACCTAAAACAAATGTTGACATTGGCATAAAATCCATAAATATCCAAATAGGCATAAATATCTGTATAACATATTAACCTATTATTTAAATGATGAGTACGAGTATATAAAAATGGCAAAATTAACTTTAAGACACAACTTACCACCTAAGAACTCGAAGAATGAAGTAAGTTTAATTTGCAGGTGCATATAACAATAAACGTTGATTGTCTTGGTCACGAGCGAAAAGCCTAGCAAAAGTTTACTTTTAAATATTTTACCCTGCATCTTATAAGACATATTCTACATAGACGAAGTATATGATGGTTTATAGAAAGGAATATAAAATGTTTAATGCCAGTTATATATAGTTTCGTAAAAAAAAAACTTCCAAACTGACAGAAATATGATGGACAATACAGATCCAATTTCATTTTTTAATAACAGGTGTAGTCATTCAAGCTGCCTGTTACAGAAGTGTTGTAATAACTAAATGAAATGAACACGGACAATGTGCGTAAAAATATTTTTAAGTGCGGCGATTAAAACTTTAAGTGAGTGAACGGTCGCTTCATCTCACGCCGTACCTACTGAAGCGTTCCATGTTGAGTTTTCTGGTCTTGGAGTCGGACTGAGTCGTGTAATACATAGATCGTTAGTGAAACCGTCGTTGCTAGATAAATTTCCAATCTCATTGAAGACTTAGACTGCATATAAACTTTTTCAGAGCCCATCAGCTCTACAATTTTCTACTCTTTGGTCATCTTTGGTCATCATCAGTCTATAAATGTCATGTAAAATATTATAATAGTCTTCCAAAAGCTTAGCTGAGCTTAGGGCAGCAGTTATTTAATAGAATATTATACCCCTTTTTGGACAATAAGACGATCAAGCATTTGCCTCTCTCTAGTATATTTATTTACAGGATTAACAAACCTGAATAGCCTTTTGAAGGGTTAATTTTCCACATACCTTCAATAGTTCTTATGTAATTTTATCATAATCTAATGCCTCGTTAAGTTATCTGAAGCTAATTCTGATCACACAGGGATTGTGTCGAGTATTTTCCGGGAATTGTCCGGTTAGTCTGTCTCTAGGATCTTTCGCTAAATTCTCTTGCACTACCTTGTGTAACTGTTTGTAAAATTCGTCTTTCTAAGCCAGTAACGTTGACAATTCTAGAATGACAATTCCTTCAACAACAACAGGCTTCGGCATACAATAACGGGTAATCGCCACAAAATCGAAATTGTATTAATTAACGCAATCGCTGGTTAGGCAGTTTGAACCGAGCTGAACTAGGGACACAATAATGTATTGCTAAAAGAAAACTATAGTCCCTTTGATTAATGCAAGAACGTTTAGTATTTTATAAAATGTTTATTACTTTTAGATTCCATTGAGTCATTTACAAATATAGCATTGTCTCAATTGAAATTATAACGTCGTTGTCATCAGCCTATCAGAGCCTACTCCTGAGCAAAGGCCACTTTCTCACATGGCGAAGGTTTGAGTATAAATCACCACGCTTGCTCAAGACGGGTTGGTGATTTCAAACTTATAATTGTGAAAGTATAAAGTCCAGTTTTCCTCACGATGTTTTTCTTCACCGTATGTCAGTAGTGTCTAAATACTCTCAAAAAGGACATGTGACCCCGAAAAATCACATTGCTCCTTGCCAGGTTTGAACCCGCGATCTCGGCAACGGGAGGCGGGCTCTTTAACCACTAGGCCACCACTGACTTTTTCATTATAAATTATAACGTTTTAATTAATATTATTCATAATATTAACATTATTCTGGAATTAATTAAACTCAACAAAACCTTTAATATTTCCTTACCCTGCTTTTCCTTTATATTCTCTGGTTATAAGATGGTCAACTTTCAAGGACGTACCATCCACTTCCTGTGGCAGATATATTTTTTATCTTATCTTTATTTTTGTCATATTTTATGATTCGAGATTACCGGGATTTACCCTATACATTAAGTTGAAATTAATTAGCCTTGGACCTTGGACCTAAAAGATTATATTAATGTTCTAATTTTTTGGGAAACTCTTTGCATTTTCATTCCAAAAGCATAGTAGAGATGCTTCATTCCCAACCAATGGCTAAGAGGTGTTAAAACTTGAGATAGCCAACTCGATTACCAAATGCAGTCGCATAGATTTAGAATAAGAGTTATCTTTTAGTATTTTTTCCTTATCATTTACGTTCTTAATACCTTAATCAATTTAAAAGTTCCAGGCACTGTTAAAGCTCCTCTCCATGCAACGCGATTGACCCGGAGCGTCATTTATCAAGTATGTAATTTGACAACAACTGAGTCTGTAAATACAAGACATGTTTTTATTTAGCTGGTGCTTACATTAAGTATAAAAAAATTAAATATAAATATATATATTTTTTGTTACTATAATGGTTTTATGACTTAAATTATTTGACATAATACCTATTTGGAATTCTATTTAACATAATTTTACTTCTATGTCGTGTTTTTGTTTTATAAACATACTAGTAAACCTGGCGAACTCCGTTTCGCCACCAGAAGGCTTTTATATAACATTTCGTTTGGTGATTAAAAGATGAAGAATTTTTTGTTTTATATTTGAAAAGGAAAATTTTTATTTCATTTCACAACAATAATGAATTCATTTCGATTACAAAAATGAAGTGTTATTTAGTTGAACTTCTCTTAGTAAATGAAAGTGAATCCAAAGTAGATACCGAATCGAAGCGTTATACGTGTCCGCAAATTATCCGTTTCATTGAGGTGCTCCTTTGTAAACCACATTTTTTGTTTTTTGGTCTAACTTTAACACAAATAAAGCGTATGGTTTCCAAACTCGTGAACACGCAAAATATAACTGCCCATGTGAAAAACAAGGATTTTCTAAATTTATCCCGCAAATACTAAATGGTTTTAAGAGTTCAAACTACAAACACAATACCTAAATATTTTTATTTTCATATAGTAGATTTCTAACAAATATCTAATTGTCATCCATACGTCATTACATATCTGTCATTATACGTCAATTGCATAGCTATCAATTGTGTTATCCCACGTTTTATAGTGACTGACGTTTCATGTCAAGTCCCACGGGAATGCTGTCGAACGGGATAAAAAGTATCCTATCCTTGCAATTCCCTGGTTCTAAACTACCTCCCTGCCAATTTTCAGCTAAATCGGTTCAGCCGTTCTTGGGTTATAAGTGGAGTCACTAACACGACTTTCTTTTATATATATAGATTATTATTATAGCCAAAGGCTATAAAGTTTTTTAAAGTTAGTTTACTTTTAAAAACTATAATGCTTTACGACTGTACATGACTATTTAAGTATATAATTATATTGATCAATATAATTTTAGTAACGTTTATATGTTTTTACATATTTGTTTAATTGGAAAACTGTGTCTAAATAAAATACGTAAGTATTTAAGTTATTAAATGTAAACAAATTTATAGTTTTGGGTCGTGTTATATTAACTAAACACTAGCTGGATAGATGTTCCATTACTCAAAATCAAAAAAACTTGAGTGTGAATGTCTTTGTTATTTCACGCCTTTGGAACAATCGGGAAATATAAAAAAACAATGCATCTGTAATTACATGGCAATCATAGGATTAAGCAGTTTACAGTTATTAATGTTTTTAGGAATTGGAGTTTTAGCAGGGTATCAGGAACTTATTATGTTATAATACATTTTGAGACTATATTTGCTGAATGTTGTCGGTAGTGATTGAATGAATCAATGGACATTTGTTGTGTAAGAGGAATCACAAATATTTTTTAAGTATCCCTGATTTAATACAAATCTTGGAGGAGGAAGTCAATGTAAATTCTGCATGTGCACGACAAAAAAAAGTCTACTCTTCACATTGACGCTTATCACTTCCAACAGTGAGACGGAGAGGAAGCTCACTAGCTGTAGGAAGGAATAATTCACTAATTATCTTCACTTGCTTTGATAAGTCACAAAATATTAGAGGACTTTTAAATTTGAATCTGTCAAAATTATGTAAAGGGTAATTTGTAATAGTGAAAAGTTCAAACTTTAGAGCAAAAAAAAATCTTATTACATTTCAATACGTATGTAATTATCATATTTGTAAATTTTATTCGAGTCTTCTTCTACATTACTGGAGCTGTCTTCAAATTCCGTATCCTTCTCACCAGCTCTACTAGAGTTTCGTTTATGACGTTGTACCCATACTGTTTTTTTGCGTGTTGTCTTTTTTTTGTTTCAGTTATTGTTTGTTTGTACAACGTTTTATTGGTTTTAAAATAAATAACACTTCCATACTCCATTTGAGATTGACTGCTGTGAAAAATTAATATATTTTATACTGGCCTGTTTATATAACGAAGGTAAGTAAATACTTATAACAAACACTATTTTTCTTTATATTCTCTTAATGTTTGACTCTCAACTTTAACGCTTTCTTCTAGTTATAATTATTAACAAATTGTCATAAATATATATTTTTTAATTTAACATACTTTCCTAAAAATAAATTAGTTACCTTGCTAGAAGAAAATTTATTTCGTAATTCTTAAAACAGCTAATTCTCAAGATATTTCATAAAATCATGAAAGCTAATGGATTTTACATTGACAACGGAAAAGTATATAATTGAATTCAAAATATATCTATGACTTCATGTTTTGTAGTAATATCGGTATGGAATGTCTGCAATAAAATCTTCTTTGCGCGCACCCGTAGGCGTCAAAAAGTACAATTCAATGTGCTTTTTTTCCCAGCGTAATAGCATCCAGAGTAATTAATGCTTGACCAAAAAACGCTGGCATAAAACAGAAAAATAAAACAGTACATTTTAAATCCTGTGTTATAATCTCTACATTCGTTTCACTTATAGAGCATTGGCTCACATATAAAAAATTGGATTATTTTTTTTGATAGATGTTGGATCGATTGTGGAAACTTTGTTGTGGTATTGTTAAAAAATCTGATTATAATTGTTACACATACATATATTCCTCTTGCAATATTATGCGTTAGATAAACACCTTAATCTGTGCTACGTTTTTTTTTTCACCACTGTATAATTTCTGATGAACCATATATACAATCCGATTTTTATGCATCAATTCGAAAAAGGTCTACCGTCTATTAATCAGAAATACAGACTCTTACTAAGTCTTGTTTACAAAAATTTTATATTTTTCAGAAATCCCAACTCTCTCTTGGTCTCTTCCAATAACCAAATATCTAAACTTAAAATATTACTTAATATTTATTTTAATGTATATGATATTTTCTTCCTATTGCTCCTAAAATTAAACATTAAAATATTTCTTCCGTATTTGGTAAATCTTGAATAACACGAGTTATATATTATATACGATAAAGTTGCGATCCGGTATCTCTAAATATTGTTGCACATATGCTGTAAAATCTTTTACTATCCAAGTAATAACAATTAGAACCACACTTGTATTTTTTACAAAATATGTAAAAGATTACAGAAATATTCATATTTTTGTAATTATAACTAACGCAATTATTGTTTTTTACGTATTAATTGATAAAATGATAGCAGGGACTTAATGATAATTGCTATCATTTATTTATAAATAGATATATAATTACAAAAAATTATACTTTCCTTGAAGCTCTTAATTTATTTATAAAATAATCATATTCCTTGTTTTTAAATAATTGTATTATAAAAGTAAATATTAATTATCAATTTATTCAGAAGAGTCCTGGCTGTCCTCCTTCTGTGAGACGGTCATGTCCACGAAGGAGGCATCTGAGCGGGAAAGGGAGAGTGCGGCTGATGCACCCTCCCTCCGCAGACGACGTACGGGGGTGCGAAAAAAAAATTTTCAGTAAGCAAAGAAGAGGTGGTAGAGCCTAACTGTGGTTAAGTCATTACAGCTCGAACATGGGTTGGCTCGACCGGGGAAGTACCATCTTCTCACAGAAAATCGGCTTGAAATTTGTATTCTTTAATGGCTGCGTTTCGGCCGGTGAGTGAGAGAGCCGGTTGCCCTTTTTCCTTTCCTACCCTTTCCTTTCCCACCTTTTCCTGCCCCTTTTTCCCAATCAAGGGCGGCAACTCATCCGCAAATCTACGTTACGGATGTCCTTGGACGACTATACAACTTCTGTTGGGTAGGCCGTCTGCTCGGTTGCCCTTTTTTCCCATAAAAAAATCAAAATATCGATCTGATTAACTCGATTCTTTAATAATAATACTTCAAAATCCTATCTAACAGAAAATCATTTTGACTATGATATTTATTAGATATATAATTTTCAATGTGGTAAAAAGTTAAGAAAGTTTAGCGATCAATAATTAACATTAATTGAGAGATTAAAAACAAAAAGATATAATAATCCTTAAAAAAAATCGGAAAACTTATCACATTCGACAATATACATATTAATGTGTTTTAAAAGATAGCAAAATAAATCAACGAGAGATAGCATATCAAGGCTTTAGAAAGAAAACAGAAGTGGTACTAACAATTGTGTAACTGCTATTTTTTTATTCATATTTTCATTTCATTTTTATATTGCTAAATGTTAGAAGACCGTGGAAAGGTAACATACGTGGTGTGTGTGTGTGTGTGTTACTTTGGAATGTGTTTTTGTATAAACCATAAGAGGTTTCCTTATTTTAAAGGAGTGATTTGTCTCGATTAATAAAGATAATAGACCAAACAACTTACTGTTTATTTTCATCACAATTTTCATAATATAACATAATAACCTAATCTAATTAATAAATGTTATTTGAAAAAAAAACAATATTTTTAAGATATAATATGCTTACAATTAACTAAACTACTGAAAATTTAATTTACAATAATGTATATGCTTACGTTTTTATACCTATAATGTTATCACGTGGTTTTTACGCTATCAAATATAAAACATGATAAGCACACTTTTGATATACTTATGAAAGTTTTAAATATATTGAATATTAAGTTTAATAAGTATACAACTGTTCCGGTGTATATTTGAAATATTTTTTTATGACATATCAAAGCTGTGCTTCTCAAATTGCTAATCTAGACTTGTCATCTGTCCATCCGTGACCAACACGAAACAAATAACTCATGGTTAGGGTAACACCCTCATTTATATAAATAACTTACGATAATGTAAGATACCAGTTTTCATATTGAATTTATGTTAAAACCTACTCAATTTGCCCTTTCCATTTGATATCGTGTGAAGACAATAATGTTTAAGACATTTTAAGTTGTGTTGAAACGATAATAATTCTCTAGTACTAACATAGCGACGGGTATATAAACATGTATCTTATTTATATTATTTAACGTATAATATTAATTTATTTGATCTAAGCCTTAAATAAGTGAATTTGCTACAGCTTCATAAATATTATTTATAACAAATTCACTACTGTATGTATATTTATTATAAATTTTCTATAAGATCAGAATAGGCTGTCATTTCTTTGTATTTCAACCTTACGTTTATTCTTATTAAAATATACATTTGTTAAATATTTAGTTATAATTATTTTTATCGTCATTAAAAATAAATATGTGGCTTGATTAAAAAAAGAAGAGAATATGATATCTAATAAAGGTTTTTGGATTAATTTCATTTAACTTAGAATTAAGTTGCCCTCTTAAAATCAATTCAGATTACTTTCGCTTCTTAGACCTTTTCTCAATATTCTAATGTTAAATAGAGTGTTAAAAAAATTAAAACTTGTGTGTGTTATTGATTAAAATATTGATTAAAAGAAATATTGATATAGTGAAAGACAAAGGGACTAATTGCGATTGAATGTTAAAATTAACACAGGTGTTTTTTCATGACAACAAAGTGGCAAATTTTCAATGAGTGGATGTATTTTTTGGTACAGAACTAAAGTAACGACGTTATGAAATAAAACCAATACACATTTTGAAATATAACAAAGAACTCTTAACAGTCTTTTATTTTTTTAAGTAAATAAACGTATAATCATTGAGAAATATTGCCCGCTCAATTATCATCATTGTACTGAATCGTATTGCTTTTACAGCGCAAGCCAGTGTTGATAATTAATTTATTCATATTAAAATGACAGCGAAATTTGATCTGTATAATAATATAATATAACGGCATCGATGGCTTCTGGACATTGTACGAATACTGCACCAAGGTGCTTCGTCAACTTGTTTAACAAAATTCAAGAGTCATATCCGTAGACCTAATTTAATGGAAATGTATCGAGAAAGTGAGACCTTCTTTATATGATGCTCAAAGAAGGCATACGACGAGATGATTTGTACTTGTAGTGTTCATAGCCACTAACTGGTAGTGATAGGTTGTGGTTTGTACCTAATATATTGTATGGCAATGTTTTGTAATCGAATACAACGACTCTCAATCAGTTTAGAGATGAGTGATGATGATTTCATCGTCGATTTCGTCCTTCTCGTCATCTTCTTCCGGAGGCTGCTTGGCGGCTTCGGCGGCAGCGTTTGGATTTTCAGCGATTGCCTTAAGACGACGGGTCTAAAAATAAAGATGAATTGTTAATTTCATTTAATAATTTTTATGCATAATATTTGAATATATCAATTTTTCTGAACTTAATCTTTACTCACCTTTCTGATATGTAATATTTCCACAATGACGTATCCACCAACTCCGATGAGCAGTACTACCATCATGACGTATAACTTCATCCTTGCGCAAAGGTGAGTTGAATAAGCGTATGCCACAACAAAACCAGCGCTCTCCCAAAGTCGATAATTTGAGAAAGCAGCTTCCTTGTTTCGTCGGAAAAGAACACCATATAAACCTGTAAATTTTAGATGGTTAATTGTAATTCTTGAAACAACAGCGTTTTTTTTAGCATATGTTATCATTTATTTTCAATTGTCTATGTTTCAGTAAGTTCAAAAATATTTTGCAGTATTGAAGGACAGTCATATACATATTATTCTTCATCAGCTTATCAAATAAACTGTGATATAATTATAATTTTATGTGGTTTTAACGTACTAATAGTAACTTGTTTAGTAAATGGGAGTATCATTACATTTTATAAATTTACATCAAAGATAAGACAATTAAAAAGGTCGCTTAATAACAGTGGGAAACAATTATAACTAGGAAACAATGACATAGTTCAGAACTACACAAACACAACGCGTAAAACAAGCAAAGAACTCTCCTAACAAGTGTAGTGGGATTTAATTAAAGATGTCTGTAACATATAAACAATTTTAGTATAGTAATAGTTCATGCGTCAATTAATGACCTTTTTCCATGTTATTTTGCATTTTCTTTTATTACTAAACATGGGTTAATGTCTCGAAATGTATTTTTTTTACATATTTTGCTCTCGTGTTTCTTAATAACCACAACCACCTTAAAGGTGTGTATGCAGCTTTCGAGACGTGATCCTGAGGCTATGCGTGACTTAGCAGTGAAACTGTCTAGATAATTATGGATAGATTACCTTACAGTAAGTATTTTTAGACTAATTGGTATGCGATGGATTGAGTTTGGTTACGTACTACTCAATTTATAATTTGATGTATAAGTATGGAAACAACACCTTAAAGAAAATAATCGAAGTGTCCGTATAAACAAGTAATGATGAAATATTAAAAAGGCGAAAGTGAGTGGAACACGGAAAGCCGGTCCATATTAAATGAGCCATGTGGTATTAGTGCAAGGAGACGTACCAGCTTTTATAAGATAAATTTTAATAAAACTTTAAAACCTTTTGTTACGTTATTTAGCGCATATGGCTTGAAAAGCTGTAAAATATATACAATTGTTACGATACGAAAAAATATGTACTCCTCTAATGTACGAACTAAAGTAAATATTTTTTGGACTTAATTTATTTAACCAAAAGTATGGATCTTCATTATAAGGTGTACAAGTCCTCTTTTGTTGCATGGAGTTATTTCTAACAAGCGTTACACGGAAAACCGAAACTAATTCACGTTAAGACAGCGGCCAGAGATGTGCTCACTTGCTCATACTCTACAAAAACATAGTAACTGATAAATTAACTTTGATTGTAATCTTTTTAATGACATACCGCTAAAGAACCGATGACGTCACCCAAACAAAGTAATTAGCCGCTATGACGTAATTGATTTGCCTTATTTTTTCCATCACAAATATAGTAATGAATGTTCGAGAATGTGCCTAAAGGTTTACCCAATACGTTGTATAACATTGTTGCTTTGTCTTTGTGTGATACTTAGAACAACAAGTTGTGTTCATTCCAAGCGGGTGAAAACAATAATTCATTATAAGTATATTTAAGATAATTTTACAAATATAGCTACTAAAGAGTAATTGCTGCATAATTACTTAACTACTTATTATTAAAAAATATAATAAAGTAAGCAAACAATTTTGTTTCTTTCCGTAACTTGTAAGTATAGAAGAATTTAAATTATGGTGGAATTATATTTTCTCCAGCTAAAAATAAATAGCTCATAACATTAAAGGCTATGTTCTGTCTCCGTGGGAACAGACGCCAGCTAAAAATATCCCGCCTGGCTAATGCTCCTAGAACCTGATCGCTTTAGCATCGTCTAATATTTTATTACACAACCGCTTGCTTTTTTGTTTCTTTAAACTGTTTAATACCACCTAGCGTACAACTTCCACACAAAGATTGGGTGAAGAAGTTTTATTAAAAGTATATTTAAACACGCAAGTTATTACACAAACAATACAACTTGCACGAACATTTTTAAAGTGCCGACCTTCTTAAGATTTCCTATATATTTATTTACATATACACACTTGACAGTAATATAACATTTACCGACTACAAAAAAGTCTTCAAACTATTCGGTAATTTGGAAGTTTTATTGATTTGATTACACACTTGTAAAAAACCCTACCTTTAAAATATACGGATATTAGTTGGCGTTAATTAAGTTTTTTGTCTGCCTGTATTATTTTAAGGACAATCAGTGAGTTGCATATCTATTTTAATTTTTTTTTTATTTTGTAAAATAAAGTAGCTAACGTACCGTTAACTTGCGTTTGCCACACAGCATCCCCAACGCCCCAAAGGCCAGAGATCACGAAGAAAGTCATGGGTTTATCAGCGCTCGGTCTCCATATAAGCAGCCATACTATAAGGCCAAGGTGAAGGGCTGCCCCCATCACCAGTATGGGGAATCTTCCAATATACTTCATGGCTGACCCGAAGAGCAGAGAACACAAAGCGTTGACCACCCCGAAGCATATCATCACGTATCCGATGGATCGGATGCCAAGAGCGCAGGATACATAAGCCTGATACAAGAAACTTGAATTACATTAAGATACTAGCACATAATTTATGATAATCCCTTAGCTCTTCATTCTCTATTTGGTTAATACTAAGTAAGAGTATGTAAATAACAGAATAAAATTGAGTTGTATCTGGCTCACCTGGGTGTAATCAGCGCCGATGAAGGCCTGTTCCATGCCAATCCACAGCGTAATGGGAATCAAAAGCTGTTGGTTGGGCTTTTTAAGTTGGTAGGCGGTTGCGGACAAAAGTTGGATGCCGGTGAGTTCTTTGGACGGATCGGTGGTCCTCTGTTTCTCACCATACCTGTGAGGAGATAAAAGAAATATATAAAAAATATGAAAATAATAACATAAACAAATTAAATAAGTTTTTTAATGCTTTCAATTAATATGACACATAAATGGACGTGGTTAAGTTCGCACTTACAAAGTTTAATGTTTGTGATAAAATACATCATTAGGAAATATTATGAATATTATTCAGGAAATAAAACATGTTGTTTCCCAAGAAACGACTATAAAAAGTAATTAAAAATATTTCGTCATATAAAAACATATAGGTATGATTTATACCTTAAACCTGTATGAATTAAGTAATTAGTCAACTATTTGGGTACCGACATTCACAAGAAAGTGTTTCTTAAGTTACAAACTAGTACCCGAAAAACAATTTGCTATACGTTAATAGTTGACAGTCGATTTGTCAAGATCCCACATATGTTAAATAATTATGTTTGATATAGTTTTTGCAGCAATATCAGCTGATTTAAGCAACTCTTAATCGGTATTCTTCCAAGACTTTCAGTGCAAGAAACGAAGCTGCATCAGACTTTTTGTTTGCGAAGGAAAAACCAGGAGGGGGAGGGACTTTAGAGTAGGGCTTTCATTTGTATATCAAACTAGTTTGTTATCAATTTATCGTAAAAATATAAGTTACATTTTCTATCCCTTAATAGGAGTTCATTGGATTTAATGTATAGTATTTTCACCTTGCCTATAATTTTTTTACACCGAAGACTGCAAAATGAACTAAAAGATTTAAAAGAGGAGAGCTACATATATATTGCTATTGATGTACCTTGAGAGAGGATCCACCAGCAGAGCAACCATCAAGACAGCAACCACAACGCAGGCGAGGTAAATGGCGCTGATCTCGTATATCTCACCATCCGGCGGCCGATGCAAGTTGGTGTTATCGTGGTGGCCACCACCGATCATACAAAAGTTCGCTCCACATGATAGCAGTGTGCTGCTGGAGCTTTCGTTAGCTGCGCTTCCACTGTGCACTCCGGATGAAAACACTGCAATGAACGGATAGTTTATACCAATTGGCACCTAGTGTAATATATAATATAATTATAAATTTAAATGTTTTACTATATTTACGTAACTATAATGTAGTGTCTTAAAGAAAACAGAAAAAACGTGACGGAAAACTTTTACTGTGACGGAAGTATTTACTATGACAACTCTGTATTCCTAGTTAAATCTAATAATCTACATATATATAAAAAATCTTACCCATACTGGAGATGAGATTTCCCCATAATTCTGCCGTTTGCCACGCCAAGAAGAAGAATCCAAAAAATCTTACAATGATGCCCTCAACAGCTTGATCTGTTAGCTTAGCGTAAACACTTCCAGCTTGAGTGAGATAAGTAGCTTTGGACGTCCACATAGGCGCTGCTCCTAAGCCAAGAATCACTCCGGAAGGCACAAGTGTATAGAACGCAGGGATAAACTGTGCCGCAATATACGGCGCGTAACAAAGCATGGAAACGCATAGTGTCCATTTTACTGTCAACCTCTTGATGAGAAACGTTGGTACAAATATACAAGAGACTACGAGTGCAGCATATATAGAACTTAAGGAGACTGTGCCAAGGCCGTCGGCTGCGTTTATAGACGACTGAAGATTTGCAGTTCCTTGAAAAGCCGTAAACTGTACCATAAACGCACAGCTGACAGCAGCTACATTTTTTAATATTCTCCATTTTTCGTTCCTTGACAGTTTAACTTTGCCCGAGGCGTAGGAGTCGTCTTCGGTGGGAAGTGGGGGAGGTTTGACAATATCATCGTTTGTGTCGCGGTCATGCTGGTAGCCTTCATTTTTGAAGCCGGTCTTAACCGTGTACACGGAATCCCTGTCCGGCCGGTGGTCTTCACTACCACCACCGTGCGTTGCAGTCATACCTTGTTCTCTTCTTGACCTGTTGAAAATAAATTGTGTTATTTATATTAACGGAACTATTTTAACTAAATATTATTATTATAAAGACGTGTCTTAGGAGTGAACATGGAAGTGAGTAACAATAGCAAAGAGGCCGTATGTTTGCTAATCACATGCACGAGCCTGTGTTCAGTACAATGATAGAGCGTGTAGTGATCAACACGGAGGCAGATTCTGTAACAATTCCGATTTGATTCGCATTCAGAGGCACAATGAACAACTTCGGCTGAGTACATATCATACCATTGTGTCGTGTTTCACATACACCTTCGTTAATACATTATCACAAAAGACTTAACAACCACCCATCAAAATCAAACGGATAAAAAATATTTTACAAATTGAATATTTTACAGTTTTTTATTTATGTGATTATTGGTTTTATAACATTATTAACATGTTATAAAACCAATAATCACTGTATTATCTCCAATAACATAGTAAAATTCTATGTATATGTTTTACTATTATTCTCAAATGTTGTACCGATATGGAGCGAAGTAACCAAAAGTGTCGACACCACTCTATATTCAACAAAGGTTCACAACCAAACCTGCCGGTTAATGTTCTATTGGTCAACTGGAGTCTATACGTGATGATGTGTTGACATCTTTGCCGATAACATTTTAATAACAAACAAGTAACAAAGGGACAGTGACAATGATATTCCTGAGAAAATATTGTTAGATGGTGTTTTGTTTTTAGATTCGACAATATGATACTGTCATTGCGGAACACTGACAATGATTAAACGGTTATGAGATTGTACGAGAAAATAGGAACTGAAATTGATGAAGGCATATTAATTTGTACTATAATCATATTATATTTACTAGCTCTAATTTGCTATATATTTTTTACTAAGCGTAACAAAAGCAAACACGGTGGTTATTTAAAAAATTTCCCACGGTATCATGGATGACTTTCGTCACTTCCTGAGCTGGCATCACGGGCACTTTATAAGCCTTTGGAGGTCATACTTAATTGGCTGCAAAAAATTATTTACGGCAAATTGTGCGTAATGTTAGCTATATGACATGTTCTACTAATTGTTGAAGTAATGCTTAGTACGTCAGTCGAATAATCGTAAAAATTGCGATACAACAATTTGTTTTAATACTAATTAGTAACAAAAAACCTACAAATTAACTTTGCAAAAATTTCAATTAAGGTAAATTAGTAATTAAATGTTCTTCCGATGCAATGAATTTATAAATTGCTTTTAATAGTGTTGCAAATCCGTAAAAATTAACAAATGAACTGAAAAGTATTCTAGAAGTTTATCATGGATGAAAAATCAAAAGAACCAAGAATATATATATATAACCTAAAATTTACAAAAAAGGTAATATACATAATATTACTTTTAAACTTTTAGCCAAGGAGAGTTTCAGTTTTCATATAATATAAATTTTTATATGAAAGCTGAAACCAATGAATGTTCATTTGTATAAATTTTGATTCCGTATTCCGTTAATTAGTTTATATTGCATTTTGTATTCTAATTCAAATGTAATTGTGATTTTTAAAAAAAAAAACAACACTTCTTTTTCGTCTTTAAAAAGAAACTGTATAGTTTCTTTTTAAAGACACAATGGATGTACCTATGTATATAGGTACATCTTAAAATATTATATCTTAAGATTATCTATTTCATTTTTGTTTTAGAACACTTTAAAATCATTGGTAATACAAAAAAAGACATATTAATTTTAATAAGGACAAACACACCTCAAAAATATTTAGAAAACAAAGTTGTTAAAGTATAAAATCGTTTATACATATATATAAAAAAATAGTATTGCGTAAAATCATTTAGGATAATGTTTACAAAACTTACCATCAAAAAACGAAGATGGTAATAAACTAAAATTTACGGCGATTCCATACATAAATGATTATTTTAATTCATTGTTATATCTATGAATCTTCATTTTTTTTAGAATAAGGCAATGATAATGTTCAACTGTTATTCAGTGTTCAATTACCCATCGCCGAAGTGACATCACAATGTAATATGAAAAGATATACATTCAGGAATATCTTATTATTACAAGAGGAATAATTTACAATACAATATTAACATGGTTTACCCAAACCACAATAAGATAATTTTTTTATCTATTAAAGTATATTACGTATTAACTTAAGTACATATGTATATATTTTATTTTTATAAGGATTAAACCCATTTAGGAGTATATTTTACACCTATATTATTAGTATATAGTACATACGGAATCACTTTTAATTGTTGATATTAGTCAGCGTTTCCAATTAATCATTTTGTTTCAAATCACTCACAATTTTCGCCTAAGATCAAAGTTATCACAACATGAATCTCTAGTCACTAACAAACTCATTCATGATACGTACGTTGTATGTAAGAGACTAACAATATTTGTCACACCGTTTGACCCACAATAATATTGAATAGGGTTTTAATAAAGGGTTGAAACTAGTAATTTATACTGGATAATGGATACAAATTTTATTTTATTCCGGAAATAAAGACGATGTACGCTAACCAAGGTCAACCAACAATGGGCGAACAATAGGCGAGTGTAATTTGTGATATACCTATACAGATGTTAATGATGGTTATGAGACCACCTGTGGAGCCAAATACCACCCACCTTTATAGTGCTCCTAATCCTAACTGTCTTTCATAACTTATTTTTTTACTATTATATAAATCATGTACTCCTTTTGATAAACGCGTAATGATGTTGACAACCCTTATCGTCACGTAAACAATAAGAGAGCTCAAACTTCGATACTGTCCTTATTTGGTTGATAATTTAGTAATAAAAGAGTAAATACTAACTATCTTCAATAAGTATTATTGTCCAGATTTTGTCCAGAATTTTTAATCTCTTGACTTCTCAGTGTTGCCAATATTTATGTTTGAGAAAAATTACACGCTCTAGATGGTTGAGTACTAATTTTACTTAGATTACTAATAAGTCCTTATAAATATAAGTCCTAATTTAAGTGCAACTAATAAATTTTTGTTCAGTTACGTTCCTTTAAAATTAATTTGAATTGGTTGTTTCCTCAACTTAAGTAAATTGTGAGGCAATAAAAACTGTACGTAGTTTTTTTAAGTATTTTTATTTATTGTCTTAGTAGAGAATTATTTATAAAGTTCTTTGAAATTTTAAATTCATATTACTGGTTTTATGATAAAATATACAATTAATATAATTTTAAAGTCATTAAATTAACGTGAGTTCCATAATAAGTTACTACATATTATTGAGATATCAGTACATTTTTTTTAAATTCACTTTTATACTTATAAAATTAAACATGAAAATAGAAAACGAAATGTGTCAGGACTTGAAACAAAAAGTTGGGAAAGTCGTTGTTATTCATGTATAACTATTTCATCAAGTCAAAGAGACGGTTAAAAAAAACTGAAACATTTCATAAACGAAGGTATTATTTCTTCCATACGTATAAAGTATAAGGTGTAATTGAGAAACCACAATTTTTTTATCGATTCATAAACTGTGACATCATACACAGAATATTATTTTATTTTAATATTAATATATCTTATGGAAACAACTTTTCAACTGCTACTCTTACTTTAAAGCTTTTTAACCTTCATCGTATAAATGGTTATTTCTTGGTATGTACGTCATAATAATTCAGCTTTTCAACAAATTAATAACAGCTTATAAGCAAAATGACAACAATGAATTAAGGAAACAGCTTTGTATTTAACCAAAAACAAAAATATTTTTTCTATAAACGTACATATATTAATGAAACCGTAGCGCGATATTTATAAAACAGTTGGAAGTATTTGATTTTATTAAATCTGTTACGTTGATTGAGATAGAGTATTCAAAATCTGCATATCAACGGATAAAAACCGGTCCGTGGTTGAAATATAACCAGTCTACAGAGAACTGCAAAAAAAAAGTTTTTTGCAACAGCCTTTAGAATATTAAAGGATATAAAAAATCTAAACGATATAAAGCAATGATAAAAGTTTAAATATTTTAAGCGGTTATTATAACTGTCAGGGAAAAGCCATGATTCGAAGAACTTTATAATTCCATCGCGTGAAATAGCAGTCGTTCTTTAGAACTCGTTCGGACGAGGAAGAAACTATGGAATGCATTTTTTATAAGATAAAAACAGAGCTATATGTCACGTGCGTTGAAACACTCCACTTATTATTTCTAATTCCGGGTTCATATCCACCTGTTTGACATATACATTGAGTATTTTTTATATTACAATATACGTTAATGGTCTTAACAGAAACCTGTAACTCACTTCGTTCGGAAAATACTGATATGCGATATTGGAATGCTAAAGCTTTCGCGTGCTATGAAACGTCTGCATTAGCTGATACGGCACAATTCCATAATATATCATCACGCCACACTGTTAACTCACAACGCCAATTAATCCGGCGGCTGCAGCTGGTTACAACCACATAAATCTGATGCTGATCGAGATGGAAGCGGTACAGAGTCGTTGCTCCCGCTTTTATTTTAAGATCAATCAACAACTACATTGGAACCCACGGCTATTAAACACCAACTGGGAATTAAATCTTACTAACAAAAAGCCTACGTTTAAGCATATCCAAGTAACATTGAGCTTAAGTAGACTTAACTGTTAAATGGTTTATTATTCCTAATGGGTTTGGTGCATGATAAGTTTGTCGTGACGTGTAAACAGTTCTTTACAAATATTTTACTCTCGAACTGTATGCGTACATTGAATGAATGCAATAAATTATTTAATGAATCATTCATAAACTTCATAGACATTATATATGTGTGTGTATATAAAAGTAAATACTTATACATATGCATTGGGGTTTTGAGATTTATGAGATTTACAAATGTCATTGTACAGGCAATATGAATACCAATTTAAATAAGTAATCAATGAAATATTGTCTTCACTTAATTATTATTTAGCTGAGTTCTGCTATTGTTTCACCTTTATGAGTAATTGAAAAGTATAATTTCTAGTATATTGAAGAGTATTGAAACGAATTCATGAAACCTACCGTGTTATAAACGACTAAAGTTTGTTGACACAGCAACAACATCATGATGAATCAGTCGACACATGTGCTAACATATAGGCTTTCATACTTATGGATTATTCCAAGTCTTCCAAGAATAACTTCAGGGGAACTTTAGTTTTTTATATAAATAATTGCTTAACAAATAACAGACTTACTTGTTTGATATTAATTTAAAAGCAATTGTAACTCAATTCTCCTACTGTTTATAGATAATTAATTAAAAAAATGTAATACAATGTGTAAATGAAGGACATTACTTCTACGAGTTTATATACAAGAAAATAAATAGGTAAAAATGTATATAAAAAATGCGTATAATTTTAATCCATATAGTATTTACAAAATAAAAATATAATAATTTAATTGTAAGTTTTTATAATAGCTGTATTACAAGTAATATTATACTTTAATTTACAGACATAAGCGATGCCAGATTATACTAAATAACCGAAATCATTGTTCGAGAAACAAACAAATTATTTAATGATAATTTCAAGAATTTTCCATTCCAGCGAATCGAATCTTCTCGAAGTTTTAAATTGTTTTAGTTCTTAGTTTTTATTTTACACTTTATTTGTAGGAATTTTAATAAATTGAATATTTCACACTCATGATGACACACAAATGTTGGGTATTTATTACCGTGGAATTGTTATTCATTATGAATGGGAACGAAATTGTTGCCATAAATTAGTATGGAACTAAAAATTCTAAAAATATTATAAAATGAAGTATCTTCATTTCAAAATGAATGACTACAATATCTTTTTAAAATATCACCTATAATTTCAGTTTTTAAGAATCTAGTAGGTTCTTTATGACAATGTTGCATATTTCTGATTGTAGTTTGATTGGTAACTATGAGATAAAGTTTAAAACTTATGTAATTTTATTGATTTGAAGCCGAAAATTCTAGAATTTCATAATACACATTGATGTTTTTATAACAATTTCTTACAAATGTATATGGTTTAATATAACAGACATGTTTAAGTGTAGAAATAATACGCGATCAATCCGTTGGACGGAGACATACAGTCAACTTTATAAATAAAAGTAAATTTCAAGCGAAGCAGCTTGAAGGAAACTAGATTGACTTGTTCTGGTGCAGTGACTTTACGCGCAAGAAAGTAATGTAAAAATAGAATAGTTGCTCTGTTATAAATAAATCTTATAAATGATGTTGCTCTCTCAAACGCTATTGAAATAAGCCGTCTATGGCCTGGGAAGAACATGAACATGATATAAAGTCTGGATATGACAAAAAATGTTGTGGATTAAGTTGAATAGCATTATGACTCATTGAATAATGTGTATCGTATTCTCACAAGGACAGGTAAATGATTTGCAACGATATAAGAACCGTTTCTTACGCTAGAATCGTTTAGTGAAAGTAGACCCCAGCGCCGTCCACGAAAGCGTTCGACTTCATCAGTTGATTCAAAAATGAAACTATCGCCTTTATAAATTAAAAATAATTTAATTCATATAAATGATCATATTAAACATTTTGAATAATTAAATGATAATATATTATAACATTTTTTTGGAGCTTCTTTATTAAACAACCTGTTACTGTTTGACAGATTAAGGCTTTTGACATATCACTACACTGAACGCAGTTAAGAAGAATGTTTGTTTAGTGGGGCGAAATACAGTATTTTTGGGCCAGTTTTTTTATCGGAGTCTGTAAGTATGAGGATTACTTTCCATTTTGGCCTACAAAAGTCCGACTGTACCACATGGACAATAATTGATTGATTTATAAAAGTTTTTGTGTTATTTTATTACAAGACAGAAAATATATATGTTTTTGCATTACAAAAGGATAAAAATGATATATCGTTGTTTCACTTTTACCGTTACGTACCAATTAATGCTGTTTCAATTACATTGATTAACATTACTAGTAAATGTATTCAATTGAATTTTTATGGTGTCGTGATACCGCGTTGACTTTGAAATTTCCTTTCAAGTTGTACGCGTCGCGAATCTGAATGGTGATTGATGCTTAGTAATTTACGATTTTAAATATACTTAAGAACCAGTGTAGACATCAGACACCAGTCTCATACCAACAATTTAGGTATAAAATAACGGAAAATGTGTTAATAGTTTTTTTTTTGTAAGAAATGTCTTAGTGACAAGAACTAATCGCTAGGAATATATTATCTGTCGCTTTAAACAATTCTATTTTGCTCATATTCCAAAACGAGCTCAATGAATTGCAAGAAAGACATAGCGAAATGAAATTAATTTGGTAAATTATATTAAAAATATATGTAATATTTTGTGTAAAATTGTATTTCCTATTGTTAATTAATGAATGTAATCAAGGTTTCCATTCAATATCAGGTGCAATCTGTCCATTTGTTAGCGATAAAGTTTATTCATCTGTTACCAATTAGGAAGTTTTGACGTGCTCTGACGTCGAGATGACGTAGGAGCATTAATGAACATCCATTGTATCTAGTGCTTTAGGCTTGTCCGCACACATATAAATAAACACCCACATATACATACACGATATAATATTGAACTGGTTTATTTTGTTGAATTTCAGTCACGGCGGGTTCAAGAACCAGCTATTGTAACGAAACTATTTTTTTTTCTTCATAACATATTTTTTTACTGTTCTGTTTTTAATTAAAATTTTTATTAGCAGGATGTTTTGGGTAATATTTAATTCTTCGTGTTTAATTACCGGAGATGTAAGATTACTAAAACATCTCGGCGACCGTTTTTTATTTCGTGTGTTTGTGTGTGTGTGTGCATATTAACATTGTGAACGCGTACGTTCAATAATCGCATACATTTTCACTTTTAGTCTTAATAGAATTTGCATGATCAAAATGCGTTTTGCGTTGTTAATGTATTTTGTACACGGGGATTATCATACTAAATATGTAAAAGCTGAACTGGCTGTGGGTGATAGGATGACTCCTGTTTGTAACATACGGTACATATTAAGTAACCCTACCAATGAAGTTCGTTTGTGAGAGAAAATAGTTTTGGTGATTTTACATCAAAATTATTACGTATGGAGACTTCTTGGCATAGAACGGATATTATGGGACTTGTACGTAAAGTTTTATAGATCTTCTTTATAACTTTCTACATATCAGCAAATAAACTTTATTTTTATCAAGATTAATTCTATTCTTGGAAGGTATAATGTTCCTTTGTAGATTATTAGTCAGTGTCTTCCTTTGCTTGCTTTGCTCTCTTGTTTAACCCTGTTAGGGTGACCATATTGTATAACTAAAGGCGATCGTCTCTGAATATTTCAACAATAAAAAAATATAAAAATAAAATAAAGATACAAAACACTAGATTAAATTAATATGTAACAATGAGTGTTGTTACTGGTTATGTATATTTTTTACTTGACAGAGTTGATAGTCGATCTAGCCATCTAATCTGTGTTGTTTTAAACGAGCTTGTTTTTATCTAAGCATTCATTGACGTTCTTTACAACATTTACTTTATTGTAAAACGTTTAAGTGAATATGACAACGGAAACGCTTTTTACTCGCTTGCATGATTCTCCATAATGCTGTGTTTATCTGTTTCATTCAACCGCTTTGTACGTTTATAATACTTATTTTATAATGATATAAAATAGGCTCTTATATTTTATACATTAAGAAGATAAGTTTTCTTGATACATACTTTGATAGAGACAAAATTAGTTTCATTTCCATTAAACAACAACTTAAAAAATGTATAAAATAACTGATGTCACAAAAAAGGTTTGGTAAAATTTATAGTCGACTCATAAATATAAGTTTTACAGTAATAATCTCTAGTCATTATAATAATATCAAATTATTAAAAACACCGTTTTGTGATAAAATCATGGTCAATCTATCTAGTAATTGGCCGAAGCCGTGGGGCCATTGTTTTTTTAATTGTGGTAATTTCCGCAGAGCTCGGATCACGCGAGTGCTAAATACGTTGTCTCACAACAGACAGATATTAATAACTCGATAATATTAAGCATTACAAAAATAAAGATACTTTAAAATGTATACTTAGATTAAAATATATATTGGATATTTACTTTACAAATACGTCCATGCAGTTATACATACATATGTATGTTTTTTTATCGTTCTATTTATTATTTAAATTACATACATTCTGAAATAATTCGCGATCGTTCGCTAATTCATTTTAATGTTCGTGTGATAAGACCGTCTTTATCACTAATTTGCACTCAGTAACAGTTATGTGTTTTATTATATTAGAATATTATCAACATTGTGTGCTAATATCATTATAATTATATGTAAATTCATATACATACATACATTTCAACAAACTCGGGAGTTAATTCTTTTGAATTTAATTGCATATTTATGAATGCCAAGCCTTTTTCCCTGTCGTTAAGTAATATTGGTATTATCATATAAGTAAAAGCCAATTATAATCGATTAATTATTTTATATAAAGGAAACTATTATGATTGATTTGCTTGCTCGATCGTTTATTTGCATTATACAATATTTAATTGATAAGGTGAGTTAACGCTGTGGCTTCTGGCAAATTAACAATATGTATAATTGTATGTGTACTGAAATGAAGTATAAAATTACAAATTCAAATCAATAGAATTTTACAAAACCTTATTTAATCCGTTTAATTAGTTGAGACTAAAAACCCGCGGACGTCACAAGATCTCATTGTTTGTTTTTTTTTTGCGAGTTCCAACAAATTTGAAGTGTTTTGAGAATTTGGATGCAAGAAATATATTAAAGCGTAACCGTGACGTGGAATCCATAAATTTTGGTACATACTAGCTTTTTTTCTGACAGAAAAAAAAAGAATAAAAAAGGCGGATTCTTGATTCAAGAACTTATGTGGTTTCTACCATACGTAAGTCTTAAAGTGGACTTTTAATGAGTTGGTTGGTACATGATTTACACAAATCTTAAGAAAGTTGGCCTTTATGAGCGTAATTGTTAGTGAAAATATTCGTCCATCATGGTCTTATATTTCTTGAAACATTTTCTATATTAAGTATACATAGACTGTAGAACTGTGACGTCATGAGTTTAAACTATTAAAAGGTTAAACTATTATATCTCTCATTGTGTTTACATTTATGCGGTTTTCTTTTTGTTTCACATTATTTAGATAATTTATCATCATTGAGCAACCATTTAAGAGATATTACACGGAACAAAGATATGATTAATCTTATCAAATAGATTATCAAGATTATCGAGACATTTAGTATACATAGATTTTTTTCTACTTTTATAAATATACTACTATGTAATGCAAAGCGACTATTTTTAACTTGACTAAAAACTATGCTATCTTTATAGGGGATAAATTTGAATTACTTTAATCTAATAATATATAATGATCAATACAATAATTAATTCTGATACGTACATTAAAACCTATAATGCAAATGCAAGATGTATTCTCAAAATTCGATACCATTTAAATTAAAACAAAAGACACAAGCTTATCATTACCGACTTCCTAGAAAAGATTAATACATAAAGATAAGTAAAATAGTAAATAAAATACATATTTTATGAAAATAAATCACCAAATTGACGGAGCGTACAAAATGTTTATAAACAATACGTACTACGTGTCCGCCAGTCGTAGCAGTGTTGGCGTCCCCGCAGTCCGGGGCGAGGTGGGGGGCAGGGGGCCAGGACGGCTACAACAGACCCAGTAATCAGCTACGATACTCTACGCCCAGCTAGCCGTGCATATGCACTGTACAATCTATGTACATATGTACATTCGCAATGCCCACCAACAATCGCATAGCATAAATAAATTGTAACAAATCACTATTTTGTAACCTCATTAGCTAATCTATATATATATTTATATTGATTTATCGTCTGTTCGTACAACCCGTGTCAAGTCATTGTCGAGGAATCTTTTTATTTACATCATTAATTCATCGACCGACTCTAATGACGTGCTGTTTTAGGATTCCGCAGGTTCTTGAAATAAATATATGTTAATATAAATTTTCATTTTAATTACCATTCAATAATAAAGTGTAGGAAAAATATATATCTTTTTAGTAGTATTTATTTTAAATTTTATAGTAATTATAATGTAATATTGTGTATTTCTATAAATAAAGTTACGGAACACTAGAACGCTTCGTCCTCTCTATAGGTCGTTATTTTCCTCATTCTTTAGTCATGTTATTTTGCATATTAAATTGGAACAAAATTATAATCTCAATAAAGGCAATGATATTAAAGATTTGTCTGAAGTTACGGTACAAAAAGAGACGGGCTTGAAGTGAAGTTCAGAAAACGGCTTAACAAGTTTTTTTATAAATGCAATACACATGAAATATCTTTCAAATTCAGTCGTTTCTGTATGAAGTGTTTGAGACAAATGGTTTTTTTGTATGTTGTATTGTATAACATCTCAAGAAATATCCAGGAATGAAATAATTCGTATACATATTTTGGGATGTATAGCTTGTTGTAATTCATATTTGAAAGCGTGCACGGACAAGTTACATTATTTACGAGAAAGAATCTGCGCCAAAACATGGGAGGGGCATTAATGAATACATGAAATAATAATATTTTATAAATTCGCCATTCCGTATGCATATTTACGACACCAATTAGAATATATAATTTAAAAATCCGGTATAAATTGGTTTTCTGTTGATTGTCCACCGGTTTTGTTTGAAAGTTCACATGTTTGTTTGATAACTGCGAATTACGTCAAAGAAATAGAAAACATTCAAGGCATATTTATTTACGGACATAAATGACATATAAACTAATTGTTCGTGCTTAATAAAAATATTTATTAGCAATTACCTCACTGGATTCCATATTGCCAGCAGTTTTAAAACCAGTGTCTTTGTCAAGGACTGTTCCGTGTGAACGGATCATAGCAAATAGTATTTGTTATGAATATTAAATGTATTGAAATTACAAAACAGTGAGCCTACACGAGCGTTTTAAATAATAAACCACCAGCTAGCTTCAACTACAAGGCCGACCGAGTTACATTCCCTAATAGCTAGTCTCTATTCGGCTGTAATGTGATGTTTACAACATAAAATTCATTAAAACTAACACAAAAACAACAAAATTCATTAAAATAAATCATAAATAATATTATGTATGTTTTTCTCTAAGTAATAAAATGAGTGACGACGAGATTATTTAACCGTCAGACAAGTGTTGATAATAAAACAACATCAATATCCATTGTTATATATATTTATATATAAACATATGTATGTGTATTACTTGTATGAAATTTTTACATCCGAATGACGTTATTTAGGTACATACTAAGATATTCAATTATTGTGCAAAACTTAAAATTTATGGAATGCTGATTTTAATAACTCGCTTTATTGTGTAAATGTAAATGAATGGTTGTAACTATTATTGTTCTGCTAAATGAAATTTTGATTTATTGATACTAGATTCTTGTATCACGTGAGTGATTTTTATCTGATTATTATATATATGTTTTGTTCTTAGTAGGCTTTAGTGAGTTATCTTATATACGGTGAACATATAAATGACCTACTAAATACCATATGATAGTTACATATTACGCGGAAGAACTGAACGGTAACGAGGGGTACAATATTTAATTACAGGTACATGTTATTTTCCCAATGATATTAGGCAACTATAATGTTGCACAAGGAGTCAACAAGCTCGCGGCTTAGCCCGCATGAATGGATTTTTCCGCTGCCCTCGGAAATGACTCTTTTTTGCCTGGATTAAATAGATCTATCTTTATCTTTCACAATTTGTAAGATTAACAATACAGCTGATTTTTGTACTAGATAAGAAAAATAATAAGTTCCATATTGTGTAATCATTATCTACTTAGAGACAGGTGATTTTGTATGTATTTCATTTTTATATGTTTATATTTATATTAGAGGTTGTGTATTTGATGATTATATATTATATGTATGCATCATTGTATGTTTATTAGTAAATATGATCGTTTGCAAATCATTTTTATACTTTGATAAAGATTTTCGTTGTTCCGTATAATATTAGTCAAAATTATTTATATATGAAATCTATTGCGTCGAAAAATTACGTGGATGCCTTAACAAGTTCTGCCGATATAAATTTCCTGAGTCATATAGTTTAAAAGTACATGATTTTATTTGAAAACCATACTCGTAAAAGCACGTATCAAAAACAGATATTTAGTGATGAGGTGTGTAATAGTTTTGCACGTAACGGTTACACGAAGAACCATCTGAGACAGGTCGGTCCTTGCCTCCGACGTTCGTCAAGGTCGCTCATAATTTATTTTAAGTAAAGATAAACCGGATTTAAATGTTAACTTTTTCGGTTGCATCACCCATTCAGAAATATAAACACATATTGATATGAAATTTGCGTTATAAATTAGCAATCCGCTAGTTGTTTCCCTTTCTAAAATGCCAAACTAATAAAGTGTTTTGAAATGTCTCCGATGACGTTGTTTTCAACAAAACTCTGATATAATACGCGCCGGGTCTCTTCCTTCTGACATAATACGTCATATCTATGTCAGTTCATTTTTTGATGAACATATTAACATAAACTGTCGATAATAACCACGAACACCCAGTTTACGAAAGCATAATTCGCAATTGTTCATTTACATTTTAATAGAGATAACAAAAAAAAACGCTTGTAATGAAATCATTTCTATAATAATTGTTATATCTGTTTTAATGCAAATAGCGTTTGCGGAAAACTCAACACCGATGAATAAACACGCCAAGAGCATCTTTGATTCAAGACGTTGTACATCAGTTCCGCAATTTGAGATATAAAGTATACAAAGTGTCACATGAACTGTTGGAATATGTACAACCTATACTTCCGCTGACAAGAGCTTAGCTGTGACGATTTTAAAACACCCTTTATATTCTTGTGTTCTTACCTCATGTTGTCTATTAATGTAAGTAGGTAATTTTATCGAGAGATTTTATCTATTGTTCCTCAAAACTAGTAAACATAATTCTTTTGTTATAAATAAAAAATATGTATAATATCGGAAATCTAATATGATTATAAACACGTAAGAAATTATAGGTACGACATGATCTTAAGATAAACAAAAATTTTAAGACAGAATCAGAAGATTTTTATCGAAATTAAAAAAATATATGTTTTGTTATTAGACTGATCTCATCATATGATAGGTCGTAAGCATTATTTTTTTAAATTCCGTACAACAAAAGGGTCCATTAAGTATTCATCCGACTATTGTGAGGAATGATTTTTGATCGGTAGGAAGAAATATGAATATAGTCATGTAAAGAACGCTAGGACCTTTCTACATATTTCTATCATATCGAGGTTTGAAATGATGAAAATAATTTTTGTGTGGTGTTATTTATATGTTAGTTTGGCCCTATGAAACAAATCTGTCTGTAATATTGCCTGGTACTTTATATAAAGATCTGCTTTGCATCTTAGGTACTTGTTGTCATCATTAGAGTTTTTTGCTCTCAGCACGAAACGTGTCGAGGTGAAGCCACTATATTATAATGAGCTATTGACTGCCGATAATATTGTTACAGAATAGATAACTTTATTTAATCTTAATTAATTTTATAATCACTATTTCTTTATTTTGTGACAGTACAAATCGATTTTATGGTACAACATGTTTTTGTTAAGTAATTAAAAATTTATGAATATAATAGAGCACTTATCTCTATTTTTATGCCAATTAAAAATAGAAATAAAAAGATCTATTTTTATAAAAACCGTTGGATAGTCGTAATACGAGATCTAATTTAACCTATTCTCTATAATTTTCGAAAAAAAAAGTAAAAGTGAAAATAAATATTTTATATCCTAGAGAATGAATAGATAACACATTCGTCACACTTTTACCTTCCAAGTATGTAAATGTAGGATTATAAAATTTGTTCAAACATAAACCAGTTAATGTGTATGCGAAAAGCAAACTTAAACCGTACTCAGTTTCAAAACTATAATATGTGTTATATATTGAATGCGTGTGTTTGTTTAGATGTTGCTCTCGTTCACATGAAAACTCAGAATTCTTTTACTCCACATGAATTGAATAGTCACACGTACATCATCGAAGTTTCTGATGAGCTGCGAAATGTTGCTTGTAGTTTGTATAGAAATATTGATTCCCAGACATTCACTTAGTTTCGTAGAATGACATTGACCGTCTTTTTTATAAATTTGAGACAGTTTAATGTGCACTTAAATTGAATATACGAAGGAAGCAGGTTTGGACACGTTTCAGAGAACGTGTCTCAATGTTGGAGCCGGAATGACGTTTAGTAAGATTAGTGCATTATTGGCTGTTCGGATATTTGTATTTCCAATTACCATTCTGTTTGAAATCCGTTACATGTAACTGTTAACCTAAAACGATTGTTTGTGATCACACACGACGTAATGTAACATTTGCTCCTCAATTTGAACGTACGATCATTTAGAGTTTGTCGAATATTTTATAACCTTTTTTTACTATCGATGATGTTAAATTTTATTTTATTATATCAAACATTCTTATAAAATCAACGGGCAACCTTTAGTCCAATCAAATGTATAATAGTTTATAATTAGTATCATCGCATCATGTTACTAGATGATCAATGAATAAGACCGTGGCAAAACTTACATGGAGGTTTCTCTCGGGAATTCATTGAAACAATTTATTAAGTCGCCCTCGA